ATTTATGCACTCAATAAATTTTGCGATTTTTATAAATAACAAATAAACAGCAGAGTTCGGATCATACTCATAAGTTTTTCTGACTTGTTTAAGAAAAATTTGTCTAACCTTATTATGCAAAATATATTCTCAAAAAACGTGTTCAATGGAGTCCTCCAGGAATCCACATTTACAAACACTACACTATAATAACAATATTTTTTGAAAATAGGCTATAATTTAAAGAAGAGCGATTACATCTTATTATTTTATTAAGAGAAGCAATTGATTTTTCTTGATAGATTGAAATTAAAGAAGCAATTGATTTTTCTTGATAGATTGAAATTAAAGAAGCAAGGTTTTTACCATTAGGATAAACATTTTTTCAAAAGAAACAACCTTTATTCTCACTTAAGTTGATAAATAACGTTGTTATTTTTTCCGATACACTCCCTTTTTGGAATAATTATGTAATCAGATGCTGTAATTGGATCATTAATTAATTAATTGACCATTTTCAGCAGTTAATTTAGCTTTGTACTCCGCTTTGCCATTGTCATGAGTATCTAAATATGCAGAAATCTATGCTATTATAATCATATCAATGTTCATTTTTTGGCTTGAGCAATACTAACAATAAAAACCGAGCGCTCTCAGAGTTAGAAAATATACATAATTACCTACACCTTTGGTAATAAGTATATTGCTTGTGGATTCGGCAGTATGAATGGAAGCTGAATCCAAAATTCTAAACTAACAAAATTGGCACTTGCTGCGAGAAGCAAAACCTACAAATGATTTATTATTTTCTATAATTTTCTAACCATCGACGAATAAGTAACTATGTAGCTGTCAGAAAATAGAAAGTGAAATTGATCATTAGGGAACTTACTGCTAGCGATTTTTCTAATAGTTTCTAATGTGATATAGAGGGAATATATAAAAGGTTATTAAAATCATTTCGTGTGTTTATCAGAACTTATTGAAGCATTTTTGATAAATGAGTTTTACGATAACAGTCGACCATAAGTGAAGTAGTAAACTTATCAGTAAATGTAAGATTATCACTTGTAGTTGTACAATATCTTCTAAGTTATTAAAGCTATAATTTTGATGGGAGGCAATTAGGCATTTCAAGATATCACTATGACTATTAAATGTAAATCCACACAGTGAATAATAAATTTTGGATTGAGTGATGATAACGTTGGTCGAAGTACCGTTTTCGTATCCTATTGCGAACTTATAATAGCTAGATATTCAATTGCAATTCAGAAACAGGAAAGAGAGCTGTTTGCGCCCTCTTTCTTAAAAATAGAAACTTAGACCATCAGAGAAAAAAGAATGTAAAAGAGAAGCGATCAGAGTTGTCGCGCAAGTAGAGCACGATGAAGCCACCCTCCCGATGCGGTACGAAAAACACTCCCTAAAGATGGATAAAACCTGGCCTGCATTCTAGCTTACTTGTCAATAGAAGCTCATTAGGCGTGCTGTTTCCCCTGTTTTCACATCGTTAGACCGAGTATGTGCGCGTAAGTGCGCGTAAGTGCGCGTAAGTGCGCGAGTGTGCGTGAGAGAGAGAAATTTATCTATGCGACTGCAGATCATGTATCGAGCATCTGACGTGAAGCCGTATATGTGTAAATGGTTAGTGACGGACCTCTGCTGTTTTCCAAGAGCAACCTCAATAGCCTGCAAAAGCCTCACAGTCTCTTCGACAAACACTGCTATGTATTCAGATATACAGGCTGATTCAGAAGGATTATAGTTCCCGGAAATGGGTTGTAGGGAAAAATTTGACCTGCGTGCAACACGCGCCGCGCCACGCTGACCGCCACTAGAAACGGAGAGCAGCAAACGAGGGGAAAACCAGGGGGGAAAGCGCGCGGCCAAAGCGGACAAAATTATTATAGTTATTCTACAACCCAAATCAGCCTTGAATGCCCTTATTCCTAATTATTCCTACATTACAGCTCGCGGTTACTTCCTTAGCTTGCCGTGATTGATCTTTCTAGCAGTAACGATGTTAGTAGCTGTAGGTGCGGCAGCAGTTGGAAAAGGCAGAAACAGAGGCGATCAACGAGATCCAGTTGAGTGTTGTTGCGTTTGAGCGACGCGCGACTATCGTTCGTTGGACTCCGCTGCTGGGGTATTATGTATTATTACGCGAGCACACGTGCCGGCTTGCTTGCACCAGGCTAGATCTGGATGGGCGATCGGAAGAAGGAGAGAACCACCGGTTTAATCCACCGCAACCGCAATAGTGACAGAGCTGATGACTGCGGAGAACGATCGACGCTGAAGCCAGCTCGACCAGCGAAAGCGAGAGGACGGGCAAAGCGCATCGCGTCAAAGGGCAAGCAGCGCGGCGGCGATTACGACCTTGCGCACGCGTTCGCGTCTATTTTTAAAGAGCGTCGCGCGCGCACGCGCCTCTCTGGCAAGGCCGCGGACAAACCAGCGACTAGACTTTTGCAGAGCTCGCAGCGTCGGGCTCGCATTAGCCAGTCGCGATAAGCGGCGGGGCCTCTTGCTTGACTGTTGCCTTGGACCGCGGGAGCAGTGACCGCCGCCGACTGGCCGCCGACCGACCGCCGGCTCGGCAAACGAACGACCGTGCGCGGATCGTTTGGGCTCACCCCGCTTGGCCAGCGTCACGGCGGGTTCGGCGAGGAGCACGCGTCGGAGGCTGCGGAGCCGAGCAGAGGCAGAAGAATTGAGCGGCAAGAGACAAGAGGCAAGTGGTCGTAACCGCGACCTTAGTCGCGACCCCCTCCTTCTGGCGGCTGCTGCCCCCGGCCTGGCAAACAGCGCCATTTCTATGGAGCTTATATATAGCCTGCTTCGTCGGTCGATAACGCGCCACGCGTTGCCGCCGCCGCCGCCGCCGCAGCGAAGTTCGCCCCGGAGCTGCGCGCTTAAGGGACGTCGCTTTGGTTCGAGCGCGCCGCTAGAGCACTGGTCGAGCAGTCAGCTGACCGGATGGAAAAGCAGCGGGCAGCAGTCGCGTCGTGGCAGCGCGGAAGGGGCCGAGATCCGCCTTGAGTGGCACCGGATGGACGGCCGGCTGTGGACAGCGAGCGCGGCGGCTGGCCGACCGAGCGTTGGCCTGCGCTACTCGTGCGGCCGGAGAGTGACGCGCGAAGGCCGAGCGCCTGCCCGGCGGCAGCGGAGAGCAGCGCTGGATGTCTGTGCTCGCGCAACTGCCTGCGCACGCGTCCGACAGCCGAACTGACGCATCGATAACCGTTTGCGCATGCAGCAACGCACGCGTACGCCGGCAGAGTGGTGGGCCGCGAGAGGCAAGCAGCTCGGCTAAAAATAGCCGTGCAGCTCGAGGAGCGCGCGCCCGCGCAGAGTGGCGCTCGCGGCAGCTGGCATACATCGCGAGGAACGCCGAACGGCCGAGCAGCTATACTGGCATCGCGCCCCGCATCTCCGTGGGCCTTGCGATCGGCAGGGCTGGGGGGCGAGCGCTGCGACAGCGAAAGCCGAGTCCGGAGTGCGCGAGGCTGCTGTAATCGATGTAAAGTTGCGGTTACAAAGGCGAGAATCCAGTCTCGCTGGCTAGACTCTCGTTCAAGAGAAGCGCCACTGCGCTTTGACCCCCCCCCCCCCCCCCCCCCTGTCACGCCGCGGACGGACGCATTACGAGCGCAACTGCGTCTGCTACAAGGCGATTGTGCATTCGACGAGAAGGATCCGAGCAGCATCCAATTGCAGTACTGCGCGGAGCAGCTCTTTGTTTGTGTGTCCAAAACGGAAGCAATCGGCAAATTGTCGAGACGATGCAACGGCATGAGCTTTGTCATGTAACGTTGAAAATGATGCAAGCCTAAAAAAGAGTTTCGAGTAGCCGAAAAAGTGTCTGAAAAGTGCGAATAAGATGAAGGTTTTGACAACAACAGAGTGTCTTGGATGGGACGCAACTCTATTGCGAACCTACATTAGTCGCAGAATTGGAGCGAAGCAAAGGCCGTATTAAAAGCTCGACGAGCTCTGCTCAGTCCAATGTCTTTTCATCTGGCGTAGTAATCGGCTGATCAGCTTCAACGACATGCAACCACGATGACGACACGTAGATTGTTACGCTCACACGTGAGCGTGACCACGCTGCAACCTGAGAGTAACATTATTTTTACATTGACGCGCGCGCGAGCCAGTTCGATCGCGACGAAAACAGTGAGAGAGAGAGAGAGAGAGAGAGAGAGAGAGAGAGAGAGAGAGGGAGAGGGAGAAAGAGAGGGAGAGAGAGAGTCCACCATTCCCATTGAGGAGTCGAGTTCCTTTCTCACTGGAAATTTTCAAAGTCGCATAGACGCTCGGATACCACATGATCGTTCCTAGTGTTAATATCAAGCAATAGTCAGACGAGTCTTTGGCGGGTGCAGTTAGCGTAGTACAAGCATAGCGCAGTCTGGCTGGGCGATCGCGGAATTCAAAAAGAAGAGAAGATAACTGCTCTCAATTGACCTTTGACTTGGCTTGACTCGTTCGTTTGCGACTCACTCGAGCACGACGTTCCGTAACAGCAAACCGAGGCATTAATCGAAGGTCATTGGCGAGAAATAATTCTGCGAAGGCTTTTCAACGAGGCGCTGACGAAGCGCACGTGCAATTCAGGACGAGAAAAAAGAAGAGGCCAGCCGAAAGGTCGTTCGACACGACAACAATTTGCGATCGGCCATTCGAGGCTGGCTGTTTGTTGTTATTGCAAATAAACAGCGATCGCACCGTAGCCAAAAAGCTAGCTTCGTGTCTTTTTAGTTTCTCGCCAATAGTCGAGTCGTTGGCTGACGAGCCAGGCGCAGTGCACAGTGGCGACGATTACAGCCGAGACGGCCACTCTGCCGAGCAAGGAAACTGAAGCCGCGGAAGAGCAGCAGGAAGTGCAGTCGCCAGGCGACCCGTGGTGACGGCGCTGCTCGGCGGAAAAGCCTCGCGAGGCGCGATCAATCGCCGGGAGCATCGGCCGACGAGCTCGCGCGGCTCGGTGTCGGCGTGAACAAGGAGTTCGATACCTGGCCTGCAGCAGAGCGGCGGCAGTGGCGGCGGCGTCGTCCAGCTGGCCGCCGGGCCCGAGGGACGCTGCGCCCTCATCGCCTTGCCGCACTCGCGCGCCACCGACAATGCTGGCGAGGACAGCGGCTCGAGTCCACGGCAACTCCGACGCACCAGTACACTCGAGGTAGCTCGCCGACTCGCCGGACCGCACTCACGCGCACACACACGCGCGCGCGGCAACACCCCAGCGCCGGCGGAGCTTGCGTCTCTGCGGACGAGCGGACGAGCGGACGAGCGGACGAGCGGGCAACACGGGCGAAGAGAGAGAGGGAGCGGGAAGGAAGAGGAGCGAGAGCGAGGGAGAGGCCGAGAGCGAGACAGAGGAAGAGCGAGAGAAAGAGAGACGAACGACCGGGAAACTGAGCGCCCGTGGCAACGTCTGCGGGCAACTGGGCGACGACTGCTCGCGGCTGACGCTGGTGGTTCTGGCTCCATCTCTCTCGCGGCGGCGGCGGCGGCGGCAGCGCGCGCAGCCAGATGCGGAAGCTGCGAGTAGCGCGCGCTCGCCACTCGCCACTCGCCACTCGCCACTCGCCACTCGCCACTCGCCACTCGCCACTCGCCACTCGCCACTCGCCACTCGCCACTCGCCACTCGCCACTCGCCACTCGCCAGTCGCCAGTCGCCAGTCGCCAGTCGCCAGTCGCCAGTCGCCAGTCGCCAGTCGCCTCCGCTCCGGATCTTCTCTGCTGCTCGCCGCCAGATGGAAGCTCCTCGGCGCAACCCCAGTGCCGCACTCCCAAGGGATGCTGCAACTGCTGCCCGCCAGCCTCCCAAGCTTCTGGAGATTTCAATGCAGCCGCGAACGACTTTGCTCAGATTTGCGCGGACATCGCAACCAGCAGGTCACGGCACTCTCTGCCCGGTTTACTTTCAGGTGGCGTGCGACTATTAATTCTTCTAATATTGCTCTGAATGCCGTTGCCAACTTGACAGAGATGGCGTGATAATTGAGAAAACCAATTGTTTACGCACCTGCTCGTACACTGTGACGTTGATGTATATCTCCTATAACTATACCCACATACGTAGCAGCTGCTATGCGCTTGCAGTGTGTGCTCCATGCAGCTCTAATAAAATTGTATACAGGAACAAGTTTGTTTAGAGCATTTAGCTTAGAGCGTTGTTAGTTTGCCCCTTTCTTGCACGGCTCTTGCGATCCTCGACTCGCATTGTTGGTTGTCGCTCTAATAATTTTCATCAATTTGGAAGTGACGCAACGACAGAGCGGTTTTCGATACCTTTTTTAGTTGTATCAATGATTACCGAGCACTTGAAAAAAAATTGATAACACTCTTAATTAAATTTACATTTTTTTTAATTGCAACTTGCAACGTCGGTTTTAGTAGTTAACATTTGAGTTTTGACGACAGCAACTTGCGATTTGAACATATAGGCGCAGTCGCTAGTTTACGCAAGTTCAGTCGTTGACGCTATAGTCCCAGCCAGTGGCACAATCATGCACGTCGAATTCATTCATCACGCATAACAACAACAAGAATCATACAGTTTAAGCAACAATTTTATTTTACAAGTTCGGCTCTTTGACTCTAAGTGAATTGGAACTAATTATTATTACGTAATTATAGAACACGCTAAACAACTAAAGATTTATAAGAAATATAGTAGAAAAAATTATCTGTAGCTTTTATTGAAGAGAGCTAGAATTAGATTATAAAATCACTAATGTCGTCAAGCGCGCTCGCGCGCTTATCTCTCGTTTGCATTAATATTGAATTTCATGCTTGAATTAAATTCAAACTATTATAAAATACACCGCATACATAAAATAGTTCTATGCCTCAATATGCTTAACATCCGTCAACATTAATGCGCATATAAAAATCAAATTATATTGATATTTATGGATTACAGTTAGTTATTTTTTTAATCTAGCTCTGGCAAATAAACAGCAACCGTATAATACAAATACCGATCACAACTAAAAGTAGCACGAATATTTTTCTCGTCGAAAATACCCGAGCCTTTAAAACAGAACAATTCGGAGTGTTATCAAGAATCTGTACATATTGTTAAATTACAAAAATATTATTCAGGCCCGGCAATATGATGAATTAAGTAAAGCCATAGGAAAGCTGAGCACCGCTCTAGACATCAGCGAAGGAATTATGGATTTCTTATAAAATTGCAAATCATTTGGTTACTTGACCACACCTGTAACTTGATTATAAAAAAGGTGACAGCGATTTGAACAATCAAATCTTCTGCGGCACTGCGTTTTTTTTTTTTTTTGTTAAATTGTAATATTTTCGGTTTTAACAAATATTTTTGCAATTGTAAAAAAAAACAGCGGTTCCTCGTAAAATACCAACTAATTGATTGGTCAACGGTTTCTGTAACTTCATTAAAAGCTAAATTATTGCGATTTATTTCGGCTTCTAATTAACATTTTTCAAATTTTCAAAGTGCTACTTATTTCATATGAAATTTGCAATAAAGCCTTTTTAGTATTCGCCTGGAACCGAACCTTAGGATTGTGCGCTGGAAACAGATGTTCTATCCATTAAGCCATAGTGGTTTTTTCTTTTTTAAATTTACACAAACAATTCACGCAGACGCTTGTTTATACATATTTAAACAGCGAATATCAACTGTAACAACCGTGTTGTGTTATTTTTTATTTGATCAAATATCTCGATCTTTATTTTTCGTTATTTCTTTAAAGATATATTTTACATATGGCGTTTTGAGATTGCACAACTTGTTTTTATGTTGTCATATTACGCAAGCAATTGATCACTGCTCATACAAATATAACTCCATAATCTAATGCGACAATCGCATCGATTGACGTACGATTATCAGTAGTTATCGTAAAACTATATGGAATTCATGTATTCTTATAATTAAGCTCTACGCACTGTAACACTACCTAGTAAATAATATTTAAAAACGAAGAGTGATGCATAAAAATAATTTCAATATTATTATTTCCAGTTCTTAAGTTGGCGATGCAATCACTGTTGGGTAGGTTTCTTGCTTTCTTAATAGTCATTTATTGCTAATTTAATATTTTAATTTCAATTGTTACATTAAAAGAAAGCAGTGGAATGTTACATGCTTTGCAACAAAATAATATTCTATAAGAATACTTAACCTGACTAAAAAATACACTGCATCTTCAAGAAATGTACTTTTATAAGACTAGTTGTATTGAGTATGAATAAATAAATGAATACACATTGTTGGAAATGCTGTTAAGATTCCATGTTTTTTTATATAAAATTTGAAAATTGTATAATATGATAATGCAATAAAAAAAATTTTTTTTATATAAATATGTTTAAGATATGAACATTCATTTATGAATGTTTTTCTCTGTGTTCTTACAACTTATTATGAAGCAAAAAATTATACTTTTGAGTAAGTATTTTGATTCTTTTTTAATTACACAAGTGTATTATTCAACATCAGAGATGATCAGATATCGCACTTCTCCATGAAATACAAAATTAGATTTTGTTGCTCTGTAAAAAAATAACATTAATTAGCAGTTAAAACTCTTTCAATTAATTTCTGATAATGGGATCTTACCTAATGTTTGATTATTATGCATCATATCTTTCTTTTAAAATCGATCTTTGTGAGTGTTTATATGTCTCAACAGCACAGCTTTATAACTACATAAATTTAAATTTGTCACTTGTCATTTATTACTTTTATTTAAATTTTATTAGTATAAAATAAATACAATGTAAAAAAAATATTCCTACCAATAAATTTTTTGACAAATTTCACATTTCAATGCTGTACTCTTTTCACACCATGGTTTATGTTTTTTATAGGCAGAACTTTTTTTAGACTTCATGTGACAAATTTCACATTCCATGTCATATGGACCTGAAAACAAAGAATTTAAGAATTTACATTTGAAGTAGTTTGCTTAAGCACAGTGTCTTATTATTACCTTTGTGATTTTCTGAAATATGACTTTTTAACAATCTTTTAGTCCTAAATTTTTCTAAACAATAAGAACATTCGTACTTGCTGAAACAAATGTAAAATTATTCATTTCAATTAAAATACCGAATATTTAATTTAATAAATTTATGACTTTACCTGTCTGAATTTTTTTGGAATTTCCATGTTGCTTTATTATCAACTTGAACATTATAAATACCAGGATCATCAATAACATACTGATTATTGTTACTAAGGCGCTTGATTCTCATTTTTAGAGGAGCAATCGACTGTTTTTCATGAATACTTGTATTAGATATTTGGAATTTTGTAAAATCATAGTTGGCATTTATGTCAGAGCTAACAAGACTTGTCTTGACTAAAGAGCTGAAACTATTGTTAGATTTTAAATGATTTGAATTATTATAGGGATTTATATCTTGATTTTTTGTTGCCATAAAAACTTGTTTCCGATTTACTATATCTTCTTTGTTTGTATGATCCTCTGAAAATCCTCCAAAATTATCAAATTCATTCAAAGTGTCTTTTAATGAGCAAGAAACATTTTTGAATGGGTCATTCAATTGATAATTATGATGGTGATGATCATGAGTTGAACTATTATTTTCCAGTAACACAATAGGTATTTTTGTTTCTGAACTTTTTCTAATATTGACTAAATCTATTTCTAGCTGAATATCTTTATAAGTGAAAGGATGATCATATAATATCTCGTCAATGACACATTCATTTGAGGTATTGAATATATTTTGAAATCCTAGTTTTATAGCATAAACAGCCTTTGAAATCAATTGTTTTTCCACAGTTTCACTTGCTGATATCTTTAAGTTATGATTTATAACATCATTTCCATTACAATCTACTTGTGATTTTTGTTGATTTATTTCACAATGGATCATAGACATTTCTATTGTTGGGCTCAGAAGTTTATCCATATCTGACTCCACGATTTTTTCTCTTGGTTGCACATATTCTAAATAATCTGCATTTGTGAGATCTGAATTCAATCTTGCAAAAGTGTCAACAATTTTATAAAACGTATCATTAGAAGAAAAATAAGGTGAATATTTACTTTGAAAAGACCATTCACTAGAACTGAAAACTTCATCGCTAGATGAGACATTGCTCAACTCAGAATTTTCATCATTTGCTGGTGCTAATGATTCTCTTGTACATTCTTTTAGTTGAATTTGCTTTTTAGCATAGTGTTTTCTCTTTAATATACTGCTCATCTTTAACTTTTCAAAGGGATTGTACTTTGGGGACTGTAAATTATTGCTCTGCTTAATTTTGCTACAAGCTGTCTTGTTCTTCTTACTAGTTTCACTAACTACAGATGCATCTGATGAATCATCATCTTCCAATAGTTCTGTAAAAGAATTGCTTTTAATTTGATAGCTTTGTTTTCTTTTACGAGTGTGGTTCATAATTGGCTGAATTTCTGGATTGATAGGTGAATGATTACTAACCCCATCCAATTCTTGAAAATTAAAAATTTTTTTTGACTCTTGAGAAAAATTGCACAAATTGTGAAACCGGGCTTCTTCTTGATTACCAATAAAAATATTTTCAGATACTAAATTATTATTGCTTGAATTGGGATCTTCAGTTGGACTACTCAGGTTGATGGAATCACAGTAATATTCAAAGTTTTCTCCATCAAAACTATCAGAATCTAATGTAGAATTTTGTGTACTATCTACATCATCACATTGAACTATATAATATTTACAATTATCATCTAGACTTGAATTTTCTTCTTTTACATGAGTTACATTTAAACATGGCTCACAGTTATTATCATCAACAAGACAATAATTTGTATCGGCCTGTTGGTTTAGAGGACTTGACTTGAACTTGTAATCTTTATCAATGATGTAAATAATATTTTCCGACTCACCAGACTCACTTTGACTTTCAGCTACATTTTTATAAAGTGTTTGACCAACAGAATTTTCAAACCTTTGAGATGTATCATAAACTGTTCCTCCACTATCACAAGCCAATAAACTTTTGCATCTATAAAGCTTGTAGCATCCTACTTTTTCAAAATCCATATCTGTGAAAATGTTTACAAACAACTGAAATATTGCTTGCTAATCTTCAAGTATTTGAAAAAAATTTGTGGTAATCAACAGCCATTACATTTTATTATTTAAAACCAAGTTGACTTTACGAGCAAAGGTTGATAAATTGAAAAGAAAATAGCTTTGAAAATACTTTGAACTGTATAGTTTATAATGGTAGGTTTCACAACCACTTGTTGAAATTAATAACAGCAGACAATGCTGTGCAGAATTCTACGATTTTTTGTTGCAGCAAACAAACAATATTAATCTAAAATGAAAAGAATAAAATAAAATATTTTTTGAGGAGTAGAAGAGAAATTTAATATGCACGGCTTCACAAGGATTTGACAACTTGCGCCCGCGACATTGAGAAGCCATCTTAACGGTTAAATCTTGCCGACAGAGCTTTCGTGCATATGATTCACATCAAATTACCTGATTATATTGTTGAAAATCCCTTCAGTTCTACAGTTAACAGCGTGAGCCTGGCCATCGGAAAATACAAGAAAAAAACTGCAGTTTTCATTAACCCATTACAATCGTGAAGTTTCACATTGACGAAAAGCAATGTGATCGACTCGCTTGTAGAAGACTATCTACAGGGCTAACTATTTGGCCTCGTACAATACACGCAGAAACGTTTTGTTTTCTAATAAAATGTATTTCGATCACATACGATATGACGTGTGCCTATGTATACATATGCGTGTAGCTTGGTGATTTTTCGAAACAAAACTGCCGGTCGGTGTTGAGTGTATACAATGATGGCTGGACGTTCAGAGTGCCGGCTTGAAATGTAAACATTCGGCTCTTGCTCTCGTATATAGAAATCGGCAAGGCAAGGCACTCGAATTACACGCACATGAACAAACGCTATTGAATTGCAGCCTTAGGACATCTAGCTATATAGATGTATTTATATTTATCTGGTTCCACGCTCGCAAGTATTGGTGACAGACGTGCGGCAAATTTTTTTCCGATCTTTCTGCTTAGGATAATTTCTTTATTATATCAAAACATTGAGGGATTATGTAAATTAGATTTTCAATGTATAAAAATTGTAAGCACCTTTGGAGATTTTCCGCATTTTTTTAAATACCTTTATTAGCAGTATGATAAAAATTCTGTAATTTGATACAAATAGGCTTTAAAATACAAATTGTTGAATTACATTGTTATACAACAAGAAATCTCAAACAGATAAACAAATAAAGTCATCAATCATTACCGTCTTCAAGACTATTTTGATCCATTCCCAATTTTGAAAATAATATGTCGCGTACTTTAGGTTTGGGGTCTTCTTTAATATTTGTGGGAACAGCACCCACTTTACCAAGCATCCATTCAAGTTCTAAAACGCATTTTACAGTTATTTACAGTAAGTTGAATACAATTTAATTAGAAAACCACCACATCTGGTACCTTTTTCCGTAAGTTTCATTCCTCTCAACTCAATTGGGCCAACAAACTGCTTAACCATGTTTCCATTTTGATATACAAATATAGTAGGAAGGTTTATATCTGGATAATTTGGTATACATGTTGTTGATATACTCTTCAAAAATTTAATAGTAGGAAATCTTCTTGCCAAAGATGATAAGTATTGATTTATTAGTGAACACAGAGGTATTCTACAAGTATAAAATAAATCTTAAAGAATTTTTTTGAGAGTAAGCAAATTTATAATTTACAAACAGATCATCCTACACCAAGTACCTACCCTGATTTGTATAAATGTAAAATAACCCAAATATCTTCTCCAGCTTTGTTAACTTCTTGCACGTAGTCTTGAGCAGAAATTTCTGTCACACTGCCATATTTAGACTTGCTAGCAAGTTCTCTCATTTCTGCTATCCTTTTTTGTCTGTACTCAAGTATTACTTTTTCATCTTCTTCGTCTTCTAATTCATCCAACTCATCCAATGTTTTATCATTTAAATGATTTTTTACTGAAAGCACAATACTTTTACATTGATATCAATTTATTAGCAAAACAATTATTAATTTAAAATTTAATAATTATTGCCACACCTATCCCTGTTTTTTGATTTATTGTATTCTCCAACATTTCCACAATTTGATCTTCAGTCACTTCTGCATCCTTCTTTTTTTCTGGAATAATGCCTTTTGCTCGAAGAATGTCATTCCATTCAGTGTCTTCATTTGGGTTTTGCTATCAAATTTTTGTCATTTGTTAAAATACACAAATGAATTACATCATTAAATAGACATTAATTCATAGATCAACTAAATAATAATTCTTGGTAGAATATATTTTTTAAATATTATTAAAATAAACCATGAGTAACATTATTTAAATTACTCTCTCCTAATAAGGTATCAAATAAGGAATTTTTTGTCTACTAAAATAGCCAATACGTCCAAAAAAATTTAAACGATAACAACTTACCATTTTGTAATATAAGAGAAACGTAAAAATATACGATTTGCAATATTATGCGTATAATAATTTAATTGTTATATAAAAATAATGTCAAAGAAATTACACAATTACAGTAATAAAGTAAACACAGAGCAGAATAGACTGACGGAAAATGAGGTTAATGGATCAGATGAACGAAAAAAAAAACCCTGGAAACTCGAGTGGTACAAACGTCCTGCTTCTAGTTATTTTTGTCGTAGAACTATTGAGCGGTTCAATTTCAATTCACGACTTGATATATAAAAGGCAAAGGTGGAAGCTCATTACACAAATTTGATTGAAAAGCATTTTATTTATTCATTTTTTATATACATATGTGTATAAAACTCTATACTTTGAAAATAAAGTTAGAAAACAAATATACGAAAATTACGAGTCAATATATCAAGGTAACGTAATTTTAAACGTATCGTTGTCATTATCTGCCATAATAAGAGTAAAAAATCTTTACAATTTAACGAAAATTAAAATTCTTATACGTTAGAAATGTGTGCAGAAATTTTCGTTAAACAAAACGTACGAAGTTTATATAATTTGTTTAGTTCCATGGGCTGTAAAACCTTGAAAATTTATCTTTTCATTCTCAAAAAAAACTAAATTTGGTAACTATACAACGTCAAAAAAATTTGCAACGTATGGAATAATATCATTGAGATAATGCAATGAAATAGAGCTGTTCCAATCAAAACTAAACTAAAGTTGCATTTAACGTGTCAACCATGAGATTCAAAACAAAAACAAAAAACAACCGCTAAATTATTTCAATATATTTCATCAATCTTTTCTCTGTGCGTGAAAAAATAACCTTTTAAACTATAATGTATAAAGAAAATAGATTTATTCTATTTCACGTTCACGCTAATTTGAGTTCTTCTAGTTTACTTAAGAGTTTTGTAAATACAAGTAGGTACAAGTAAAACAAAACCAATAATTACAAATTTTTAATAAAATGAAATTTCAAGCAATTTAGTCAAAAAAATAAAAAAAAAATATTAATGACATTTTTGACTACTTTTTAAAGCTCTTTTTTTAGCATTCGTGGAAACAAAAACCAGTAATATTGTTGAATTTAACATTGACCAGCATTTTTTAAATAAAAGTGAGTTGCAAACTATACAGTGCAATAAATTCAAAGTAAAAATATTTCAACAAATAAAATTTTTTGATTCCCAAAAGTATTTGAAAAATTGAATTAACAATAAAAAAAACTTTAGCACCTCTATAATTCACTGATGTAAAAATTGTACTAAACAAACTTGTTTGTATCGTAAACTGCAAATATTCATTGATTTTTTAATTAAAATTCACACCATTGTTCTCAATTTAGAATATTCTTTCTGAAATTTTTATAGCATCATTTGTTAATAATAATATAATAATTCTAATCTAAACAACATTACACTATTGTACAATCTCCCAAATTTTCTTATACAAATGGTTTAAAAGTGAGATGCATGCGCTTCTGTATTTCTTTGAGAATCGGACGTTGTAAAGGCTTTTTGTCTAAGTTGTTAATTTGAGATGTTTTATTAGGCTGCTGATGAAATATTTTATCCTCTTCTTTTGTATCAGCTACAAATTTGTGCTTGTAGTTTTCTAGTGTAATACGGTATTTTTGCATTTTTTTTGATAGTGGTTTTGGAGCAACATTCTCATTTCTGACCTTTAATTTTTCAGCATCTCGTGAAGATTCAATATCGTTTTTAAAATTCAGTTCATTGTCGTCTTTACACGCAATTTTTTGGTTATACGATTTTCTTTGCAATGTGTGTACCATTTCACTGGTTTGATGAAGTGCTAATTGTGCATTTTTGTTATTAAATGTTGAACTATTAATTTCAATGTCTTTTGTTTCATTGTTACTATAACCAAGACCATCTGTTGTCAATGCAGATAGTTCAATTTCAACATTTTTAAAAATATTCTTGTTGAAATTGAATTCAGAATTTAAGCTGGACTCATTATCCAACTGCAAATTTGAAATCGTTCTTTTACTAGCATTTGAGTAAATATCACTTCTAATTTCAAAATTACTTAATGTTTTACTTGGATTCTTGTTTTCAGTAGACATTTTATTAACCATTACATTAGGAAATGTATTTTTTGAATTTGTCAGAGCAGGAAAAAAAAGTTCTACATTTTCAATATCAAATGCATCATAATCTATAACATCTTTGCAACTCATCTCTTCACTTTCCAAGTCTGATGATGTAATTATACTTTCATTTCTCGTTTTTGCAGACTTTTCTGTGGTCTTCGACAATACCTCTACTTGATAACTTGTTTCAACAACTTTTTTGTCAGTTTTGGAATAAAGTTTGGTTTCGTTTGATTCTAAAGTTGATAAAGTATTGTCCGTGCTTTTAATGCATAAGCCAGAATCAATCTCTTTCTGATAGTAATTGTTTTCAGTAAAATCATTGGAAACATCAAAACTTGAATTTTCAGTACTTGCCGTACTGTTTTTACTAATATTGACATTGACAGAAGATAACTTGGCCCTATCTGTTGTGGGTTTTGTAAAATATCGAGTTGAAATTGGTTTGAATAATGGCTCTGGTCTTGATCCGACCTTAACCTGTGTTATTTCGACTACATTATTCTCAGGAGCTTTCAAGTAATCATGAGAAGCTTGTAAACATCTGTTTAGTAGTTGATTTTTACTTTCCAATGCTCTGCTATCATCGGGAAGAACACATTTTGTTTCACTTACATAATTATTGCTCGTTGAAATAAGTTTATTCATTTTCTTTTTAAGTGCTTCAAAACTATTGTGCATAGATACTATAGGAGCTGATACATTTTCCAAATCACTGCTTACATTCAAAGTATCATCAGAATCCAACATTTTTTCTTTTTCTCTACAAACTGCTTTTATTCTATCAAATGGGAAGCTATGAGAATTTTTTTTCTTTTCAGATGGAACTAGTATACCTGAATTAATTTGAGGGTTTGATAATTCTTGTGAATTTGGAACAAAAGCAAATAAATCATCTTCGTATGCCATTTCCTTTTTCCTAGACTCTCTTTTTGCAGCATTTTCTTCATCTGTGAGTGAGTTTACATAAGTTATTCTATCATAATCATCGCATTCATGTGTTGAACGATGATTTTTGGTTTGCTGAAAATAAAAATTTAATCATTTTCCTAATTACTGTCATCGTAATGTTTGAAAATATCTTACCTTATCTGTTTTCATTTCAAAGTATCGATATTTACTTTCAATTTGATTAGTTGAACCCTCCACAATACAATTATTAACTTCTTTGAACAGATTTTTCTGTTCTTCTGGTTTGTTATATCCATTGTCATCATAAATATGTTTCTCATCTTGTACACTTGTGGATTTTATATCTTCAATTGTTATTGGGTTAATCGCCTTAAAGGTGTCAATTATGTTCAGCAGGTGTGAATCGAAGGAGGGTTGAAAAAGTGATTTAATCAAGGCTGGTATTCGTATCTTATCTGATGGTTTATTACTGATGCGTTGTTCTATTTTAAAGATGGGAGAATCAATGGCATTTACATTTCTTTCAATGTTTCCTTGTTTATTATAAACAGTTTTAGAAGACACTGAATTATCAACAAAATTTGAAAATTCATCTGCAATTTCTGATTTTAATTTCGCTATAAATTTAATAGTTTCCTTCTTTGTTTCAACTTTTTTTAATTTTGCTGGCTTCTTGTCCTGAGTAATGCTGCTATTTAATGCAACAGTTTTCCAATTTACTGGTGCCATTCTACCACGATCTTCATAATATATTCTGTTGTTATCTGGATTAGTGGATAAAGGTTTTTTAAGATGTAATACAGTAGTCAAATTTACACATTGGTTATTTGTATCGTTATGACGATTATCTATTTTCGAAGATCTATTCTTTCTTAGCTTTCTGTCAACTGATGCAGAAGCATAACCAATAAGTGAATTTGTGCTAAAAGATTCATTCCTTTGTTTTTGATACTGGATATGACACTGTAATTTAAATAACTTTTCTTGTGCAACAGTTTTCTTTGCTATATCGAGAGAACTATTAGATGAGCTGTTGCTATTGTTATCTTGGTTTATTTGTCTTCTGTTATTAATCGACTCGTTTGCAGATTTGGCCTCTAGATTATTTCGATCTGGAACTTCATTTTTATTGACTTTTTTGAATCTTTTCCATAAATACAATGCATCAGGAGAAGATGGTACAACACCATTAAGTTTAACATCTATATTGCCAACTGCCATTTTATTCCAGATTTGAGAATACTACAATTTACAAGTCAGTTCACGCTGAATATATACGCTGGTTTGCGTACGCTCCGTCAGCGTCCGAGACACTTTAAAATATATATCATCATTGATTACAAAGACCAACCTCAAAATATTAATCATTAAATTATTAACGTAGAAAAATTGGCAATTTCGATAGATTAAATATCATTGAAGAAATTTTATAAGTTGGATGAAAAATTGAAAAAGTTCTCACCAAAAAATTTAGGAGCAAATATAATATGCACAGCAAGTGTCTTAATATATTTACACAACACAATGTGACGTAATTACGCTTGCTGCGAGTGCAAAGCTATTGCTCTGCATCAACTGCGGTCTGGCATTAGCCGACGCGACAGGGCGAAGCCTATGGATTGACTGGTGTCTACTCAGTCCTCTGCACTATACAGCCAACACTCCACCAGCGCCAATAGCGAACTAAATAGATGGATGCGGAAACGGAATGAAACTAGTCGGGTGGCTGAAACCACGAGGCAAGTTGAAACAAGCAAATAAAGAAGGACCGGCGAATGGTTTTTCCAAGAAAAAGATCTACTATAAATATATGTCACGGGTGTCCTTGTGAAGATCAACCTATTGAGAGGGCGAATCTGATGGTTTTTTTATTATTATTTGATGACATTTACTTTTATGACCTCAGGTATAGCATACAGCGCAGTGGAATTTCTTTTAGATATGAAAAAAAATAGATTTGACGCAATATAACCTTCTGTGCGCTATAGCATTAGCGTTCTTGATTGTAACTTTTAATCATAGAATATGAAAACAATTAATTTACAATTAAGACAAATTTGTAATTGTTCACTAAGTTGTACAGCAGGAAGTACATTATGATTTGAGTTTTCGAGTCTGAAAGAAACATCAGTTTTCAAATGTATTAATTATTTACAATTATACGAGCTTTAAAAATTTTATAATCAAATAATGTTGAAATTTATCCCATAAAAACAATAAAAACATCAAAAAACAAATTGTCACTATTTCTTCGCATAGTTTAAAGAGGTATTGTTATTCAACCTTAGTAAAAGAAGGGCGCATATCAAATTTCATCTAAGGGAAATAACTAAATTATACGTACAAAGAAAAACGTTTACCTTATCCCATACCTTTTTACGCATATACAGTCCACACATACATGCGCATACGTAGATATGTATGTATGTACGTATGTACAATATATATATATATATACGCAGTACATTGCAGAGTCACCCTCCCTCCCCGCCCCTCGACGGTCGAGAGTTTCGAGGTTGCTCTCGACTTGAGGTTGGTTCACTGTTCAGTGTTCGCACAAGCTGGCAAGGTGGTCGTTGTGTTGTGCGAGCAGCTTGTTGCGCACTGATCTCTTACTCGAAAATGCAGCCTTTAATAGCCTCTGATACTTTCGATCGTCGTAAGTGCGATTTAAAATTGACGTGACGTTCATCGCGTTGTTTACAAGCGAGCGAATGATAGGTTAAGCAATCGCATGCGCGCACGTACGATATTGACGGAGAACAGGTCAGCAAAGCAGAGTGTTGTCGAGCACGCAGGTACGTACTTGTATATCGGCGGCGTAGCTCTCACATAACGGATCCTTGAGGCACAGAGAGAGAGAGAGAGAGAGAGAGAGAGAGAGAGAGAGAGAGAGAGAAAGAAAGAGAGAAAGAGAGAAAGAGAGAAAGAGAGAAAGAGAGAGCGCCGTGCCCGTCGAGTGGATCAGCAGAAGTAGCAAAGGAGAGAGAGAGAGGGAGCATAGAAGAGCTACTGCGATCGCAAGCAATAAAATGCGGAGGCGGAAGGAAGAAAGAAGACGGCGAAAAGCAGAACAGCAGCTGCCTTGAGGATGAAGACGCACTTTGCCGGCAAATGAGTACAGGGATTGATGGCGGCAACTGTGCTGCTGCTGCTCAGCCGAGTGCTCCTCTTCGGCATTTTGTTTACGGAAGTCCTGAGCGCAGGTGCGTGTAATTTAGCTATGTTCGGCTCGCAGCCATGCTTACTCGCGAACGATCGATAGCTGCTGGAGTTACGCAATTGTCACATGTGCAGTGCAACCTTATCCTCGGTTGACTGTTAAACGCCGAAGGCGAGTTGTGCTCCGCGATTCTGGCCAGCCGCGTCTGTGCTGCGCGCATTATTTTATCCGCGAGAGCTGCTTTGTCGCGAGCTTCTCCGAGCACAGTGCCGCTTCGTTATTCTTGTAAGGGTCGAACACGCGGCTGCGAAGCGCCGCGTCGGCAAAACCAGTCGTCCCCGAGGGAAGCGCGGACAAAGATCAACACAGGCGCGTAAACGAACAATCGATAAGGCGCCAGGCCAAGGTCAACAGCCCCACGCGACGTCACTCCCGCGGCGGCGGCGATGCCCGGTGGCCCCATTGATCGAGCCCTGTCATTCGGCAGGCGCGTCAGCGGATACCGGCAGCGGCGCCAGGAGGAGCGCTAGGCCGGCGCCGGCAGCCGGCGTGCCCCGGCTGGAGGTCCGGCCGCGCGGTGAGATGCTGCTCGGGCGCCGACGCGTCGCCACGCTGAGCTGCTCCCCGAGCGGCCTGGCGCGCGTGCAGAGGGTCAGCTGGCTGCGCGATGGCCGCGTCGCGCCGCCCTGCGGCCCTCGCCAGCGCTGCAGCCTGCGACTCGACGGTGCGCTCCGACTGGCCAGGCCTCGGCCGGGCGCCGGCGGCGCCGCCGAGTACCGTTGCGTGGCCCACACCGCCGACGGCGCCGCCCTGCGCTCTGGCCCGACCCTCGTGCGCACCGCTGGTAAGCACCTGCGCCCCCCCCCCCCTTCCTCCTCACCCACCCGACCTGACCTGACCTCTCTGCGCAGAGCTGGCCGAGCACTTCGAGGAGGCGCCTCGCGAGCTGGCCGTGCACGAGGGCGAGGTGGCCCGGCTGGCTTGCCGCATCGCCAGCGCGCCCGCCGCCGAGGTGACCTGGTTCCGGGACGGGCGCGCGCTGGCCGCGCCGGCGCCCGGCCTGGCGCTGCTGCCAGCCGCCGGCCTGCTGTTCATCCGCGCGGCGCGGCCGTCCGACACCGGCGCCTACCGCTGCGTGGCCGCCAACCGGCCGGCCAACGCCAGCAGGAGCAGCGCGGAGGCCCGGCTGCGCGTGCTGCCGCGGCGCACCGCGCCCGGCGTGCTCTTCCCGCAGGCGGCCGCGCGCTACGAAGCGCTCAATGCCAGCGAGCTGCTGCTGGCCTGCGCGGCCTCCGGCTACCCGCAACCCAACGCCTCCTGGACCTTCGTAGCCGGTAAGTAGCGCCGCGCCCGCGCGCCGCAGCGCCGGCTGACCGTGGTCTGTGCTTGCAGCGGCGCCGGCCAGCCGGCCGGTCGCGCTGCGCTCGGCGCCCGGACTGAGCCTGCTGCGGCTGCGCAGCTTGAGACCCGAGGCCGCCGGCACCTACGTCTGCTCCGCCAGCGGCCTGGCCGCTGACGCCGCGCGCTCGCAGGTGAGTAGCCACCGCGTCCACGTGCCGCCCGACTCCGAGCGCATCCGAGCGGCTCTGAACGCCTCTGCTCCGCAGAACGTGACCGTGGAAGTGCTGGTGCCGCCGAGCTTCGTCAAGCGGCCGGCCAGCCAGGTGTGCCCCAACGGCAGGACGGCGCGCTTCGAGTGCCAGGCCCAGGGCCGACCCACGCCGCGCATCTACTGGCTGAAGGACGCTACCGACATCGCCATCGACGGTAGGTCCGTGGCTGGGCGCGCAGAGCGCCCTGGTGGCCACCGCCGATTGAGCCGCTTGGGCTTGCAGGCCGGAGAACGCTCTACGTCAGGGATTTCGGCAAGCTGGAGCTGGCCATCTCGGCGACCGTGCCCTCGGACTCGGGCATCTACCAGTGCGTCGCGGTCAATGCTGCCGGCGAGGCTTGGGCCGCCGGTCGGCTACAGGTCAACGCCTCCCGCGACAGTCCTGCCGCGCCCACGCTGCTCGAGTGCCGGGCTCTGTCGCCCGCCAAGGTGTTCGTCTCCTGGCGGCTACCCGAGGTGCTGCCGCTCAGCAACGTCACTGCCTACACCATCCACTACAGGCCCGTTGGTAAGTACCGGGTGCGCCGCCGAGTACCCGTTAGTGCTCAGCACTGCTGTCCTTCCTGCAGACGGCGGCAAGGAGGAGGTCTCTCCGCCCGAGCCAGGCAATTCCACCTCCGTGCAAGTCACCAAGCACTTGCAGCCGTTTACCAACTACACTTTTTACGTGCGCCTGTGGACCAATCGTGGTCCCAGCGACCAGTCCGCCAGCGTTACCTGCTCGACGAAAGCTAGCGGTGAGTGTTGCGGCACATTCCCAACCACCACGGCCACCTTTCATCTTTTATCGCATCTCTGTTCGCAGTACCGAAAGCTGCTCCAAAAATCTATGCAAATACGGTGAGTAGCAGCAAGCTGAATATTACATGGGAGCCGCTGACTAGAAAGGAGGCGCAAGGAGTTGTAACCCAGTACAAACTTGAATGGCGATTCCTTCATCAGCCATCAGCTCGCGTTCGCCTCTTCCCAGCTAGCGTTCAACGGTACCTCTTGACGGGTAAATATATACGGGCATTTCTGACCATTGTCTGGTGCACCTTTCAATAATACCATACTTACAGATTTAATACCTGGACAACAGTACGAGCTTCGAGTTTTAGCCAGAACTGAATTGGGTTGGCCAAATCTTGGCGATTCGCAGCTTGATTGGTTGATGGTTACGATGCCATCGTCAACGGATCTTATTGAAGCTCAAATTTCACTTATCAATTCTACGACAATTAAGGTAACTATTTTGAATAATGTTTTATTCACCAATTTATTTGCGCTTCTAACATTTACTTGTATTTTTCCAGATCAATTGGCACGTTTCAAATTTAATTTTTCAACTTGAATCCTGGAATGTTAAACTGAAAAATGACGACACTTTTGTAGTTATTGCAGCAGCTCATTTGACGAAAGATGCCAACGAGTACGAATTTACAAATCTTGGTAAGCATTTCTTAATTAAGAACAATTACAGATATATACGTTAATGACGTTTTGATTATTTTAGAGCCGAAGGCGAGATATATAATTGAATTGTGTGCTCTCAATACGTACGCGGAAAACGTCAATTGCATCAGAAAAATAGCAGATTTGCAAAAGGTTACAAGTAAGTAAAGTGAAAAAAATTCTACTGTACCATACAAGAACATATATTATTATTTTTTTTTCTTTTTTCTTTCTTTTTTTTCAGTGAGCAATGCACCTACAGCACTAGAAGCAATTCCGTTATCTGCAAATTCAATTAGTCTATCTTGGGTATCGAAAAGTATCAATGGATCGTTTGAAATTTGTTACAACTCTGTGCACTTATTGAACGAATCGATTATATGTATTCTTGTGTATGAATTTTACACTTATTCGTTTTGAGTCGTGATGTTGATTGATCAACAAGCTTACTTTTTGCAGCAATAACACTCAAATTGATATAAAAAATTTGAAGCCATTTACGCTATACCAATTTAAAGTGAAAGCTTTGAACAACAGTGTGGATAATGATGATGACAGTGCAAGTATCGAGTGCTATACCAACGAAGATGGTAAATTATAAAGATTAGTTGAATTTGCTAAAAACTTCAAACCTTACAAGGGTTAACGTTTAGTTCCAGGCAAAGTTGAAGATGTCGAATGGTTTTTCATAAACAGTACGTTGGTGCGGCTAGCGTGGAAAGAACCGAAAACTGTTAATGGTATCATTCAGAGGTATTATGTGGCCTATTCGATGGACGACAATACCTACGAACCAAAATCAGCTTGGAACAATGTGACGGTATTTGGCAACAAGACGTCTATCAGCTTGCCAACTTTAGTGCCTGGAAAGCGTTATTTCGTTGTGATCCAGGCTGCGACAAAAGCCGGTACTGGTAATCCGTCTGAACCAATTATCATTGTGACTGCTGGCGGTAATTCTCTTGATGTAGCCGGTTCGCTAGATGAGACGAAATCTCTTCCAAAAATTAGAGAGTATAGGAAATTCGGTGAGTTTTTGTTGCTTTTAAGTTTAAGTTTATCATGAAAAATAATTCGAAATAATGCTGTTTCAGGAATAATTCTAGGAATAGGCATCAGCATTATAAGTATCTTGGTGTGTTTATGCAGCATGTATTGCCGTAGGAGATATGAAAATATGAGATCAGTTCGTGAGAGCGCTCAACCCTTGAAAAGCCGCGTTTTAACAACAAGGAATGGCATTTCTCAACCTGCTACTGCCATAATGAGCAGTGAAATCGAGCTTGCGGTATTGTTTCCTTCCACACCGATATCTACGAATCCTTTGTGTGATACCAAGGTAATTATTAACGTATGTTCGTCCATTGAACTTGATTGACATTAAACCATATCGATATAGGGGAGCGACCATGCAAACGGTATCTTGGAATCAAAAGAGCCCCTTTTGTCGCCGTGGGAGATGAATGGAATAATAAAAGATGTTCGTATCACGGAGAATCCACAGGTAAAGCTGTCCAAATCCAAATGCAGACTGGTATTAACAATTGTACAATGTACAACAGCAGCAGCACGAGCATTCAAGAGATTTGAATAGTACGCAGCTAACAACTATCGGTAATGATTTTGCCGGAAGTTTTGAATCAAATCTGAACAACAATTTGGGTAATTGTGAGTCAGCTGGCGAGGTCCTGGCTGCAAAAACTGTCCCTACATTTGTTCCCATGCTCGGCCCAAATGGTTGAAGCAAAACAGTTCCTGTGAGCCAGAAGACTACCCATGGGGAAACGTAAAGTATACGTGGGTTATTAAATCTTTATCTACCAACTAGTTGTTGGTACTTCCTATTATACATACACGCGCGCGCGAGCGCACTGTCTGCCTGTGTGTGTGTGTGTGTCTGTCTGTCACACACACACACACATACACACTCACACTCACAGAGATGAACGTAATTTTTAAGTTTTGAATCAGATGGTAACATTCAGTGCAAATGAGAATCATATGAGATTATCAAAAAATAGAAGATGCGAGAGAGAAACTGCCGGAGACCAATTTTGATATACGTGGTTATTCTATAACTTCCGGCTCTCTTCTGCTTATTACGGAGAAAATTACGTATTTTATTTTTTTTTCTTATTGCAGTTTTATATGCGAGTTTATTAATGATGACTGATATTTTGTACAGCGATGCTTATAGTATATACCTTCTAATGCACATCAGCATACTCTCTTTAATTGAGAATAATTACTGATAGATCAGACCGCATTTAAATAGGATGAATTCTGACTGAAAGCTTTAGCAAGAACCCATACAAAAACAACCAGAGGTTATCTTAATCGAATTAATATACCCGTGGTATTCCTACAAACAAATCAATTACATGTTTAAATAGAACAGTAATAGTATTTATGACATGATTGATGGTCAAATAATTCCTATTTTTAACGTTTTTATACATCGTTATTATTAAGCACACATCAGACGAATTGTTAAATCTCGACTATGTACTAATGTTTTGAGTTTTTAAGATCTTGGAGGCTATATTTTACATATAAATGATACATTATTTTTTTTATTTTTATTTTTACTAATATTATTTTTATCTAAGGAATCTAACATATTATATTTGTTACTGTTTGTGTTGCTGAATAGACACCAATTTGTATAGTCAGCGAGTAGCTTCCGCTTTCTCTCGTCTCAACTTGTTTCAAACTCTATTTGACTGACAACGGACAACCGACATTAGTTAAAGTAAGCAAATCATGAAGTCGAAATTTTCATCTTTCTTTATTTACCGCAGACTTCGGTGCATGTTACCATGACAAAAAAAAATACAGTACCTGATAGACTAAGTTATGCCGGTTAGAGTAAGACATAGGTATCTCAGTGTTATTACTTCCTTCATAAATCATTATTTTTCGTTACTCGCATTAGGCATTGCAATCTTTTCCAATTGTTTTGGTTACAATGCAATAGTATATAAGGTTCGAATGAAAAATTCGTGTTTTCATTAACAAACTGCTTAATACACGAGATTTTTTTCAAATGCTGCAAGCTCTTCTCTCACAGATGAAATGTGATCGAAGAGAAGTTGAGCATACAGATAATATTTCGCTGAATGCGTCTCAAAAGACTGTAAATATGTATTATAGCTTCCAGTTAAAGATGTCCTTGGTTCAAGCGACTCGAAATTCTTAACCAAGGCATTAAGATGCATCAGATATACTTGTATCAAAAATTATTGATGTACACTGTAAATTTCTAGTGCAGTCGAAAGTATTTTATTTTTAAATATTAAATTGAACATACTTGATTTGTTATAAGAAATAATAATGTTTTCAGGGGATAGCTTTATTTCAGAACTATCATCTGTAACTGATTTTTATGAGTAATATAAACAATATCGATAATGGCATAAATAAATACTTTACTGCCTCAAAATGTTCAAAGCTAAAATCCAAGAAATACAATTCAAATTAAAAAATAGGCATAGGCTTTTTTACAAGTAATCGTAAAATAATCACTTGATAATTTTTTTATTCGTGATTTAATATTGTATTTCCAGAACGTACCCTACAGTATTCGTAATATTTTATTCGATCCCAAATACATAGACGTGTGTTAATATACGTGAAAGTTGCTTACATCCGACATTTTTTTATACGTTGTTGTGAAAACTAGATCAAGAGTTGAAAGATATTTATGTACCCATTTTATGTAAATTTTTACACTAAATATCATTTTATTGGTTGTTATGTATAGAAATAGATTTTTTCTATGTGAATAATTTTTTTAATAGTACATTAACTTAAAGTACGTTAATTATAAAATGGATTTCTTTGGTAAAATGTACTCCAACTAAGTTATGAGATTCTTTGTGTTTCAGTTCTGAAAAGTTCTATAGTACAACAAATAATAAAGAGTAATTAGTGTTATACAAAAGTTCAAACTCTATGATGCTTTATTTCGGAACCAACGATCAAATGAAAAAAACAAAAAGAGATAAATAAAAAATCGAAAGATACAAAAAGTAATACGTACCTGAATCGTACAACAATAGATCTTTAAAAAAAGTGACGATTAATTGTTGAACCGCGTAGTAACGAGTAGTGGAGCTTTTCGATGCTAAGACTTTTAAGAGATTTCACAAACAAAAAAACAAACAAAAATAAAAATAAAAAAAACAAGTATAAAACGCTGTTCACCTATTCGTATATTATGTTAAAAGTTGATTATAAAAATTTTTTAAATTTAAGCGATGTATATGCCTGTACTAAACTACTCGGCAAGAAAAGTCTCAGATGTAAAAGTGAAAAACAATAAAATTATTTTATATAAGATACTTCGTTCTAAAATTATAAGTAAGATGTCGCAAATTGTAAAAATAATAGTTTTTTATTTATAATAATGTAATGTCTAAATCTGTTAGCTTAAGAGATCGTAAAAAAAAGAGTCTATGCTGTATAAGACTTTTCTTCCTGAGAATCAGAGTAGATGTGAAAGAAATTGATAGCATTATAATGTTATCAATTGTCAACAGACTTTTCCAAAAAAGGAAAAAAATTACTAGTAGGTCGCCGTGCTATTGCATTAAGAACAGAAAAATAACAAAAAAAGCAGAGAAAAAACTCAAGTACAGAGCAATAACACCCTAATTAAAACCCCCATCGATATCCGCAGATATATAGTCAATAGAAAGTATTCGTCGCATCCTTGCTCCGATCGTTTGGCTAAAATATAAAAGGTGCTAGAAAAAATTATCTTCAACGTGTTTAGATTTACAATGAAAAATAAAAATGTTATGGCACCTCATAACCAAGCTAACCTGAGGAACACCATTAATTTTTTAATTTTTTTATGAAAAAATCACTACTCAAAACATTTCAAAATTGATTAGTTGTAATCTAGATATAAATATTTATCGATGATAATTTTTTTCGAGAACCTTTGATTTTTATTTTAGGCAAACGATTACAGGGAAATAGAGACGAAATTTCTCTATTGACTGAATATCTATAGATATCGATGGAAAGGACCTTAACCCTTTTCCTCCCAAATAACACAAATTTTTTCTTAACTTTCATCCTCATATCTTTTAATGAAAAAATCGTATGAAAAATTTATCAAGCATCATATCTTGTAGATTTTGACCTCTTTCGAATGCCGTTGACAAAATTTACCTAAATTGTAAGCCGGAAACGTTATAGGCCGGTTTTCCGGAAAATTCACAAATTTTTCGCGTTTTTTTTTAAAAAAAGTATATTTTGAAATGGAAAAAGTTTGCACACACCATTGGAAACACTGTTATCGGTGTTATAGATGTCTTTTCTTTCAAATGCCGTTGGATTTTTTCCGAAATTTAAAATGGCGAACACAAAATGGCGTTCGAAAGGAAAAATTTTTTTTTTAAACTTGACGAATTTTTTCCTCCAAAACTATCAAGTTTAGTGAAAAATTTCTAAGAACAAAAATGTCTTGAAATTAGTCAAGAAATACTCTCAAATTTTTTCAGATTTTTTTACAGCGAATTCGGAAATTTCGATTTTCCGATTTTCCACGAATTCGAAAATTAACTCTCTCGCCTAAAGTCCTATCGCGTCACAATCAGGAAAATCGACTTTTAGCGAGGGTAGAAAAAAAAATAATTGTTAGACTTGAAATTTTTTTAATTTTGTGAAACCAAATTGAAAAAAATGTATACTAAGAATAAAATTGATTAATTTTTTACTCAAAAACTATTGACTCAATAAAAAAATTCATAATAACAAAAGAGTCTTAAAATTTACCAAGGAGTACTCTCAATTTTTTTCAGAATTTTCCGAGTTAATTTTCGAATTCGCGGAAAATCGAAATTTCCAAATTCGCTGTAAAAAAATCTGGAAAAATTTGAAAGTATTTCTTGACTAATTTTAAGACATTTTTGTTCTTAGAAATTTTTCACTAAACTTGATAGTTTTGGAGGAAAAAATTCGTCAAGTTTAAAAAAAAAATTTTTCCTTTCGAACGCCATTTTGTGTTCGCCATTTTGAATTTCGGAAAAAATCCAACGGCATTTGAAAGAAAAGACATCTATAACACCGATAACAGTGTTTCCAATGGTGTGTGCAAACTTTTTCCATTTCAAAATATACTTTTTTTAAAAAAAAAACGCGAAAAATTTGTGAATTTTCCGGAAAACCGGCCTATAACGTTTCCGGCTTACAATTTAGGTAAATTTTGTCAACGGCATTCGAAAGAGGAGGTCAAAATCTACAAGATATGATGCTTGATAAATTTTTCATACGATTTTTTCATTAATAGATATGAGGATGAAAGTTAAGAAAAAATTTGTGTTATTTGGGAGGAAAAGGGTTAACCGTACGAATGTAATAACCTTGACGTTATCGACGTTCAGTTTTAAAGCGGGCGTCAAAAGCCTCAACTTAGGTGTATTACAATCCTTCCATTACTGATGAGTTACCCGTTTAAATGGTAGTTGTGCTTAGCAGCACTAATCATTATTTATTGTCATTCCAGTATTTCTGCACTTAAGTAGTCACTAATTTGTGCTGTGGTGCGTGTGTGTTTGCTATCGATCAAAGCTAAACATTTAATTCATTGTACATTCACCTTGGTATTTATTATTTTAGAATTTCAATCCAATTACTGCAATATCAGCAACCTAACATATCTGATTCCATTCGATTTGTAAACAATGGCTTTTTTGCATATTGTGCAATAGTATTTCTTCATATAGCTTTCCATTACGTTATTATGAAACTATGTTCCATTATTTCCATTATGTTTCGTTATGTTAATGATTAGCATAAAGCAGCAATAATTGCAACTCATGACGAATGTATGAAACAAGCTAGTATATTTACTTCGATTTTCTCACACACTCAATCGCAATACGCATCGTTAATTTTCGTAGATTTATAGTAAATGAAGCCATTACGTTTTACATTGGACGATAGCAAAATTTCATCCCTATTAAATATAAAGCAGGTGTATAATTTTTTATTAACGCTGACCATGGACCGAGCAAGTATTAATCGTTGTACGGCGGCTCTAGTCGAACAAATATTACCTCCATTTTATTTTACCTTCTTTGTAAGGGTTATTATTATATATTTTCGTCTTTATCATTATTTATTATGATTATTATTAAATTATTATCATCATTCCTCTATTTTTTGTCTTACTAATGTATACTTAAGATTAATTTACTTAACTTTTTAAGATTCTTTAACAAGCTATGTCTAATATTATATACAACTATTGATATTCGTTTTGTAATTTGTTTGTTCGTTGTCGTTAAGAACTATTACACGTTGCAGGTTATGCGTTCCTCAAGTGACTTTACTTGGATTTTTTTTCAGCTTTTTCCCATTTTTTTCTCGTTGCGTTATTTATTTCATTTTCATATCGTTTTGAAGAATTTAACATTCATTATTATAAATGTGCGTAACCTAAAATAGATTAAAGCAACAAAAACATACCATTCTTACCACGGTGCAGTTAATTGTACATAAAGATATATTATTTGATCTCTCCCTTCCTATACTCCCAAATTGTAAATAGATTATAAATAACTAAATAAGTGTGCGTGTGTGTGTGTACGTGCGTTCGTGCGCGTGTATGTATACGTGCATGTGTGTGTGATACCGAAAAATATTAAAAATCTATATTTTAATATATTGCATGAAACTAATTACATGAAGCAAAACTATTATAATCTTATTGTTTGAAGTATTCGAATAGAAGCGATACACAAAATGTTTACGAATATTGTTGACCTTTTGGAACACAACATATTGTTGTAATGATGACTATTGAATAAAATTATGACAATGTATCGACTCGAGTTATTTATCTGCCTAAATTGCAATAGTCCATTATTTAGAAATAACAATTCGTATATATTTTTTAAAACAAATTTATTGACCATTGTACACGTTTTACAGCAGTTTTACGTGTAAAGGTTATGTCCTTTCATTGTTTATACTTTCGAGTCGTTGATTATTGCAGCTGTGTTTTTTTTATTCCATATGCCGAGTTGTATCATTGAAATTGAAATTTGATTTGTGTGTTACTGCAAGTATATATGACGCTTTATAAATGACTATTTTTTTGTACTGTGATTATTAATAAGTAATATTACGTCACTAAAAGGTTGAACAAATTTTATCTTTACTATTAAATCACTGCGCAGCCTTCGGATACTGGAAGTGCAACGATTCAATGCATTCAATTCCTTTTCGTTGCGGAATGTACAGTATATAATAAAAATACAGTAAGAATATCAAGATCCTGAGGAAATGTAGATTATAAAAAACCAGAGAGCAATGATGGAATGTATAATAAAGCGAATATTTTGAAATTTATAGGTGCAAGTTACAAAAGTAAATGTTATGAAAGTTGATAACAATAAATCAAATCTTTTTCTTATAAAAAAATATACACATAACTTGACAGAAATATAAAAATGATCAAGTCCTACTCATAAAGTACACGACCGCAGTGGTAAAAAAAATACTTTTTCGAAACAAAGGCAAATGTTTCGAAGTTATATATCGCTAGTAATCTGTTTGAAATTCATTATTTCGTTCCAAAAAACCACACTGGAACATGACTAGCGCTCTAATCCATATTATTTTTTAAGTACACATACATTGCTATCCTTTTATCACATGCTCTGGTAGGCCTTTTAAATATCCTAGTCGGTAAGGATCGTAATAATATGTAATATGTGACGCGTATATAAAAATAGCGTCAGGCACAAGGTGTAACGCTTTGTCCTTGAGAGCTTCCATCATCTTATTAAACTAGAGAGTGTGGAAAAATCTTCATGGCAACGTAATCCTCCAAGACCTGCAGTAAAAATTGATTTGATAATAATATATATGTCGTCTTATTCAAGAAAAAATACCAACACACTTGTTTCAGTAATTCCTTAGTCATTTGCGGATACATGTATGTAAAACCAGTATTTTCAGATAACTTTCCAGGTCTCAAGTGCAAATGATGATATTGAAGAAGCTCTTGATCTATGTAAGGAGAAAGAGGAGTATTTTCTACTCCATCTTTATTGCAAGCCTCTGCCCAAGGCTCCATGTGCTTATCGTTGATCTCCTCCACAACTCCATTCATATCCATCTAAAACAAATTATTTTTCATTTTCTCTATACTATTCTATGAGACATAAAATTTATGTACCTTGGCAATTGAAGACAAAGTATTGCCCCAGTAATCATGATTAATGTTAAAAATTTCAGAAATGATAGAACTGATGGAGCCTTGAGTAGAATTTCCGTTATCTACAAGATTGTATATTTGTCCAACAGCATTTGGTTTTGTAGCTACATGCCACATAGCTCGAACAACATCCCTCACATGAACTGTATTCATTTTTAAATCAGGTCCCCACAGTAACTTCATCATTTCACCTAAATGTTTGTACAAGGCTCCAATCACTAAACGAGGTGCTGCAGGTGTTGATTGTATATGTATCAAAGCAGTTTATATTAAAATAGTGTTGCACTTGAAAATATTTACCTAAACCATTTCGATCTCCTGGACCATACACTATGGCAGGCCTGAGTACAGTATATTTCAGCCCGACAACTGTCTTTAATTCATTTTCAACCTGAAGCTTGTATTTTGCTACAAAAGTCCATGGTTCAGCTGTATCGTCTTCCTTAAATGGCATCTTCAAAATAATTCAAAAGGTTAGAACTTGCAGTCATGAAAAAAAATAAAGCAATACAAAATGTACCTTTTCGGAACAAATGAAATTTCCAGAAGAAATTTCAACATAGTGCTCAATGCCAAGCTTAGCTGCTTGCTGTGCACAGTTTATGCTCAATTTATAAATTCCTTCTTTGTAAACTGGATCAGTTTGACCACTCTTAGTTTCACCAGCACAGTTAAATATATAAGTAATTGGATTGTCAGGAGTAAATGCATTTTGACAGGAAACTATGGAAATGGAAATTTTTTTAATCCAATTTATGTCTATTTTATCAATGAATTAAAACATTACTTAATCAAAACATTACTTGGATTTATAAGATTAGCACTTTTAAATTCAACTAATGGATGCTCAAAAATTTTTTGATGTTTAACATTCAACCAAGCAGTTTGTGGTGGCACTTTATCTATCACCCTCAAGTATGAAACCAGATCATTTTCAATCAAGTATTCTACAAGATTACGACCAATAAATCCACAACCTGAAACATATACATGCGCATCGTTTAGCTACTACTTCAATTGTTACTTTGAACTATATTCATTATTAATTAATAAACAATTGTATCCTAAAAAAGTAAATAATTTTATTATCACAGATTTTAACAATAAGAAATATTTATATTAACAAAGCATATATTTTTAAATCTCAGAAGTGACTTAACAACCTTTTTTCACCTCGCACCCCTGTGTGAATCGCACACATACTCTGTAAATTCCAAAAATTCAAATCGGTCAAAGATAAATATAAAAGTACATACATTTTTAAATAAATGAAAATAAATTATCAGAATTCTAATGGTTATTGTAATTTTGGAGAAGTATTTAAAAAAATGCTAGCGTAAATCTTACCACCAAGGACAATTACACCGGGTTTTCCGTTAGGCACCTTGATATTAGCCATCGCTCAATACTGAATTTCGAGAGTACACTGAATGCAGGAAAAAAATAGGTAGATATGTCTTAATTGTTCGAGTACTTGTCGTTGATTCTTCGTCTCTGTTATAATCCTACGTGACAGCGATATTATTATGACAAGTGGTACCGGTAGCAGACTCTTTATCAAACTCTGATAAGAGATAAAAGGCTTCACAATCGCGACCACACACACGCACACGCGCGCGCGCACATATGTACTCGTATGAAAGAAAAGCGGAATGTATAATAAAGAGCAAAGGCGTTCTCTTGCCCTGTTCATTCGCTCTCTTTCTCAGAGCTCATAGCGATATAGTTGTATTGATATTTGAAAGCCTCTCGCCTCATTTCCGTTGCAGGTATCCATAAGCACATTTTCACGATTATGAATCATGTTTTGTCAAAATATCTTTTTCGTTTTCATATATACTTATAATATAGCCATAAATTATTTTTTAACACTTAGTTGATCATGTATAGTCATAAATAAACATATATATTATTGTATAAATGTTGATAAATCTTTAAACTGCTTCAAGTAAATAATATTTTTGTGTCTGTGGTAGATATAGGTGCAGCTTGATGTACACTATGCTATATTTTTGTTTTCGTGATTGTTTCTGAAAAAATAGCACACAATCGTCTACTTGTCTCGCGCGCACAAATGACAGCTCTCTGGTTAAGTTGAGCACCACTATTGGATCGCCTTAACCTACGCCCATTCGACATTTATTTTATGTAACTCATGTCGCCCTAAAGGCAGCTGATCGTCATCTAGGCGATCTGTATGTGACGGTTTTCGGCCCGCTGGAAAAGCTGAGAACCTTGGCAGGCGAGTAAATCGTTCTTTTGCAATAATTTTTAACGTGTGTGCCGATTACAAATAACCTTGATAAAAGTCAGCTGCTATTGATGCCATTTCATCTGCTTACAGGTTTTGAGTCTTAAGCAAGGGATAAATTAGTTAGTTTGGTCTAGCGTTGCCTTGGTCAGTCCGTACTAACGATGGGCTTGAGTCAAAGTTCTCGGAAATTAACGATCGAGAACGACGAGAACGATAATAATGTCATCAGGATCAGTGACGCGGTAGCTAGACGGCTTTCTCAGACTGCTGTCCATAAAGTTGAGACTACACCTCTGGTGCAGAAGCCGGCCGCTATACCCGCTCTGACTAACCCTGCCAACAGGACTATTTTGCCACAGGAGCTCGCCGCCGCCGATGCCCACTATCCTCAGTTTACAATATCTGCTCTGGAAATGCAACAGCAGAAAGAGAGGGAACTGGCTGAGCAAGAGGCTTACTGGCAAAAACGTTTGCAAAATCTTGAAAAAACTCATGAGAAGATCAATAGTGCCATTGAGGCGGAATACAAAAAGGCACTCACAATCTTTGATGACTGCAGAGGTAACCAATTGTCAATCTAGTTATTACTTATTTTCTCTACTGTTGCATAAACTTGTTTTATTAAAAGGAATACTTTTTCTTCCACAGTAATCAAAGTCCAAGATGCTGTCAAGCCTTGCGTTGAAAACAGACAGAAGGTATTAAAGTGCTATCAGGATAATCCAAGGGAAACCCTAAGATGTGCTGATTTGGTACAACAATTTTCAAACTGTGTGGATCAGCGTAGAACACAACTCATGAGATGTAATTAATATTTGAGGGTTGAAGTTGTAAGAAAAAATTTGAAATCAAGTTGGTTCTATGCACTTTGTAACTAAACTCCTAGTTGTTGCTAATTTACAATTTATATCTATGGAATGTTTTGAAACTTGAGATATGTCAAGTGCGTGAGTGAGATCTAAAACAGTTGTATAATATATTTATGAATTTGATAATTGTGTTGCTTTAAATTTCCATAGAGATTGGACAGAAAAAAACTCATGAGATGAACTAATTTTTTAGAATTCTTAGAATATTTTTATTAAATAAAAACTACACATAAAAAAAGTGGAATAAATTGTTAGTAACTTCCCCTACAAAATCAGAGTTTATTATTCAACAATATATACACATACATTTTTGTATTTCATCACTTATTTTATTAATATTTGTTTACTTTTTGGAAATATTGATGATTTCAAATTTTCTTTCTATAACATAAGCTATTGGTTTGCTGTAAATATTATAATTTACTACATACCTCTTAATAAATTATATGGAGGTTAGCATGGATAAAATTTTTGGTCATTGCTACCAATTAAAAAAACTTGTTTTAGGGACATCTTGCTTGAATTTGCTCAAAGCATACTGCTTTTGTTATAGGTAACAAATAAAGCCCAAGATTAATTGTACAGTTTATTGCAAATAGTTTCAGAAATGAAATTTTTAAGTAAATTGCCCAACACGTAAAAATATAATTTTTAATTTTTTTAATAAAAGAATCACATTAATAATTAATTTCAATTATATCATTCAGACTCAAGTTATAACTTTATAAAACTATACAAAAATCAAACACCTCAAAAAAGTATTACACTGCACTGTTTTACTGTTGTAGGTTGACAGCCAACAATATTTATGACAAAAAAGGTAAAATTTTCAATCACTCTTCTTGTCTACTCCACCGGCTTTTAAAAATTTAGAGTACTCTTCATTTAATCTGTCGTACTCTTTGGCCAGTGAATCTGCTTGTGACTTGACAGCTACCTTGTCTTTTTTCTCTTTAGACAATTCATTTTCTAACTGGCAATTTTTGGCTTGCAATTCTTTCAGCTCAATTTTCAATTCTTTCAAAGCTTTATCATGAACTTCATTGGAGTCATTTTGTGCGCTTTCACCAGACTTTTGTAAAAGATTTCGGGCAGCAGTAGTGGCGGATTGAGCTTGTTTCATGGATGCTTCACTTTGAGCCAAAAGAGTAGCCTGTGTGGAGATCAAAATTACTAGTCGACGAATTACAAGAGATAAGAAGAGAGCAAATCCGGAAATATAGAAGTTTCTCTGAGCACGAAACAACCTCATATTTCCTGAAACATGAAATTGACAATTTCACAATTGAAATCTATTAATAATGGAAAATTATAATTTATACCTTGCATTTCAGCATCCAAATGCTGATGGCCATGCTCACTTGGCTCTATATGTGAGTATTTTCTCATCTCGCGAATAGCATCCAATAAGAATAATACTAGTATTGCTAGTAAAACGAGAAAGTATATTGATGCCTGCTGTCCAAGGCTTTGCAAAAATCTTGATTTGAAAAGTCTTTGCCATCTTTGGGGTGAAGCAACTGGTAAGACTAAAAGTAGTACTACAACTATTTCGGCGTACAGAAACGAGGCAATCAAAGTCCACTGCAGACTCATTGTGCTAACTGTTTTCAAAGCGCGAGTGATGAGCAAACCTGTAAATGATGTAATCCAATATGTAGCTTGATTTTTTCGATTCGAAAAACAATTAATCGTAACGTTCTTTACGCAACCTTAATTTTTCGTTGGATTGTTTTATTTTCGTTAAAAACTTGATGGAAAATGTAAAAGGTATGCATATATCTATCGCTATTCGTAATATTTCAATCGTATACTAATCAATCAAGTACCTCTAATGATGACTGTACAAGTAAAATAGCTAGGTTAAATAGTTGCGCGTGTGGTATACAACTATTACATATATTCTATATACTCATATCTGTGCATACACATGTCACGGTCATGGGTTTGGATTTACCGTACGATTTCTTAGGAATAGGTATGCTAGCAGAATGAAAACTGAACATTTTTCGGATAACTTTTCTTTATTATTAGTAATCTTATGCAAATGACAAATGAATATAAATGGATAAGTTGTTAATACTTACTAGAAGTGATGATAATAGAATTCCTCAAGCCACCTAACTGCCCACTACAAGGTGCTAGTTCAAAGTTCACTAATTGGAATCGAAGATGAAGATGACAAAATTGTATATAAATAAAACTTCGCCGCGGAGGTCTCTTGTTGACGTCATCAGTGGACAAAACATATAGAGGAATATGCGGTTTCGCTTACGAGACTTGTTTTGATTGGTTCTCTCACGCATTCGTTATTTTTCCCGCCAATTTGAAGTTTCCTGTTGCCATCTATCGAAATATATGTGAATGACGAAGACTTGTGAATCTGACGCCTAAAAAAATTTTTTAATCATATTTTTGAGTTTTCATGAGCTAAAACGTTTTCTCCCTTTTTCCGGATTATGTCTCCGCTTGAAATTTTATTTCCAGATTTTCCGTTTTTAAGAAAATTGCGAAAAAAAATCGGGCGTTCGTATAGCGCGCAAAATGCATTAAACATTTTTCTCCTTTTAAATAAAAAGAAATAATATCGATAGCGGATGATAGCTCCTTATTACCGGATTACGAAACAATTTTCCTTTTGTCGATTTTCTATCAAAAATTAAGGAAAATGTAAAAATTAGTAATATGCGGCAGTTAGTCGATAAAACAGGTAAAACGTTTGCTAATCACCAGATATCCCTATATGAGTTCTACATTGCGTAATTATAATAATAAGTAATTTAAATTCTACTCAATTAACCATTCACATTTTATGTACATATACATAAATAATTTTTTCTAAGGTTTTCTATAAGTTTGTCAACATGTCAATTTTATAATTAATATTTTAACTATATAAAATAACATAATTCTGAACAAAGTAATAAAAAAATTGAATTGACTAGTTAAAATTGAAAAAAACAATCATTCATCAAAAACTTATAGCTTAGTTTTATATTTGTTGAATTATTTAATAACGAACTTAATTTTACTTCCATTCTTCTTAACAATATAAAGTAATAATCCATTGTAGCATATTATAAAAATACTTCAATATACAGGTCAGGTTAAAATAAACTATATTTGTTTTGTCAAAAATATATTTGTTTCAACGTAGCAACACTTTTGCTAATTTTGTGGATAATGATTACGATTAGGTATTTGCATAAAAAAACATAAATAATCCAACCTTATTGTTTTATAGTTTTTAATATATTTTATAATACGACATATTGGTCACAATGTTTATCAATAAATATTGTATATATAACATAAGCAAGGAAAAATAAATTATATATTTTTGACAAAACAAATATAGTTTATTTTAACCTGACCTGTATATTGAAGTATTTTTATAATATGCTACAATTGATTATTACTTTAAATTGTTAAGAAGAATGGAAGTAAAATTAAGTTCGTTATTAAATAATTCAACAAATATAAAACTAAGCTATAAGTTTTTGATCAATGATTGTTTTTTCCAATTTTAACTAGTCCATTCAATTTTTTTATTACTTTGTTCAGAATTATGTTATTTTATATAGTTAAAATATTAATTATAAAATTGACATGTTGACAAACTTATAGAAAACCTTAGAAAAAATTATTTATGTATATGTACATAAAATGCGAATGGTTAATTGAGTAGAATTTAAATTACTTATTATTATAATTACGCAATGTAGAACTCATATAGGGATATCTGGTGATTAGCAAACGTTTTACCTGTTTTATCGACTAACTGCCGCATATTACTAATTTTCACATTTTCCTTAATTTTTGATAGAAAATCGACAAAAGGAAAATTGTTTCGTAATCCGGGAATAATGAGCTATCATCCGCTATCGATATTATTTCTTTTTAAACAGGAGAAAAATGTTTAATGCATTTTGCGCGCTGTACGAACGCCCGATTTTTTTTCGCAATTTTCTTAAAAACGGAAAATCCGGAAATAAAATTTCAAGCGGAGACATAATCCGGAAAAAGGGAGAAAACGTTTTAGCTCATGAAAACTCAAAAATATGATTAAAAAAATTTTTTTGGGCGTCAGATTCACAAAGTCTGAGATCATAAACACACACACACACACATTAGATATACATAATGTGCGTTATCTGGGTAATTCACGTTTGTTGCTCACCGGATAATATACGTATGAATTGATGGTATAAAAGGAGTTTACCTATCCCAATCTGAGTCAGCACGGCAACTGCGGGGACATATATAAAGGCGAACTCGCAGCGCAGATGATGGTTGTTTTGTTTCCGCGAAGCGAATTTGTGTATTGCTAAGTGACGAGTGTCCGTCGTACAGACGGCAAACAATAAAAATGCCAGCCTTCCTTAAGCACATCGAGGTAGAGAATTTTAAATCCTACAAAGGCAAACTCACTATTGGACCGCTGAAATCTTTTACTGCGGTCATCGGTCCAAATGGATCCGGTAGGTTATATTTGTATGTCTAAGTTTTAACCGGCTATCAATTGTCTATAACAATCAACTTGTCCCTTAGGTAAGTCAAATTTTATGGATGCCATTAGTTTTGTCATGGGAGAGAAAACCAGTAGCTTGCGTGTCAAGAGATTTAACGAACTTATCCATGGAGCGTCCATTGGTCAACCTGTGTCAAGGAGGTGAGTATGCGCGAAGTGACCATTTTATCTAAGCAATGAATACACCTGACAGATACCTGTAAATTTCAGCGCATCTGTCACTGCTGTTTTTGAACTTGAAGATGGCACAGAAAAGAGCTTTATGCGGTCCGTTCATGGATCTTCCTCGGAACATCGCATCAATGGAAGTGTAAGAATACAAACGCCTTAATTTCATTGCTGATAAAATTTACAGGGTTGATATTCTTTCCAGATTGTCACAAGTCAAGTTTATTTAAATGAATTGGAACATCTTGGCATCAATGTCAAAGCCAAGAATTTTCTAGTTTTTCAAGGTGCTGTCGAATCAATAGCCATGAAAAATCCAAAAGAAAGAACCACGTTATTTGAAGAAATCAGCAACTCTGGAGCTTTGAAAGCAGAGTATGAGCGCTTGAAAGCAGAAATGTTGAGAGCCGAGGAGGAGACTCAATTTTCATACCAAAAGAAAAAGGGTATAGCAGCTGAAAGGAAAGAAGCCAAGCTTGAAAAAGAAGAAGCAGAAAAATATCAGCGTCTGAAGGAAGAGTACATAGAGAAACAAGTTGAACTGCAACTTTTTCGATTATATCATAATGAAAGAGAAATTGAAAGCTTGGAAACTTCATTGGAAAAAAAAAAGTATGAGATTGACAAGATTGAAAAAAAGCGCGAAAAAGCCGAGGAAATTTTGAAGGAAAAGAAGAAAGAGTCGGGCAAATTGGCCCGTGAATTAGCGAAAATTGAACAAGATATCAGAGAAGTTGAGGTGGAAATTACAAAAAAGAGACCAGCATTTATCAAAGCCAAAGAGCGTGTCGCTCACATGCAAAAAAAGTGTGAATCGGCAAAAAAATCCTTGGCGCAAGCACGAGTAGCTGACGAAGCTCACAAGAAAGACATAAATGAACTGCTGGAGGAATTGAAACAAGTTGAAGAGGCTAAGGCTGCTTATGAATCTAGTATTGCTGCCCAATCACAAAGCCAAGGCAGAGACGTACAACTAGAGGATGAACAGGTTTGTAAACATTCAATCTTAAAATATGAAATTTTAGATTGTCATTCACAAACGTCAATATTTTTACAAGGTACGCGAGTACAATAGGTTGAAAGAAGAAGCTGGAAAGCAATCTGCAAGGTACACACAAATGCTTGATTCAATTAACAGGGAACAAAAATCTGATCAAGATAGGTTGGATAACGAGGGCAGGAAAAAGACAGATATTGAAAATAAAATAAAGCAGAAAGAGCATGTGCTTGAAGAGGCGACCAAGCGAATTGACAAATTAGAGGAACACATTCGTACGTCGGAGACTGCTCTGGAGGAACAAAAGAAATTGCGCGGTGATTTGCAGTCGGACGTTGGTAGCTCAAAAGATAGAATTCAAGAGCTACAGACAGAATTGGAAAGTATTTCAGAGCAATTAGGCGATGCCAAAGTTGACAAGCATGAAGTGTCAAGAACAAAGAAAAAAACTGAAATCGTTGAAAATTTTAAGCGACTATTTCCTGGTGTGGTAAGTTTTATACAAAATTCAACTCATTCATCATGAGATAATAGATATTATTTTGTCTAGTATGACCGTATGTACAATATGTGCGAGCCAATTCATAAACGTTACAACGTCGCCATTACAAAAGTGCTTGGCAAATACATGGAAGCCATTGTCGTTGACACGGAGAAAACTGCTCGACAGTGTATTCAATATTTGAAGGAACAGTATCTCGAGCCTGAAACGTTTTTGCCTTTGGACTACATTCAGGCTAAACCATTGAAGGAGCGTCTTAGGTAGTCGCAATTGTGATTTTTTTTTAGACCAAGAGTATTTACGTGTGTTTGTTGGTTTCAACAGGAATATCCAAGAACCAAAAGGCGTTAAATTGCTCTACGATGTTTTACGCTTTTCACCAAAAGATATTGATCGCGCCGTTTTATTCGCGACCAACAATGCTCTAGTTTGCGAAACTCCCGAAGATGCCAATAAAGTAGCTTATGAGATGGATAAAAAAGCAAGATATGATGTATGTTATTACTTGTTGCATGTAACTGTAATAAATATCGAACTTGCTGACTGTTAATACATATATTTTAGTGCGTAGCTCTTGACGGAACATTTTATCAAAAGGCTGGCATCATCTCTGGAGGTAGCTTGGATTTGGCAAAGAAAGCAAAGAGGTGGGATGAGAAACAAATGTCTCAATTGAAAGCTCAAAAGGTATACATACGTCATTACTTGAAAAGATTATTAATTACAAATTTTACGTGTACTGATGAATTATAGGAAAAATTGACGGAAGAGCTCAGGGAGGCTCTTAAGAAATCTCGCAAAGAGTCTGAATTAAACACAATAGAATCACAGATTCGCGGATTGGAAACTCGTTTGAAATATAACAAAAGTGATCTAACGGCTACGGTACAATCTAATGATTTTTTTGCTGTTTTTACAAATATAACGAAAATGCATGGAAATTAATTTATTTACAGAGGAAGCAAATTAACGAGCTGAATTCAGAGTTGACAAAATTACAAGCGGAGTTGGACAAGTTCTTGGTAAAAAATTTTGTAAAACATTACGGATAACGAATTAATTTTGGTATATTTAATATTTTATTGAAATATGTTTTTCGAAAGCCAACAATAACAGCTATTGAAAAAACAATGGCTGAGCGTGATCAGGAAATTCAAAATATTAAAGAGAAAATGAACAACGTAGAAGATGACGTGTTTGCTAGTTTTTGCGAGTCTATTGGCATTTCCAACATTCGTCAGTATGAAGAGAGAGAATTAAGATCCCAGGAAGAAAGAGCCAAAAAACGCATGGAATTTGAAAACCAGTGCAATCGTATTCAAAATCAGTTGGACTTCGAGAAACAACGAGACACTGAAAGCAAGTGTTTATAATAAAAAACAATGAAAAATTGCTTTCAGTGCAAATAAATGTTTAGTTGGTGTAATTTTAGGCAACGTATTGAGATGGGAGCGTGCTGTGCAGGATGCTGATGACAAGTTGGAATCTGCTAAGCAGACTGAAAAAAATCAAAAAGCAGAAATTGAAAATGACGAGAAACAGATGGAGGATCTGAAGCAGTCTAGGAATCTTAAGAAGAGAGAAGTAGACGACAAAGAAGATGAAATTGGCAAATGCAGGCGTGATGTCGGTGCTATTGCCAAAGATATTCAAGCGGTTAATAAACAACTCAATTCTATAGACAACAAAATTGAACAGAGAAAGGGCGAACGTCATGCTATTCTTATGCACTGCAAGGTAAATTTTTCCGATTATCCTTCCTCAGCTATGATTATCCGAAATTTATCTTCTCTAGATGGAAGACATTGCGATCCCAATGATTCGTGGAAATATGGAAGACATTGCTGGAGATACAAGCACTGTCAACGAATCCAATACTGACTCTAGTATCAATTCACAAAAGCAGTTCGAGAGGGAAAGACGCATTACGATAGACTACTCTTTGTTACCTGAAAATCTAAAAGATGTGGATGAAGAGGATCTTAAAAAACAGACGGATAAACTGACGAAAATTATAAATGATTTACAAACCACAATTCAGCGTATTCAAGCGCCAAATATGAAAGCCATTCAGAAATTGTATCTGGCTAAAGAAAAGCTGCAAGAGACGAACGAAGAGTTTGAGCAGCTGCGCAAAAAGGCTAAAAAGGCAAAAACCCAATTTGAAAAGATTAAAAAAGAAAGATACGATAGATTCACTACTTGCTTTGAACATGTAGCCAATGAAATTGATCCCATTTATAAGGTAATTAAAAAAAAAAATCAACAATTTGATACAACCATAGTATATTTCCCGTTTCAGAGTTTAGCTAAAAATCAGTCTGCTCAGGCCTTCTTGGGACCAGAAAATCCAGAGGAGCCTTACTTGGATGGTATTAATTATAACTGCGTAGCCCCTGGTAAAAGATTTCAACCCATGTCAAATTTATCTGGCGGTGAAAAGACAGTTGCAGCTTTAGCTTTATTATTTGCCATTCATAGGTGAGATTTAATATTTGATATTATTGCTAAATTATTTAAAAAAAGTATTAAATAAATTTTATTTCCATCGTCTTGTCACATTTTTTACAGCTATCAGCCTGCTCCGTTTTTTGTATTGGATGAGATTGACGCTGCTTTGGATAACACCAATATTGGAAAAGTTGCCAGCTATATTAGAGACAAGACCAATTCTCTTCAAACGATTGTTATATCTTTAAAAGAAGAATTTTATTCACACGCAGATTCACTTATTGGCATTTGTCCGGATGTATGTTGTAAAAAATTATCATTGTTTTATGTTATTCAACTACTACTTTATTGAGAAAATTCTTTACATTTTTAGGTTGGAGAATGCCTAGAAAGTAAAGTGCTAACGTTAGATTTGACGCAGTTCCCTTCACATGTTAGTTAATTTACGACATTCTCTAAAAATGTTTACTTTATTCATCCATGAGCTTGTATTTTTTATACTATTCATGTATGTGTAAAATGATGATATACCTAAAAGGTATGTGTAAGGAACGGAGATATGGCTAATTAAGTAAATATACTCTGTAGTAAGATAAAGATTATTTCTGATTTTTCAACGTCTTTTTGACTTGACGAAATATTGAATTTATTAAACAAAAGTATTTCGATAATACATACCTACTATTTAAAAAAAGTAAATTTATTGAGAACCGAAGATGTTTTCGTCATTGTAATGGCAAGAAATAATACACAAATAAACACAAATAAATTTTAATTGCAACTGCTTGATTGTTTCGTTTGGGTGCAAATTTGAGTTATTTCATGATGATATGGATTAGAAATAATAGTCAACTTTAGATCACCTTTACTGTTGATCGTAAGATAGTTATTTTTTTATACACACCTAACTTTTTTTGTCGACTTATCTGATTTCCACCATTTTATTATTTGTATAATTAATAAAACAATTCTCAAAACATAGCATCGCGTTTTTTTACTGTCTATTTTGTTCCCATAAAAGCCAGTCGTTAAATTATCATAGAATAATTGTTATTCCGTAATCAAATGACTGTATGATAAACTGTCAATCAACAAGCTTGTAAGGTAGTTCTCGCGTGTAGGGTCGTTGTCGTCAAGGCCACATGAAGCTGAAATCATTTTCTCGCACATGTACATATCTTGATTTGTTCATACTTTAAATATACTTGATTTCTCGATAGCGTACTTACGTAAAGTCGAGACCCCACACGTATGGAGTGTCGGAGAAAACCATTTCTGGAAAAGGTCGGCGAACCATCCTACGATAAGTCAAGCTGAACTCTCGTTTTCCTAGCTTTGCTTCTATGATCGAGTACATGACGATTACGCAGCAAATGCTAGATGGCTAATTTACCATGGGTATGAAATGGTGAATGGATGACTGGCAAAGAAGGGTCCAAAACGCAAATGCCGAGAGTTGACGTGCCGTGCTAGAAGAATCTCGAGAACGCGGCTAAATGCAGGCGGCAGTTTGCACAAATCCATTTAGTTTGAGTGCTCTCGATGTAGAGTTTGTCCGTTTTCGCGCATCGAAACGCGCGTCCCAGATGGTCTATCACACGATCGAGCTCCATAATTACTAAGCGCACGGAGCATCAGAGATGCGCAAGACTTTCTTTTAACGAGAGGAATCTACACGCGGCCTCTTTCTCCTCGTTGTCGATGCGTGCTGCGCGCGCCAGTGTCGCAACGAGTTTCGCTCAGGTTCCTACTCGCCGATCGTTCGCGAACCTTGATTGAAGAGGCACGGCTTCTTGGAATTGGAGTTGGCGCCAGCTGAGATTGATCGGAGATTCGAGGGCCGAATCCGAGCCACGCACAAGTTGAATGCAGAGGAGAACGAAAATAACAGAGACGCGACACTTGAGCCGGCGACATCGACATCTGGCCTCATCTCTCTTAGAAGAGAGAGGGAGAGAGTAAGAACGAGAGCGCGAGCGAGAGCGACAGCGAGCTCGAGGAAGAGCCCTCGAGAGAAAGAAATTAGGGTCACGCGGAAGAGCGCGGCGAGAGTGACGTAATTGACAGCCGAAGCGCGTGCGAGTCGGGTCCGCGTGCTGATTGCTATGGATCGGTCGACACGTCGCCGCGCGCGCCGATCGACGCGCAGCTGCAGCCCTCGCCGCCGACGCGCGCCGCGCGCAATCTCGGCATCGGCGCGGGCGACGCGGCAAGTGGGCCGCCGTTGAGCAGCCGATCGGGCGCCAGCGATGCCGAGCGCTCGCGCAGCCGGCGCGAAACGGCCCGCGGAGGCGCCGAGGACGCACGCAAGCGGGTCTGCTGCGGGGCGCCCGGCGCGCATCCGGCGGCGCCGCGCGCGGAGGGCTCGCGCGAGCGCCCCGCCAGCGTGCCGCGCCGCTAGACGTTCGCTAGTGGAGGCCGAGCGCCCGAGCTCCGGGCCCAGTCTCAGCTCCGTCGCGGGCCTGTGCGCGCGCCGGTCATCGTCCTCGCCGCCTTCGCTCGTCCGTCGCTGAAACGAGTGCGCAGCCGTACCGAGGATGCGACACTGCTACCTGTTGCTGGCGATCGGCGCCGGCCTGCTGCAGGCGGCGCTGCTGGATGAGTCGGCGCCTGCCGCTGGGTCCAAGAGCAGGCGTCAAGGGTCGTCCGCCGGCGACGCCGCGGGCTACGAGTACGACGACGGCTACGAGCAGCAGCAGCAGCAGCAGCAGCAGCAGCAGGACGAGGACGAGTACGAGGACAGCGACGTCAGGGGTGAGATCGATCGGCTTTCTTCGTAGCGGCCGAGTCGCCGAGTGCTGCGGCTGCCTCCGCTGCTCGCCGGAAGTCTCGCGGATGACCTACTCCGTGGATTATTAATAGCTCTACAATTGGAGCCAGATGCATTCGCAAGTTACACGCGGGATTTCGCCAATTTTCGCGCGTGCGTCATTTGTTACAGCCGACGGGGTCGGGCAGACGCAGTCGTCCTCGACTCTGGGCGGCCTGCGACTGGACGCGCAGCACGGTAAGCGGACGACGAGGTGGCCGAGTCGGCCGGCAAAGACGAGCGCACGATCGGCCCTTGTGGTTTGCAGGCCGCTCCAGAGCCACCGGTGCAGCGACAGCAACGTCGACGACGAGTCTCGACCTCTCGTCGACGTCGCGATACTACACGACCGAGCAGCCGGGGCCGCCGTTCAACAACTCCCGCTTCGGCTACCCGCCAGGTACGTAGGCCGATGCGAGACAAGTCTAGTAGCCCAATACCCCGGATGTGCGCACAATCATGTGGATGTCGTTATTAGAAAGTCAGAACGTGCCTTGCAAGGTCGACGGCTCGTATCGCAGATCAAGCGAGTACTGGCGACCCTCCGGCTGCACCGTGTGCCGATGTCTCCGAGGGCAGGTCGACTGCACGCGCATACACGCCTGCACTAGCAGTGAGTGATCGATTCTACTTGCGCGTGTCGCGCCTCGCGCCTCGCGCAGCCAATCATTCCGAACAATGACCTGCACCGACCGTTTTACCGATGAACACGTGCATCGATGCAGCTACCACGGAGCCGCTCGCCACTGCTGGCATTCGCTACGATATCACACAGAGATCGGTAAGACGTTGCCGCGACGCGCCCCGGAGTCCACGGCCAGGCTGCGACTGCGGCGCTTGTTTCGCTTTCAGTACACCAGCGCGGAGTTGAACTACCGGACGAGCCACCAGGTCAACGTCAGCGTCGGCGAGTCCCACAGCCAGGTAGGTAGCGCTCGTCGCAGCCGGACGAGCGTCACCGAGCCAGCGACGCCCACTAGCAGGCGCACCGACGAGAATCGAGAGCTGACAAGCGTTCGTCGATGTGCTTTCAGAGCTCCACTCCCGTGGTAGACGTAAGGGCAACGCAACTGGCGCGCCGCTCGAGGCCGCGGTCGTTCTAACGGAATAATTGTCGTTTGCGAGGTCTCCGCGTACGCGCAGCAGCTGCCGCAGAGCCAGCTGCAGGCGAGCGACGACAAGGGACCCAGTGCCATGCTTTATCCGGAAGCTTACGAGCAGCCCGGCCTCCGAGGCGCTCCGGGTAAGAGCTGCACTGGGCGAGCTGCCGCTGGGCCGACGACGCGCTGACTGCCACGATTGCAGGGCCTGCAGGATCGGCTGGACCCATGGGCTTCCCGGGGCCTAGAGGAGAGATCGGGGAACCGGGGCCGCCGGGCGTCCCGGGCGCGCTCGGCCCGCGCGGGCTGCCCGGGCTGCCCGGGGCCGACGTAAGTCGTGCATTCCGGCGCGCTGCCCGCATCGCGTGGACGGCTGAACGGCGAGCTGCTTGCTGATCCGGTCGCAATTCTCTCGAGCAGGGCGTGCCCGGCGACGACGGCGAGCCGGGTCAGACGGGCCCGCAGGGCGCCCCGGGCGTGCGCGGTGCCCCAGGACTGCCCGGACTGCCGGGGACCAAGGGACACCGCGGCCCGGCGGGAGTCGACGGAGCGAAGGGCGAGCGGGGCCTCCAGGGCGAGAGGGGCCCGGTCGGGCCGACGGGCCTCGCGGGACTGGCGGGATCAACGGTAGCACGCCGGCGCTGGGCGACTCCCGGCTCCGTCGACCGCGGTTAGCTCACTGCTGCGCGCTCGGCTTCCAGGGAGCCGCCGGCCCGAAAGGCGACAGGGGCAGGGACGGTGCGCCCGGGCCCGCCGGAGCCCGGGGCCTCGACGGGCTGCCCGGGCCCGTGGGCCCTGCGGTAAGAGCCCCGGGGACGCGCGCCCGCGGCAGCCACTCACGCTCGCTCCCGCTTTCGCTGTCCAGGGCGCTGTCGGCCGAACTGGACCGCCGGGCTTCCCGGGGATCCGAGGAGCCAAGGGCGATCAGGGCGCGCAGGGCCCCAAGGGCAACCAGGGCTTGCAGGGCCCGCGAGGTATGAGCCGCGGCCGATGGCGCTAAGCCGACCCCCCCCCCCCCCCCCCCCCAATGTCTGCCTCGCAACTGACCGAACGCTTGTCGCCGCTCGACGCTCGGCAAGCGCAGGCGAGGCCGGCCGAGCTGGCGCTGCAGGCGAGGCCGGGCCGAGCGGGGCCCCGGGGAAGGAGGGGCCGCGCGGCGAGAAAGGCAACGCCGGCGCGAGCGGCCCGAGCGGACGGCCGGGAATCCCCGGAGCCCGGGGACTCCCCGGCGTTCCCGGCAACGCCGGAGCGCCCGGCAGCGAGGGCCTGCCGGTGAGCAGCGGCGGCCCCCGGCCTACGCCGGCGCCCGCGCGCCCGCTACGCTGATCACCGTGCCTGCTTCCAGGGTGCGCCGGGCGAGAAGGGCGCTCGGGGTGACGCGGGGCAGAAGGGCGAGACGGGCTTCCCGGGAGCGCGCGGCCAGCCCGGTCCGGCCGGCAGCGAGGGCAAGAAAGGTAAGCGCGGCGCCAGCGGACCTGTCGGAGCCGCCGGCCCAGCGGGGGAGCGGGGCCCGCCCGGGCCTAGGGGTCCGCCGGGCGCCGACGGCGCGGCCGGCGCAAAAGGTACGAGGCCACTGTTCCGCACGCATGTCGCTGACCACGAGTCCTGCTAAAGCCCTGTCCTCGGCCGCGAGCAGGCGAGCCGGGCGAGCGCGGTCCGGTAGGGCCGAGCGGCCCGAAGGGAGCTCCCGGCGACAGCGGAAAGGAGGGACCAGCGGGCGCGCAGGTACAGGCTCGGCGCGGCCCGGCCCTCGGCGCTCTTGACAGCACGCCGGCGACTTGCAGGGTGTCCGCGGCGCACCCGGCAAGCCGGGCAACCCGGGCAAACCCGGCAACCACGGCGACCGGGGAGCCGCCGGGAGCGACGGCAAGCCCGGCGAGCAGGGCATCCAGGGGCCCCCGGGGCCCATCGGCCCGGTCGGCCCGTCCGGCGAGCGGGGATTCCCGGTAAGCGGCTGGCGCCAGTCCCGCGTGCGGCGAGCGCATCGGTAATCCGCCGGGCTTGGACCGACGCAGGGGGAGCCAGGAGAGGACGGCGAGCAGGGGCCGCCCGGCCCCGCCGGCCTCGACGGCCAGGCCGTAAGTGACCGAGGGCCAATGGGGCCGCCGAGGCCGACAGCCGGCGCTGAAAGATCGCGCTTTGACGCAGGGCGCCAGGGGCAAGCCGGGCCTGCCGGGGCTGGACGGCGCGCGGGGCGAGTCCGGCCCGCCCGGGCCGGCCGGCCCCAAGGGCCACCGGGGCCTCGGCGGACTGCGAGGGCCGCCCGGCCAGCCCGGCGCCGCGGGCGACAAGGGCGTCCAGGGCCCGCTGGGCGCGCCGGGCAAGGACGGCGACCCGGGCCCGCGCGGGCCGCCCGGCCGCGACGGCGGTCCCGGGCTGCCCGGCCACGCGGGCAGCCCCGGCCCGCGAGGCCCGCCCGGCGAGGACGGCAAGCGCGGCCCCGCGGGACCGCCCGGCCCCCCGGGACCTCCCGGCGAGGTCGCTTACGGATACGACGCCGCCTCGCTGGCCATGCTGTTCGGTGAGCAGTCAGCCGGCCCGGCTCGGCCCGGCTCGGCCCGGCTTCGCATCCACTGACTGGCGCTCAACGTCAACCAACGCTTAACGCGGTCGCATTGCAGCGCAGGGCCCGAGCAAGGGGCCGGACACGCCGGCGACCACCGACTCGCCGGCCCGTGTCTTCGGGGGCCCGCTAAGCGACGACGCCGGGAACAGGACGGAGGCCCTAGCTCGGATTTACAACCAGGTGAAGACTTCGCTGGAGCAGCTGGCCGCAAGGCCAGACGGAGGCAAGGCCTCGCCGGCGAGAACGTGCGCCGAGCTGTTCGCCGGCTACCCCGACAAGCCCACGGGTACGTGCACTGCCCGCCGACGACGTTTGTCCCGCACCAGTCTTCAGCCCCGCTCAAGCCCAAGTCTGCTCCAGGCCTATACTGGGTGGACCCGAACGAAGGCGATCCTCGGGATGCCATTTTGGTTCGTTGCGAGGTGGACAAGCGCGCGACCTGCATTCTCGCCAGTCCATCTCGCACGTCGGAAATCAGCCACCTTGGCAGCGAGCCCGAAATTTGGCTGAACGAAATCGGAAGTGCAGCACAGGTCAGCGGCAGCGGCCGGGCTCGACGGCCTTGATCGACGTCGCCCTCGATAAACACGCCTCATATTTGCAATTCGCAGATAAGCTACAAGTCGGACGGCAATCAAATAGGATTCCTGCAATTGCTGTCCAAGGAAGCTGAGCAGAACGTGACCTACCACTGCAAGAACAGTGTCGGCTATTACGACGTGGAGAGGCGAACCTACAGGAAAGGACTGAAGCTGTTGGCCTGGAACGACGTCGAACTGTTGCCGAGAGGCAGCCATCGGCTGCGATACGAGGCGATCGCGGACGAGTGCAAGGTACACCCGCCTTCGTAGATATCGTCGTCTCCGCGGTGCGCCGCATGGCGCTACAGGCTGCACTTGACGTTGCTGCTCATTGTTCTAGACAAGGGGCGCGAGCTGGGCCAAAACCATCATCACGTACAAGACCGACAAGCCGACGAGGCTGCCGATTCTCGACGTTGCTCTTCGCGACATCGGCAAGCCCGAGCAAAGCTTTTGGCTTGAGATCGGGCACGCTTGCTTCAGATGATCGACTGCGCTGCTTTTCTCGATTCTTTCGTCCTTCACCCTAACGTTCTTATGTCGAAGACGTTCACTGCTTTAGCGTTATATTCAACTGTATTCCCACATCGATTTTCTCACTGTAATTCTTTGAACGCGTGCCTCACTTTGTAACGTCGCAAAACCCATCGTCGATTCAAGCGCACTCCAATAAAGTAGTTTTGTCGCGTCCTCAGTTCACTCATTGCAAACCATTCAAATACGTAGGTGGATGCGGCGACGCCGATAGAGATGCTATACGAGTGCTGCTCTTGAGAAACTCAACGTTGAAAATCGCGAAAGGCCGCGTGAATTGTCGACAATGCAGTTAGCCGTCCGGCGAATGTACGATCGATCGAACGAGGATCGCCGGTGGTCAATGAGGATCGAGTCGAGTTACAGTTGTCCAAGTTTATTGCGAAGCCCCGCGAAGAACCGGCCCACAATTGTAGTTAGAGCTCGGCAGCGCTGCCAGCAAGCTTCAGCAGAAACGTTCGAATCTCCATGGGCTTGAGGCTGACCGCGAAGCTGCCAGTGTCAGCCGCCGGAGCGCCCCCGTGCGAGTGTCGCTGGCTCGCGGCTGTCCACGAGAGATGCCGCACTCGCCCCGGGTACTGGTTCGCACCCAGCGTCGTCTCGCGGACAGCTAGCACGCGCCACTCCGGAAAGAGCTCCTGAAGGCGAGCGCTGGTCGGTCAGTCGACGTCGGCCTGTGCCGATCGCGGCTAGCGGAGCGAGGCTTACGTCGATGTCGACCCGGGCCGAGCGCGAGTACTCGGGAGACTCGTCGCGCTCGAACAGGTGCTCGAGTCGCAGCAGGACCTGGCCGCCCTCCCAGGGCTCCAGGGTGAGGATGCGGACGTTGTCGGGCAGCCGCCCGATCACAGGCCCGCTCTGCCCAACAGGCCAGCAACGCACGTGAGCACGAGGGCGCGCGACACAGAGGCACGAGCGTCTTACGGTCGTCCGGTGCAGCCGACTCCACTGACGGAAGCGCCGCGTCGTGGGCGCGACGAAGGTCCAGGCTCGCAGCGCCAGCCCGGCCGCCTGGCGCTTCTCTCGCAAGAGCGCCCGGTCGCGCTCCCGCGGGCCGCCGGCCAGGACGAGGTGACGACCTCGAGCCACCAAGCCGCTGCCGTAGGCCTTCTCGTTCAAGGGCTCGCCCACCCCGAGGCCGTCGTCGCTGAGCGTGCGCCGGTGTACCTGCAACGAGCGGTCGGTTGGTAGGCCCTCGAGCCCGGCTGTCGGGTCGTCGCTGCCCAAGGGCGATCGAGCGCGCGTCAACCATCAGCTCGAGCTCGCCGTCCCGGAGGCTCGAGCCGCCCTGGGCGCGGTCGTTGAGCACACTCAGGCGGCGCCGGCTCCGCGCCTCCTCGATGCTCATTTTCGCCGTCACGGGGTAGTAGTTGCCGGCGATCTCCTCCTCGAGCTCCACCTCCCAGCTGGGCCTGTGGTTCCGCCGGCGCTTCAGCATCTCGCGCCCGTTGCTGTCCGTGTAGAACTCGCCCCTGCTGCGCAGGTTGCTCGCGTACTTGACCACCACCTCCTTGCCGACCGCGTCGCTGAAACAGTGTACGTGGCGTCGCCAGTGCGCTCGGACTCCAGTGCCCAGTCACCTACTCGACGGGGATCGGTCCGACCAGCCACTCGAACTCCACGTGCTCCTCGTGCTTGTAGACCCTCACCACCTGGCTCACCCAGTCGTTGATCACCTGGTGGATCTCCTCGACGAGGGGTCCTGCGGAAGTCGAACACCGGTTGGCCATCGCGACTCGGCGCCAGCGGGCCGCCGCGTACCTCTGACGAGCCGTGAGCCGCAACTGCTGGCGCGCAGTCGCTTGCTGCTAGTGTTGGCCGCAGGCCGGAACACGTAGGCTCCGGACGGTTGGTCGCGAGCACCCGCGGCTGCGCTCGCGCTCTCGTAGTACTCGAACGACTGCGCGTACTCGATCCCCAGTGCCGGCGCTCGCACCACCACGTTGTTCGTCCGCTCGTCCACGCGCACCTGGTACATCTGCCTTCGCACTGGCGGTCAGTGGCGCATCGACAGGCAGCGAGCCTGACACCATCGGCGGTCGGCGGGGCCTCTTCGCGTACCTGATTGCCTATCTCGAGCGGGAAGCGGCTGACGTCGACGTCGGCGGCTGCCTCGTCTCGGGTCGCTACGTGAAAAGAGCGATACCCCATTGCCGGCACGTCGCTAGCGCGGAAGACCAGCTCGCGCGTGGCGCTGCTCGAGCGGCCCGGCAGCTTGGACAGCTGCGCGGGTATGGGCACCACCTGGCTCACGATCTCCTTGCCTGCGCAACGCCACCTTGAACATCGCTCGCGCGTGGCTCGAGCGCCTGCTGCGCGTACTCACCGCTGAAGTCCTTGACGCTGAACTGCGTGCCGGCGACCGGCAGGCGCACGTAGACGTTGAGCGGCTGGCTGCCCGGGTTGTACACCGTGGCCACGAAGCTCGAGTGGTCGCTGCTGTGCTCGCACGAGCTGACGTTGAGCAGGAGGCACGAGTGGAATTGGACCGGCGGGCACGGCTCGCCGCTGGCGGTCCCCTTGCTGGTCCAATTGCTGGACGCATCGACAAGCCGACCCGTCATTCGTCGGACTCGCGACGGAAGCTATACTTGCGTGGGTTCGCGCGGATCGCGCGGATCGCGCGCAACGCACCGTAGGGCCTCGCCGGCCAGGCGCTCGCCGTCGTTCACGCTCCGGTGGAGTATGCGCGCGTAGTCGTCGGCCACGTGCTGCTTCTCGGTGCCGGTCACGGCGTCGTGGTGCTGCATCACACCCATGGCCTCGCGGAAGCGCTGCAGCTCGGGGCTGTCGGGCGCGCCGCTCAGCACGCTCAGCTGCTTGACCACCTGGCGACGAGCGGGCGTAGCGGTGCGTGAGCCTCCTGCGAGGGGGGCGGGTGGCCGACCCACTCACCTGCAGCAGATTGTTGGCCATTCGCTCGAAGTACTTGAGCGTGGGCCTGGAGGTGAAGTAGCCCGTCCAGAAGGCATGCGGGTCACTGGAGTACGGGAAGAAGTCGTCGCTCTTGGTCGGCCAGCTGAGGTTCCGCTCGTTGACGGCCTTCAGGTAGCACGAGGGCGTCGAGTAGAAGGCTTTGTAGCGCGTGCCGTTGAGCTTGTTTATCCCCCTGGGCCCCACGAACGACCAAGCGTTAGCTCTCTGTCGGTAATCATTTGCAACGATAGCGATACGCTACGCAGGACAAGACCTGATGAGTTTGTCTAGATTGGTGTAGTACAGTTCGGCATCCTGGTAGGTGAAGTCTCCGCCCATTGTGAGAATAAGGTTGTTCGTGAGGTAGTACTGCGACTGCTGGTCTACGAACTCGAGAAAGTCGGCGACCTGGAGTGCAAAACGTGGAGCGCGCAATGAGAGATGCTTTCGTGCGGTATTGTCGCGAGAGCGTATTATTTGGAGCAGCTACCCGGCGATCAAGATTGTAAGTCGGCGATTTGGGCTGGTCATTGATCTGCGGCGTGCCTCCGCATAAAACATCGAAACAAAAGCCGTCGGGTGGCTGGTAAAGATTGTACAGCGCGCTCGCGAATATGTCGGCGGCGCGCCCTGCAGGCCAAGCACAGAAATGAAGCGACTCACTGGTCCGGCGGACGTTCGAGACCCTTACCCAGACTCGGACTCGCTCGCCAGACGAACTCCATGCTCCTGTCCCGGAGCCGCTGGCGCTTGTCCTGGTGGTCGAGGCGCCCGAAGAGCAGCCCGTCGAAGCCCAGCTGGGCGAACACGGAGGCCTGCTCGCGCGAGTGCCCGAACGGGTCGATCTGCCAGCCGACCCGCGGCCGGGCGCACTCGCCGAAGCTGTCGTTCAGACGTCTGAAGCCCCAAGTGAACTGGTCGATCATCGACTGGTAGTGGGTGGTGGCCTCGTCGTTCATGCTCCAGCCGCCGCCGACGATCTCGAGGCGGCCCTCGGCGACCAGCCGCTTCATGGCCTCGCGCCGCGTCTCGTTTTGCAGGCTCAGCCATTTCCACAGGTAAGCCGTCTCCACGTAAATGAATCTGTTGGATCAACGACGGCAACGGTTCGGTCGAGGAGCGATCGCTAGGTGGAGAGGGCGTACTTGCGCTTGGGATCCTTGACGAGGGCGTCGACCACGCTGTCGATGATGTCTCGGACGGAGGCGCGCTGGATATACATTTTCTCTGCAACACGTCGCGAAAGCCGTGCGGCACAGCGTTATATGACGAGGAGGGAATGCAGGTATGCGTAGGCGCACCCCCGTAGTAGTATTGGTCGATCGTCTTGAGCCAGCCGACGTCGTCGTGCGTGTGGGCGACCAAGTGGATGTTGAGCCTGTCCGGATGGCTCGGCGTGCACGACTGCGGGCATACGTCGTCGCGGTGAGTTGGGCGAGTGGCCCACGAGACTAGCTGGTTCGCGGGACACTTACTCGATAGCCGCAGCCCGTAGCTCGGCGCTCCTCCGTGCGCGGCTGTCCCGCGACCGGGCTTGCCGCCACGGCGAGCCAGCCGAGTGGACCGCCGCCGGCAATGGCCATGTAGAGCAACCGTACGAGACTCATGGTCGTAGCTGATTGGACGTCGGCCGGTGCTGAAAACGAATGCTGCCTCACGCTGTCAGGACGGACGAAGACTGCCGTTGCGATGAATCTCATGGAGCTGCATCGTGTTACGGAGGCGCAGTTGCTCAGCGATAATACCTGATTGCTCTGTCACGCCTTTGCATTATCGGTGTTCGCTGCATTTTTCCTCGTGACTGCTAAAATCTCATTCCCTCGGCGTGCCATTGTAATTACACGTCGTAGATCTTTCTGCTGGCACGTTTAGCGCGTGAATTTTATCACGCCTGGACACTTAACGGCTCACAACTCGTTTAACATTCTATCGCTCGAATATTTTACGATCCAGCACTCTGATTATTGTACAACAGGAAACTTTTTGGTTGAGGCACTGACAATGATTTCTTGGGACAAACCTGATTTGATTGAACTTCACCATGGTCAACCAAATTATTGCTAATTCTTGATAATCGATTGATCATTTTTTGGCCTGGTTGCAATCTGGCTATTGTTGGCGGTACATATGCGCTCCACTGGTGCATCGAGTAATTTGAACGAGAGATATAAATAGATATTTCTTTTTTATTGACAAAAATACAAGTTATAAGCATGATTGTACATATATTTTAATAGAAATTCATAAATTTACAAGTTTTTTTTGGATAACAGTATAAATAAAATGGAGTACAAGGTATAGCGCCCGACTCAAAAAAATATGAAAGTATATTAAAAAATGAAGATTGTTTTATGAAATTTTAATGTTACGATACATAGTCTTCGTTTTTGTACGTTTGGTACTTCTCTGCCGCACGCCGCACAGGTTATATTAAGGGGTAATCCAGGGTTCTTTTGAGTGTTACTTTGACCGCTTTATCAAAATTCATTTCAATACGACAACTCTCTGTGTCATGTTGTTCTTTTTCGAAACTCCACGGGGCACAAATATAGATCCCGATGCTTTTTTCTAATATCCAATGACCCTTCACTACTGTTACTCGTACGCTCAAGTACCTTGAAGGGTAGCTTCGTATTGATTCTATAAAGTTATATGTGGTTTTTCATGAAACAACACAGGCTGGACCTCGGAGTGGGCGACCTCTGACATAATTATCGTCTAAATAATGCTATACGGACACGACGTTCTCTGGTATTTGGTCGTACAGCAATTCGAAGGCCGTGACTGACAACATCATCTACCGAAACCGTAACCACAGTAAGCAACATTTTCACAAAAAAATACTGGAGTATTTAGAAAAAAAGTGTAACGCGCGTTGACTATAGCCAGCTCAAAATCCGTGACCATCGGATCGCAGTCACTGAGGTCGGCAATGTCGGATACCCAATAAGTAGTGGCAAAAAATGATACTGTCGATAAGACCGCAGAATTCTGAACTGAAGTTTCGATGCCATTGGAGCGTAAGTGAGAGGTAACGCGATATGAATGGGCTCATCTGTTGCCTGTCCTCCTGGTTTCATTGCTGAACCTACAGTTCTGAAAATCTGTCAACAACGGCAATAATGAAATAACGAAATACCGCTGAGTAGCCAATCAGCCTGTGTAAATATTTCCGGACACAAGGAAAATCGGAAAATGCCCTATCGAGATACCATGCGGTACAGGAAGCCAATGGCTCCAGGCTACGCGTCTACTTTCGAAAACTATTACCCTTCCAGCGTCATCGAAATCATACATCATCTTCCATCGTGTCGTATAACAAAAACCACTCAGCAGACTTTAGAATTTTCTATAATTTAGGTATAATTTTGGAGTTTGCAGGTAAATCGTGTCGGCGACATCTTCGTATTGCCTTCTTAAAATTTTTCCTCCCTGGTAATTCGCTTAGAACATTGGCTGTCAAACTCTACAGAAAAATCAAACTTACTCTGGCGGTAATTCGGGATGTTCTTCAGCTCTTCTTTTTAAACCAGTTTTGACGATTTCACCTGTGCTTCCTCTTGATCAGCCGGGACATCACGCGGTTTTCCCACTTTAACAATGTAACTATATCGTCTCCCTGCTGAATAAAGTAACCAGTCGAGTAGAGCATTCACCATGTCGCAGCTTTGGAACGCCAAATTCATTTTACCTTCTTGGTATTGTTTCCAACGCACGAATATAAAGCCGTGGTGTACAGCAATTTAGTGTCGAGTAATCATGGTTTAATGACATCCAAATCTACGGTAGAATTTAAAAAAGTAGTCGAAAAAAAAATCTGTGTAAAAAAATGTAAAAAAAATAGACCGAACCAAAATAAAAGATAAAAGAAAAGGAAGCTTCGGGTAGCTACAGTAATTTTCATATGTATATACAAGTGGAGTTTGATTTTCAATTGGGCAAAAGGTATTATCGAACGAGTGGAGTCGGGCAAACGGGGCCGGAAACCGTCAGCAATGTGTCGCGCCGAAGCTCCCCTTTCGACAGCTGTGCACATCCACGCACGGCAATTTGCCGGCATCTGCTCGATGATCGAGTTTGTCCACGTTGGCTCAGCCAGATAGTTAGTTTGTCTGTCACGGTGACGACAACACACGTTATTGATCTTGTAGACGGCGGGTTGCTCGCTACGGCGAACGCCAAGAGTTGTCGAAGCAATTATGCACTCATCGACAAATTGGCATGCAGGAGAACAGCCCTTGGCTATCGATATTGTAGCTGTAGCTCCAAGGTGCTCGAGGCGAGGGTCGTTTATCGAGCGGCTCGTCGTTCACCTTGGTCCAGCCCCCGTCGACGAGCCTGCCCTGACAACGAGCAGCACGTTAGGGCACGTAGCGAGGCAATTCATCTCGCTACCTATACTCAATTTTGGTGTTGGATCCCTGCGGAGAACGTAACAGCGCACGCAACCACAGTGCTACGACGACGTCTCGATCGCGCTCTTGTGACCGGGCGTCGGAAGCTCGCTGTGTCGTGGGCCATGTATCACGCGATCGCGACGTCGTAGCCACACCCCGGAATATATCGCTCGACATCGCGTGCAGCCAGCCGACGTGGTCGTGCGAGTGCGCCACCAAACGAACGTTCAGTTGGCCAATCTCGAGCCTCTTTGGATTGGGCTCCACTGCTCGTCGATAGTCGATCGACAGGCTCGCTTGCCGCCATCCTGATGAACGTCGTCACAAGTTGGAAGGAGAAGCGCCGCTTTGTTGAGCGTCCTAAGAGCAAATCAATCTTTCGCGTGGTTGACTAAATAAACTAATCAACAGGACAACGGAGCAACGGCACACGAGACCGAAGCTACTCGGAGTAAAGTGTTAGCGGCTCTGACTGCTGGCGAGGCCAATAAATTGACAATAACCGTGCCGAGATAACGTTTTATCGAGTACGCGCTTTTCAATTCAACATTCAATTTATTCTGCGTGCAAGCTGCAAAATACAGATGGACGATCAGTCGCCGGCATTCGCGATGGCGGACGGGCCGAGCTGGTGGCGCGGAGACAGCTTCAACAGGAAAGTCCGTATTTGCATGGGCTTCAGACTGACGGTGCAGGTGTCGCGCGAGACGGCGGGAGCCTCGGCGTCCAGTTCCGGCAGCTCGTCCTGCTGCTCGGCCTCCCAGAGCAGCCGTCCGTCGTCCTTGGCGCGGCGATTCGCCCCCAAGCTCGTCTCGAGTACGGACAGCACGTTGAATGCGGGGAACAGGTCCTGCGGCAGAGGCGGAACGATTACGGACTGGGAGCGCGGCCAAGGGCAGCGCAGGCTGGAGTCGGCGCTGACGCACGTTGATGTCGAGCCGAGCGGGAACCGAGTACTTGGGCGACTCGTCGCGCTCGAACAGGTGCTCGAGTCGCAGCAGCACTTGGTCGTCCCTCCACGGCTCGAGGGTGAGGATGCGGACGTTGCCCGGCACCGCCCCCACCAGACCATCTCCCTGCGTGTGTGACGGACAGAGCAGTGAGAAGCGGATCACTCGTCGTCGGCCCAGCCGCGATCGGCTTCGGACTGACCCTCATGTGGTGGCGCTGGCTCCACTGCTCGAACGAATCCGCCACGGGCGTGACGAAGATCCAGGGACGCAGGGCCAGCTGGCCCGCCTGCTCCTTCTCCCGCAGCGGCAGCTGGTCGCGGCCCCGCGCGCTGCCGGCAATGAGGACATGTCGGCCGCGGGCCACCAGGCCCTGGCCGAAGGCGGTCTCGTTGAGGGCCTCGGCGACACCGAAGGCGTCGTCGTGCAGCAGCCTGCGATGGACCTGGCGGCGAGCGCTCGGTCAGCGCCGGTCGGCACGCCGGGGGCGTCGCGCTCGTACGTACCATCAGCTCGAGCTCGCCGTCCCGGAGGCTCGAGCCGCCCTGGGCGCGGTCGTTGAGCACGCTCAGGCGGCGCTGGCTCCGCTCCTCCTCGATGCTGATTTTTGCCGTCACGGGGTAGTAGTTGCCGGCGATCTCCTCCTCGAGCTCCACCTTCCAGCTGGGCCTCTGGTTCCGCCGGCGCATCATCATCTCGCGCCCGTTGCTGTCCGTGTAGAACTCGCCCCTGTTGCTCAGATTGCTCGCGTACTTGACCACCACCTCCTTGCCGACCGCGTCGCTGGAACAGTGCACGCGGAGTCGCGAGCGCGCTCAGTCGTTGGCATCGCGGAATCGCGAAATCGCTGCGCTCCAGGGTCCAGTCACCTACTCGACGGGGATCGGCCCGACCAGCCACTCGAACTCCACGAACTCCTCCTCGTTGTAGACTCTCACCACCTGGCTCACCCAGTCGTTGACGGTCAGATGGATTTCCTCGACCAGGGGTCCTGCAATCCGCCGAACCGCCGCGAGTCAGTCGGCAGCGGACAGATCGAGAGCGAGATCGAGAGCAGCACCTTTAAAGATCTGGAAACCGCCGGTGGCCGGCAGCTCCTTGCTGCGGTTGCCCTGCGGCCTGAAGATGTAAGCCCCGGACGATCGATTGACAAACTCCTCGTTGTTGCCGTGGGCAGCCTCGTAGTACTGAAAGCTCTGCTCGTACTCGATGCCAAGAGGCGTCTTGACGATCACGCGATTGTCCGCGCTTACGGAGATGCCATACTCCTGCGGCGATCGATCGGCGCAGCTTTATTAGCCAGGCTGGCTCGGCTGCGGGAGAGCGGGCGTCTTTAGACTCACCTGCCTGCCGATCTGGAGGATGCTCTGCTGGTCGGACTGCGGGGCCTCGTGAGCGTCCTGCGGGGACGGCTTGGCACTCACGTGGAAGGACTGGTAGCCGAGGGCCGCCACGTTGACCGCCTGGAAGACCAGCTCGCGCGTGGCGCTGCTCGAGCGGCCCGGCAGCTTGGACAGCTGCGCGGGTATGGGCACCACCTGGCTCACGATCTCCTTGCCTGCGCAACGCCACCTTGAACATCGCTCGCGCGTGGCTCGAGCGCCTGCTGCGCGCACTCACCGCTGAAGTCCTTGACGCTGAACTGCGTGCCGGCGACCGGCAGGCGCACGTAGACGTTGAGCGGCTGGCTGCCCGGGTTGTACACCGTGGCCACGAAGCTCGAGTGGTCGCTGCTGTGCTCGCACGAGCTGACGTTGAGCAGGAGGCACGAGTGGAATTGGACCGGCGGGCACGGCTCGCCGCTGGCGGTCCCCTTGCTGGTCCAATTGCTGGACGCATCGACAAGCCGACCCGTCATTCGTCGGACTCGCGACGGAAGCTATACTTGCGTGGGTTCGCGCGGATCGCGCGGATCGCGCGCAACGCACCGTAGGGCCTCGCCGGCCAGGCGCTCGCCGTCGTTCACGCTCCGGTGGAGTATGCGCGCGTAGTCGTCGGCCACGTGCTGCTTCTCGGTGCCGGTCACGGCGTCGTGGTGCTGCATCACGCCCATGGCCTCGCGGAAGCGCTGCAGCTCGGGGCTGTCGGGCGCGCCGCTCAGCACGCTCAGCTGCTTGACCACCTGGCGACGAGCGGGCGTAGCGGTGCGTGAGCCTCCTGCGAGGGGGGCGGGTGGCCGACCCACTCACCTGCAGCAGATTGTTGGCCATTCGCTCGAAGTACTTGAGCGTGGGCCTGGAGGTGAAGTAGCCCGTCCAGAAGGCATGCGGGTCACTGGAGTACGGGAAGAAGTCGTCGCTCTTGGTCGGCCAGCTGAGGTTCCGCTCGTTGACGGCCTTCAGGTAGCACGAGGGCGTCGAATAGAAGGCTTTGTAGCGCGTGCCGTTGAGCTTGTTTATAGCGCTGCAGTGCATTCGTGAGCTTTGTATCATCGGCGAAGGCGCATTTGAGGCAGTCGAAGGTAAAATTCAAGTTCAGTTCTTTTGGGTAAAGCTCTGAATATTTGCACTGGCTGCCGGGCCTCTTACATGTGAAACGTATGTATACGGGCCGAGCCTGTATCTTTCAACAGTGGCTCTTTTGCATGACCATGCGTGCTTGCACCACACTGGGTGCATATTCGACTGCCTCCTGGCATCGTTAGTTATGAATGTAATATTAAAGTGCAGGTGTGAATTGAGAGCAAGTTTATAGAAGGTCGATGGCATGCTTTGCAATATTGACGACTTGTAGCAGCTGCTCTTACCTAATGAGTTTATCGATATTACCAAAATACATGTCGGCGTACTGATAATGAAAATCCTCGCCCATGGTCAGAATGACGTTGTTCGTTCTGTAGATGGACGCCTGAGTGCGGCTAAAGTTCAAAAACTGTTGCACCTGTTCGAATAGTTTGATTGCGAGCTAATGAGCGATGAAAGTTATCGTGGAGCGACAGACGGTCGATTTTGGTCATTTGTTGGGCGAAGATTTTTGAATGCAGCTGCACGTTCGCGGCGCGTCTGACTAATAATAGTAATAATTGGGCTACCTCATGAGTTTGTCCAAGTTTTTGAAGTACATATCGGCGTACTGATAGGTAAAGTCGCCTCCCATCGTGAGAATCAGATTGTTAGTACGATAAAACTCGGACTGTTTGTTAATGAATTCCAAGAACTGAGCTACCTGCGACGTACAATTGGGGTGAGTGTCGGGCAGGGACCGCGCACGCGTGCCACAGGACTACGACTCTACGTCTACGGTGCCTACCCGCTTGTCGATATTGTAGTCCGGGCTGTCGCGGTCGTCGATCATCGGCTCGGCGTCTTGGCACAAGATGTCGAAGCAAAAGCCCGGCGGCGGCGAGTAGGTGTTGTACAGCACCGAGGTGAACAGATCCGCCGACTGGCCTACGGGTCATATCACGAGGTTAACCGGCGGCCCGGCTAGCAGCGGGCGCATCGCGTACCCAGACTCGGACTCGCTCGCCAGACGAACTCCATGCTCCTGTCCCGGAGCCGCTGGCGCTTGTCCTGGTGGTCGAGGCGCCCGAAGAGCAGCCCGTCGAAGCCCAGCTGGGCGAACACGGAGGCCTGCTCGCGCGAGTGCCCGAACGGGTCGATCTGCCAGCCGACCCGCGGCCGGGCGCACTCGCCGAAGCTGTCGTTCAGACGTCTGAAGCCCCAAGTGAACTGGTCGATCATCGACTGGTAGTGGGTGGTGGCCTCGTCGTTCATGCTCCAGCCGCCGCCGACGATCTCGAGGCGGCCCTCGTCGACGAGGTTGCGCACCGTGGCGCGCTTGGCCTCGTCCTGGCGCAGCCACCATTTCCATAGGAAGGCGGTCTCCGCGTAGATGAACCTGCGCACTCGACCCCGTCGGGCTATACTACAGGCTGGATGTCGCGGCCACGGACACTCACTTTCGGCTGGGCTCCTTTACGAGGGCGTCGACCACGCTGTCGATGATGTACTGCACACCGGCTACCTGGATGTTCATGCGGCCTGCAACAGATCGTGGCGTCGATCCAACTCGTCAACCGGTCAGCGTGCCTCGGCGCGGGCCCGGCTCGCGCACTCACCTCCAAAGTAGTACTGGTCGACGGTCTTGAGCCAGCCGACGTCGTCGTGCGTGTGCGCCACTAGATGGATGTTGATCTTGCCCGCGTCGCTCTTCGTGCAGGACTGACCCGCCGCATGAGACAAATGGCGCGAGATGAGGTGCGCTGTATGGGTTCCACGAGCGCTACGACCGCCGCGATATCGAGAGTTGTACTCACTTGGTAACCACAGGATGGCTGGTCCCGGTGCTGGTCGTGCCGACCAGTGACGCTGGCAGCGTTGGCCAGGTCGGCGACAGAGGCGAGCAGCAGCAGCAGCAACCCTGAGGTGGGCAGTGTGGGCCTCATGGCGGCTCGCGCGATCAATCGGACGAGGTCTACCAAAGCGATGGGCAGCTAGCTACGCGTACCTACACGTATGTGCGACCGAGCGGCGACCGAGCGGCGACCGAACGGCGACTGAGCCTCGCTCGTCTATCTACTCGTCCTATATACAGCTGTCGTGTGTAGCCGCTCGGGCTCGTCTACCGCAGAGTCGGCAACTCTAGCGCCTCCGAGAACTCCTGAAATTATGGGGTACTCGTGCAGCAATTTCGTGTTGGGAACCAGCCCGAGCTGGACGAGGACGGCACCATCGTCATCAAAGTGCCGCAGTTGACCAGTCTCGACGATAAAACACGATGTACAGTCCACGCGCTGGCCGAGTTGTTATTGTGATTTTGAAAATGTGATAGCCGACAAGATCGAATTGGATGTATCAGACCGATACGAGCAAATGAATCGTAAAACAAGTCAGTTGATTCGTCCGTGGTGATTGAGAGCTAGCGGGGGCAGAGGCGGAGCAGTAATGAACTAAGGCCGCCTAAAATAACGTGCTATAACTGCACGCCCAAGAGCAGGATGAAAAACCGCTAGCTAGCATGGAAATGCATGTTCCTTCTGTAGTACTAGTAGCCGCATGAGGCGCTGCTGCGAGTGGCTCCAAAATTCAGTTGGAAGAAAATTGTGCGCTGTAGCTTAGGGACTCGGCTGTTATCGAGCCTTCTCCAATCTGTTTGCGCCGGCTGCGCGAGCGCCCACTTACCAATATTATCTGTCACGCCGCTGCCGAGCTTTTCACGTGCCGCTGGCTCGCTGCCCCATCTTGTGTCCCATGATATCCGAGATCAATCGCGCAAAACACTCGACAATCAAGTTCCAAGTAAGCCTTTTATAAACATAAATTTATCTTTATTGCAACACGCTTCCACAACTCTGACAATGTACATCGAGTAAACACATTATTTATTTGTCAGGCGATAACATCTCGACCCATTGTTATCGGCATTTTTAAGACAAGCTACAGGCAAGCCATTGAACAATCGTAATTGACAATTTTTCAGGGAAATCAATAGGTCGGCTGCACAAGCAGCCGCGCTAGTAGGCGCTATTATTAGTCGTCGCCTCATCAGTGTATAGTAGGTGCAGAACATGTTCAAGCATGAATTGTTAGTCACTCGAGCCGTCTCGCCGAGTGAAAAGCTCCGATAATTGAATGATGAAAACCAGCTGGTTATGTTACGTAACACTGAGCTCTTCGGGCAGCTCTTCTCATAGCTCCGGATCGGCAACCAAGACAGGCGGCTCGAACCGTCTAGATTGCTAACTGTTAATTTACGCGTAGCGTATATACACAGGCAACTAGCTATTATTATTTATCACAGCTTCTCATTCGGCCAGATCGTTCGTTGGTGCCCATCTTTTTCCTCGCAACACAACGCAATTATTAAAAGCGAAGCTTTCTTATGCAAACGTGTCATTGACGCTGCTAAGCAATTGGTTATTATCAAAGGCCCGCGCAATGCCGGTAAGTTCGTAGGAGGCGTTGCTCGCCACAGAGCTCACCGACAGCGAACGGAGCTTCGACGTTCACCTCAGTATCGGCCGTCAAGTCTGCTCGTTCAGGGGCAAAGCCGAGAAATAGAGAAATAGAAGCCCGTACGAGAAGAACCTACACGTCGTAAGAGTAACGGCCGAACCAATCGCTTGTCTGATGTACCTACGAAGTTTAAGGAGAACAATGTTAGTCGACACGAAGTTGCAGATTTGCCGTCGCGTCAAGTGCGACGTGCTTGGCGCGGCTGGGACGCGCTGCAATCAAAGAACAATTAAGCTGGCAGAATCTATGGGCAGGATCTATGAGTGTGGCGAGTTGAGAGCGATCTGCAAGAGAAATCAGACGATTTTGGCATGCCCACGGAAATATTTGGATATACGTGGCGATGCTTACCTGATAAAAGCTGGTTACCAGAGTCGAGCTCATGGCGTCCTACGGTATGCTTATGTGTGTTTAATGGGAAAACGTCGTGGCGCTGGACAAGCGAATTAGTCGAAGCATTGAAATAGGCAGCTACGGAGCAGCTGGTTAAAAGTCCGAGTAGGAGATTTTGGTGTCTTGCGGCTTTTCGAATCTGACGGGCCGGTAGACCTTGTGCGACTGGTCCCAGCCTCTCGGCGCGGTGTTGTAGTTGGCCAGGTTCTGGTAACTGCAGATCTTGGGCCCGTGATACAGGTTGTCGGCCAGCTTGCTCGCTGTCGAGGTTCAACCAGTTCAAACGTCGTTCTCATCGCGACAGGCACTCAATGCCTCATCGGCGCACGATCGGCGTTAGTAGAAGCGGTAAGCGGTAAGCGGTAGGCGATGGGCGGTGGGCGCTGGGTGGTGGGTGGTGGGCGAGGCGGGACCGTCGGGTCGGGCGCGACGGACACTTGCCTATGTCCTCGGCAAAGCTCTCCCTGAAGCACTCCGGGGTGGTGGTGCCGGCCACGAGGTTCTCCAGCACGGGCGTCCGCTTCAGGTCCCTCCTCTGCGCGACGAGTTGGGGCTGCAGGACCGCGCCGACCTCGCCATCCGCGAGCTTGGGCTTGGCCTGCTGCAGCTGGCGCCGATAGTAGTCGTCGATGGTACTCATGGACGAGGACCTGTTGTTGTTATTATTGACCTGCCCAGGCCGATACAAGTCCACGGGCGAGAGCGAGTCGTCGAGGGAGACATCGTCGTCTTCCTCGCCCAGGCCGTGCGGCTCGTCGTCCTCCTCCCCCTCGGATTCGGCTTCGGCCTCGGCCTCGTGTCCGTGCCGGTGCCGGTGCCGGTGCCCGTGCCCGTGCCCGTGCCCGTGCCCGTGCCCGTGCCCGTGTCCGTGCCCTTGCCCTTGCCCGAGCCCGTGCCCGTGCCCGTGCCCGTGCCCATGCCCATGCCCATGCCCGTGCCCGTGCTCGTCCTCGTCCTCGTCCTCGTCCTCGGGCTCGCCCTCGCCCTCGCCCTCGCCCTCGCCCTCGCCCTCGTCCACGTCCTCGTCCTCGTCCTCGTCCTCGTCCTCGTCCTCGTCCAGCTCGTCGTCGCCGGCGGAACTGGGCGAGTAGCCGTTGCCGGCGTGCTGCTGGCTGTCGGCGCGCCGACAGCAGACCTGTCGACGCGGGTCGAAGTAGCGCGCCAGGTCGCCAGGGCCGGCCGGCCTGCAGGAGTAGTGCTTAAGCTGCATCACCGGCCGGCAGGTCTTCTCGAACTCCTGGATGAGCTGCTTGACCGGCACTGGCGTATAGTCCTCGGCCGGCCGCTCGGCGCCCTCGGGCGGCTTCGGGCAGCCGTTCTGCCCGCAACCCACGCCCGGGACACTGGCGGCGAGGCAGGCGCCGCTCTGGCGTGCGCCGCCCCCCCGAGCCGCGCGGGCCACCGCCAGCTTCTGCAGCTCCAGCCCGTTCAAGTAGGAGAAGCCGTTGGCGGGGCGCTGGTGCACCTTGGGGTTCCGCGGAGCCGCCGGCCGGCCGTGCGCGCCGAGACCGCACGCGGGCTCGTATAGGGCAGCGGCGGTGGCCCGCGACGCCCCGTCGAAGCTGACGCGCCGACAGAACTTGTCGGCGGGCTCGAACGCGGGGTAGAGCTTCTTTTTGGCGCGCTTGGCCTCCTGCTGGCGGTGAGGGCCGGCGTACGCCGGCGGGTAGCCCACGAAGGGCCCGCAGCCCGACGGCGGGTAGGACCCGTAAGGCCCGAACGGACCGCACGGACCACAGGGCGCGCAGCCCGCGCATGCAGCGCAGTCCGAGTGCGCGCTGCCGAAGCTCGTGCGCGGGCACTGGCGCGCGTAGTCTAGGCGATAAGCGGCGCTGTGTTAGTTGCTGCGAGCGGCTTGCTTGGCGGTTACTCGTGCAGTGCGGGCGCGCGACCAATACACATCAATACACATACTGCTACTACTTACTAGGCAGAGCCGGACCGGAGTAGTCCATGGACAGGTCGTAGGGGTTGTAGAAGGGCTTGCCGTCGAATTTCAAGTGCTCATTGGCAATGCCGCCTCCGCCGCCTCCGCCGCCTCCGTTGCCGACCTTCTGGGCACACAACGGAAGACAGTGTTGCGGCGCGAATCGTAATGGCCAGTCTGGACCGAGCGAAAGACCCACCTGATTCGCGGGATACTTGCCGTAGCCGTAGATGCTCGCTGACTGCGGCTGCTCCGCGTCGACCACCCACTTTTCCGATCTTTTTCTCCGTTTGGCAAATATTTCGGCACCTGGGACAAGCAAACGCATGGGATAGCGATGCAACGGATCGTCGGCGACCGATCGAGCCACGGAATTGAGATAAAGGTGACGTAACGCACGATTGCGCAAGCGGCTATCTTTAGCTGGGCCAAGAGAGACTCGCGGCTTCGCTCTTTTCTTTCGTTCGGCCGATCGCGACGCCTCGGACGAAGGCAGCTCGAGTGAAACAGCGGAGAGTACCGCGAGTCGTCGCGGCCGTTATATGCGCGCCGGGCCGAGGCGGCTGCGCCTGGCACAGAATCGCGTGCCAATGGGAGCTGCCTCGAGCTGCTCGACAAACACCGACGGAACTCACCGCGGCCCTTCTGGTTGTTGAGGTCCCGCACGATGTCGTAGAGGCGCTCGGGGTGGGGCGGCACCTGCGGGATGTTGGGCTCCTCGCCAAGGGCCTGCACTCCGCGGTAGTCCAGCAGCTTGCCGCCAGGATTCATCATGCATCTCAGTGGCAGCTGGTCCTTGCCGCCGACCGGCGCCGCTGACTCCTGCTCGTCTTCCTGGCCTGGTCGGACACACGCCACAACAGTGTCACAATGGCGCTCCGAGGCCGAGGCCGGTGGGCCTAGAGACTGGAGGGTGGGACGCAGGGAGGCCGGGAGCGGGAGCTGGAGCTCGCGGGCATACTTGCCGTTGCCGTCGTGGATCCACTTGACGGAGCGCTTCTTGCGGTTCACGTACATCGACTGGCCCTTGCTCCTCACGTTCCTCACGTCGCTCAACGAGCTCGAGATCCGGCGCGCCAGCTCCACCTGGTCCTCGACGGTCGGGTGGTTCGGTGCATAAAAGTACGACGAGGCGTACATTTTTTCTGCGGCAACGACCATCGTTATTTTTGGAATGGGTGACGACGCGGCGACACTTACTGTTGCGTAGCTGCAGCGTCTCGCCTGAGTCGACCGCCGGGGTCAGCAGCTTCTGCAGGTCGATGGGGGTCGAGCCAGGACTGTCCTGCTGCAAGGCAAAGTGGCCGAGACTGATAAGCTCCTCTGCTAGACCGAGGACGGAATGCCGGTGGCGCGGCGGGTGAAGGGGGGGGGGGGCGGTGACAAGGCAAATAGGCAAGTACCATATCGAAGTGTAGTATCTTTGAAGTAAGGCTCTCGAGAAAGTGGCGTTTGGCGGGGTCGTGTCTGTCGGAGGGTTTAAAGCCGCGTTGGTGCACTATCTGCACATTGTCCGCGGATGCACTGCGCTGCAAGTAGCTGTTTGAACTCGCGGTCAGTCGCCTGACACCGCTGCTCCCGGCTGCTGCTGCTGCTGGGGCCGTCGGCAGGCCATGCCCGACGCGCTCCACGCGTGGCTGGCGGGATACGCCGTAGGTCGCGACGCTCGAGACTCTGTGATTGCCTGGCTGGCGCTGCTGCCGCTGTGCACCGTCCGTTTGATACCTGTTGATCATTGCGACGATTAGCCGCGGGCAAGCTTCATCGGCGCAACACCTTGCCGGCGCTCGCCTCACGGCAGGCCTCTCGTTGAGCGATCGCTAAATTTATCTGCTCGAAATGTAATACGCAGTAGGCCAGTGCTGATGTTCCGAATCAGGGCCGAACTGGCAGCAGGCACTCGAGTCGAGCGTGCCTGCTTCCTTTATGGCATTCGTTGCGCAACGCGCCGGGTCTTTCAAACGACGAGCCTACACCTTGAGCAGCGAGCTGTCAGTGATCGCGGCTGGCCACGCCAGCACAGCAGCGAATGTCTCGAAAGTTGATTATGGTCGCGACTCGTCGCTCTCAACGTATCACACCGATTGACGCTCGGATGCACGCGTTAATCTGCAAAAAATGGAACGAGCTCGATCGCTCACTCGGAAGCTCAGCGAAGAAGAGTATTTTTAACAGCCCGACAGCGACAGATTTTCTCCGGCAAAACCAAGCAAAAGTCACGCGAACGTCCAAGCGTTTGGAGGTCGATCCACGTCAGCATTGCATCTGAAAAACGCAGCCATAGCCATCACTTGCAAAAGAAGCTCGGGAAAAATCTTGGCCTGTTTGCTCGAGAACCAGCGTCAGCCGTGGGCGCGACGTTTACGTCGAAACTGCCTGCGTGGCGGCTATCAATAGCTGGCATTGGGCTGGCTCCTGCGCTCTCGATCGAAGCTGTGTGAGCCTCCACGAAGCAAGCACACCACAGCAGCGACTGACGCCAGGCTCAGCTAAGCCTACAGTTAAAGTACAGCAAAGGCTAAGGTCACACACACAGACACACAGAGGGAGAGAGACGCACCTATTGCCGCTCCTCATGGTGCTCGCGCTCTAGCAGCAACGACCACTCTGCAGTTGGTCCGGGTTATCTCGCGATATTTTTAAGCAAGCAGCGAACGACAGCTTTTCTCGCGACTCGCGCACTCTCCGACACACGCGCTCTCTCTCTCTCTCTCTCTCTCTCTCTCTCTCTCGCTTACGCGCGCGTGGAAAAAGCTTGAGCGCTCACCACGATCACCACGGCGGCGCTATTGCTGTATCTTATCGCAGCCGATTCGCACATCGCTCAAGCTCGTTCGCGACGATACTCGACTGTTCAAATAAGCAGCAGCGGCAAAAGGGACTATACTATTTGCAGCTCCACAGGCGCAATAAACAATGCAATATGTTAGTCTCAACAGCATTAATTGGTTTGCGGCAAAGCACGACGAGAAAATAATCTATTTTGCATGGTGAATTTTTAGCTGGAGTTGGCAGCATCGCTGTTATTCCCGAGAGGAGAGCGAGTAATCTGGCATTCGGCAGACTGTAATAGCCGTCGATTATTTGTTAAATGCGCCTGTGGAAGTGGAAGGACAGTAAACGCTCTGTCACTCGATGCAAGCACTCGCCTGCGTTTAGCCAATCGAAAACAATTACGCAACAATGTCGCCTCGAAAGCTCCAGCTCTGGCTCAATATATACCAGCACAGGCTGATCAATAAGTAGCCGCTGTAAAACAGCCCCGTACAGTTTGACAGTTTATTTTGAGTCTGAGGAGCTCCACTGCTCCACAAGGCCGCAAATCGGGCACGTTCTGCCAAACGCTCATGTTTACATAACACGTACCTAATATCAGAGTGGTAACCAGAAGACCGGGCGCAGCTAGTGACCGACGATCGGCCCGAAATCGCAACAGACGTTGCGCAGTGTAATGTAGCTATCGAGGTGGACGTTCGTTCGATTGGGCTGCCAAAATAACTTTCGACACAATGACCCCCGCGCCTCTTAAAAAATGCCAAAAGAGCACGCACATGGCAGTGGCGGTAGCAGCAACGACATCACGAGTGTTCGCGTCACTGCTATTCGCTTAATTATTATCGAACGCAACGAGAGGCTTGAAAAGTGAAAAATCGTCAGCTTGAATCAACGCTTGCAAAGCTAATTGATACGTACGTAATGAAGTGGAAGGCAGCGTCGAAACTTGCGCGTCGAGCTCGCTGAATCAACTTTGGGTGCCGGCGGCGAAAGGCTTTTTCCGAGCTCAGAACCGAGGCGACTCGAGCGCTAACACCGTAAAAATAGATCCCACGAATCGCCGGAAAGCGACACGCGGAGAAAGAGAGTACGATCGACGAACGCTGGACTTTTTCTCCCTCCTCCCCCTCTCCCTCTCGTTACGAATAGATTTAGCTGATACCGCGGAGGCGGGTGTAAGGACGCTACAGAAAGTGATTTTCAAAATAATGGCTTTTATTCAACGGTCTTTTCTGAACCTTACACGCTAGAATATGAATTGCAACAGTTACGAGTATAAAAGAGGTAAAGAAACAAAACAAAAGTAAACAATGTGCGCGAAAAAAAAAACGAAAGTCAAATGGTGCAAGTTTACGCAAGTATAAAAACACTTTGTACATGAAGGTGCTGAACAACGCCTCAGTCCCAGTCACTACTCTTGATGTCTTGCACCAAGTCGCTACTCTCCAATGGCAGCTCCTCCTCGTCGTCCATAGACTTCTTAGCTTTCTTCGCTTTCCGCTTTGACTTTTTAGCTTCCTTTTTCAGTCGCCTCTCCATTTCCTCAGCAGGAATTTCTAACTCGCTGTCTTCATCGCTGTCCCGTTCGACTCTTTTGGCCTTCCTCTTGATCGACGGTACCTTAAAGTCCGCCGCCATAGTTTCATTCTGTGTCAGCATTTTCAACTTCGTTTGCTCGTGCACCTTAATCCACGACTCGTAGAACTTTCCGATGGGCGTGCCCCCGGTCTTAATCTTCTGTTCCCATAGTTCCACGTCGGCAAGGTCCGCCAGGTTGAAAGTACGCTTCGCGCGCTCGTTCTCGATGAACTTGCGGTTTTCCTCGATCCTGTCCAATAGTTGCTTCATTCTCCGTGTGTAGTTGACTACGTGACACTTTTTCAAAAAGTTCTTCAACTGTAAATCCGAATAATTCAGTTATCTCGACAGTACCATTTGATTCGTTACTTCAATTACTTTTATTATTGTTGTTATTATTATTATTATTATTAACTATTGTTATTATTATTATGCCTACCCTCGTTATCGTGACTAAATACAAGTCTGCAAAGTAAATGGTGTGGCTGTCTTTGGCGGCACTTTCCATTATCAATTCGTACAGATTTTCGATTATCGCGTCCTTGTAGCCATTTTCCTGTGCTTGACTCTTGGATACTCGGAGCATGCACATCAATGAAATGGGTTTCATCGACACGGCTTTGTGTTTCCGGTTAAAATCGTATTGAACCAGTATCTGAATATGAAACGGATAAAAAAAAGAGTTAAATCACTTTTCTCTTCGATTCGTGACAACTAATCATATTCTCACCTCTGTCAAAAATGGTAATGATGGAATGAATACATTTGCTTGTCGAGATATGTTGATGAGCATTTTTACACAATGGAACCGCAACGGATAGTAATAAATGGTGGGAATCAATTTGATTACACCAATAATTATCTAGAATGAAATGCCTCGTTAGTACTCCGTGAACGCGTAAAATTCGACAACAACAGTTAACAACAATAATAATAATAATATTAACTTGAACAAGCGGGTAAATCAAATTCCTCAACATTGAATGTTTCTTTGATACGGGTATGAGGTCCGCCCAAAACCACAAAGAATTAATGTACTGCCAATTATACACAGCTTGGAAATGTTCCTATCGAAATAAAAGTAAAGAATTACTTACAACAATAACTAAAATCTTCGAAAAAATCGTTACCAGGAATATTCATACCTTTTTCTTCAAAGTCAGTGCATTTCGCAGATGGATAGCAAGTTGCCGAATGTACAAAAATGCGTTGGGATAAGTGCAGTCAGTATCGAGCATATAGAGTTCGACAAGAGATCGACGCATAAAATTTATTCCTGGTAGGGTATTTGGCGAAACGAATTTGGCATTTTCTACGTATTTGATATACATAGTCTAAAAATTAATTGTAGAGTAGTTGAAATTTCTCATAAAGTCCATTGCAAACAAAACAGATACCTTTTGTAATCCATTGAGAACTGCAGATTTGCAGGTGGTTGCAATTTTTACGATACAGAGAAATGCTACTACACGTACAATTTCTTCATCTGCAGAGGACCAGTATTTGAGTAAAATTCGTAAAAGTGGTTTACGAAGTGATGAGAAAGATTGAGTAAACGGTAACATAGAGTGCAAATGTTTTAGTAAAACTGAGACGATGTCAGGAGATGAGACACTCTCAAAAACCTAAAATAACGATAGTTGTAAACAGATTGCATACATGAAATCATTGGTTATCTAGGAATATTCAGCATTGCTAATCATGAAAAATACCTTGATGAGACTGGCTAAATAAGATTTGAGAACACCTTTAACCTTTGGAAATCTCTTAGCTTTATGAGCTTCAAAACTAGTTTGGTCTCCAATTTTCAAAAATTTTTTGAAAGCATCTGGAAGCTGCATAATACATAACTGAATGATACCGTTAAAAACTGAAAAGTAAATTGTTGTATGAAAATATTTCTATTTCTATTAGATTAGTTTGAAATAACAGAAAAGAGGCCTACTTGCTCCTCCTTCCACTTTGTACTGTGTTGTCTTATGCTCAGCATCACTAATACTTTCCAGTGCAGCATGAAAAGCTTCGACTACGTATTTAATAGTTTTAGAAGACCTATAATTCATAATCAGCACTATTATTTTCTTGGACTATACATGTTAGCTTAAAAGTTAAATGATTTAGCCGTTTCTTATTACTTATCCACTTGTATTTCTGTCTGCCAATCCTTAAGTAATTTCAATGTAACTTTTGTAGAATCACTGGAAATTTCCATTGATTCATCATCAGCTGGTTCGTAATCTGACTCATCGCTTCCAACCTAGATTAATATAATGTTAAAACTTTTACCAATTTGCTTGTATGATTAGAGACAAAAGACGTCAAAATCAAGAACCTCCAATTCTCCATCGGGAATGTGTCTCAGATCATCATCATCATCATCATCATCTTCAGATAATACATTCTCTTGGTCAGATACATTAAAGTCCAAGAGCTTGGTATCATTCTGTTTCAGGTATTTAAAAAATTCAGGATCAATGTCCTTCAATTTCATAAGAGATTTCCTGTGCTCAGCTGGATCCAAATCACTGTCAGCGCTGTCCGACAAATCATCGGTTGTCTTTGCTGTAAAAATGAAATGGATTTCAAAGTAAATATATAGTTGAACTTGACTATGTTGGAGAATTACCAGCAGGTCTTTTCTTCGTTCTTCTCTTCTTCTTCTCCGGTTTCCTCTCGTCTTCATCAACGGTCTCGTACTCCGCGTCGGTTCCTGCTGCAAAAACAGTACGAGCAATGACGGAGAATACATGCCAAACAAAAAGGTACGACATACCTGATTTTTTCTCGTGCTTTTTAATCTTTTTAGCCGGTACCAATTGTTCTACTGGCTCCATTTTGTCGTCCTCGCTGTCGCTCAGATCCATGTTTTCAAAGTCCTGATTGAAAAAGTCGTCCGTGGTAACTTGCCCTATATTTTTCTTCTTCTTTTTCTTGGCAACATGTTGCTTGGCCATCTTCTCCACAGCTTTGCCTTTATTGAGTTTCATTTTAGATCTAGAAGCGAACAGAAAGAAAAGAACAAGTAAACAGCGTAGTGAGAGTGGAGTTAAATGAAATCGTCGGCAGCGAGCACGCACGTTTGTTACTGAAGAGGCTCTTACTTGTCAATGATGAAAGCTGTGGAACTATCGCGTGCGAGTTGATAGGTTAGGTGATGTTTATTGATGGATGTAGCTTTGCAGTTTGCTTTGCCTTGCTTGATGGAAATTTCAACCTAAGCCAGTTTCGACCATGTTTTGTGAACGTTATCTCACAGATGGCAGCAGTGTGCAAAGTTGGGCGAGGTGACAACACGTGGTACGAAGAGTAGCATGGAGGCTATACCAAAAATAGTTTCCACGAGCATTGGGCAGTGGCACCATGGCAGTGGCTCATTACTCGAGGCTTGTGGTACAGCCGTACAACGACGTGGATGACATCGCGGGTATCCTGCCGAGCGGGTCAACGAATAAGTAGCCGAGAATCGAGACGCGACCACGCGACGGGAGGGGCGCGACGGTCGCGCGCGGACTAGCTTGCCGACGGGAGCCACAAGGCGCGAGACGAGGCAGCATTCGAAAGCGTAGCCGCGCCGCTGGCCGCTGGGCAGGAGGCGAGGCGAGTGCGGGCCCCGGTCGAGCGAGCCGAGAGCGCAAACCGAACACCGACGATACGCACCGCGGAGACGCGCGCGCAACGTCGACGAGCAACGCGGCAGTCTTGGTCTTGACGTAACGTAAGCAAGGCGAGCCGTCAAGGTGTGCAGCTAGCCGAGTTTTTTCTGGCCCGCTCGCTGGCGGTCGCGCGGCGCACTTAGCAGCGAATCAAGTAGCGATCGAGTCGTAGACTCTGGCTCGTGTCCACGAAGCTGTTATGTATATTCATGCGGCCCCGTTCGCAGCGCGCCTCGCCTCGAACATGTAACCACTGCGGCTCGCTCCTGCTCGTCGCCGCGCTGCCCGCGCTCGAGCTCGGGCCGAGCGGCGCGCTCGAGCACTCGCCGCCGCCAGCGCTCGCCAGGTTACGTCACGCTGCGCGCTACTCAATCGCCACTGGCCGCTGGCCGGCTTACCTGAGCGGCTTCGGAAAATCACGCGCGGAGCGGCCACCGCTGGCACTGGCGATGCGCCGAGCGCCGCCCGCCGCGGAGCGCAGCGCTTCCGACCGCGCCGGACGTAGCAGAGCAGCAGCAAGCGTCAGAAGGTGTTGACCGATAAAGGCGTGACTCAAGGTATAGGCGGTTTATCGTGCTGGAATTATCGCTATTCGCAGTCCGCGCGCACTGCGCCACGGAGCGAAGAGCGAGCGAGCGGCTGATAGCCACGCGCTCAGCCTGCTGCGTGCAGTTGTGCTCGTCGCTCCAGCCGCGATCCGCTGCAGCCGAGCATCCGGTCGTTCCCTCGAGGCGGGCGGGCCGCGGGGCGAGTGCGCGTCCGCGGCCGCGCCGGCGGCGAGGTCCAGATGCGGTGGATCGCTGGCTGGCTATTTTTAGCAGGCGCGCGACCATTGCGGGCGTCGAATCGGTGCGGAACGATCGCGCCGCCAGGCCGAGCAACGGTGCATCGATCGGGGCCTTGCATCGATCGCGCACGATCCTCGTAACGACTGCCGCAAGAAAACAGCGGGTGAGCTGCGCGCGAATTGGCGCTCGCGCGCGGCGCGGCGGCGCTTATATAATGAGACGCGAGCTCGCGGCGAGCCGTTCCACACGCTCGCGCGCAGCAGCTCGGGCCGCAGCGTTCGCCGCCCAGGCTCACGCTCCAGCGGCAACCCTCGCCCGCGCGCCTCAGTAAGTGGCCGAGCCAGGCGAGCGCAGCGCGCCGCGGGAGGCCGGGCAGTGCTCCGACAGCCCCGAGCGGCCCAGAGCGGCCCCGCCGACCGACCGCAGCCCAGGCGCCGAGCGCGCTCGCGGGGATGAACGCCACGGCGGACGGGGGCTACGCCGGGTCGTGGCGCGTCGCCAGGCGCGCGGCCATGCTGCTCTACCTGGTGGAGCCCGCCGAGACGAGCTTCGAGCGGCCCGAGCAGGTGCCGGACTACCAGCTTCAGGTAACTCGCCGAGAGACTGCGAGGAGCCCGCCTAATCGATCCGTGGTCGTGCCGCGAGCGCAGGTCTGGCTGCCGTTCTTCGTGCTGATCGCCCTGGAAAACGCGGTGCTGTTCACCAGACAGGCCGGCGACCTGCGCCTCGACGACCAGCTGACCTCGCTGTCGCACTGGATCCTGCAGGAGAGCGCGCGGTAAGCCACCGCGGTGCCCCGCGCCCCATGCCCCGTGCCCCGTGCCCCGTGCCCCTGCTCCGTACGTCCGTCGAGCTCACGCATCGACGCTTGCAGCATCCTGTTCCGCGGCGCCGAGTACTACGCCTACGTGGCGCTCCACGAGCGCTGGCGGCTCTGCAGCTTGGCCTGGGACTCGGCCTGGACCTGGTACATCACGGCCTTGGCCGTCGACTTCTGCTATTACTGGGTACACAGAGCTAATCACGGTGAGTGGAGACACGCGTTATGTAAATCGCCCCCTCCCGCCACGACGCGCGCCGCGCCCCGCGCTGCGCCGCGCTGTTGTAAGGCCGTTTTCCGCGGGCTTTCCGCCTCGGCGTTTGGACCTTTGTGCTGTTCGTCGTCGGTTCGTCGGCCCGACCGCCCGGCGCCGTCTGCTTGGCCGCCGCAGTCCGCGGCGCGCCGGCTCCAGTGTCCTTGCGTTCGCGCTCGATGAGCCGCAGCTTTGCGCTTACATAAGCGCATGAAAATCGATCGACTCGTCGTTGCGCGCGGAGTCTCGAATGTTGCGTGGCTGTTTCAGAGGTGACGTTTCTCTGGGTCCACCATCAGGTGCACCACAGCAGCGAGGAATTCAATCTGGTAGTGGGGCTGCGCCAGTCGGTTCTGCAGCAGTGGTGCAGCTTCGTAAGTGCAAGCTCGGATTGCATACTCGCGGCGGGAAACCGATCCACCGCCTCGGCTCGAGTTCTGCGACGCGCGGCCGCGAGCTAACGCTTCGCGAGACTGTTGCAGATGTTCTACCTGCCGCTGGCCCTGTTCATACCGCCGTCGCACTTCGTGGCTCACCACCAGTTCAACCTGATCTACCAGCTGTGGATCCACACGACGGTCATCGACGAGCTCGGGCCGCTCGAGTGGGTGCTCAACACGCCCAAGCACCACCGCGTGCACCACGGTATCCCCGAGCCGCGCTAACGCCCCGCGCCTGTCGCCAGTCGCCAGACCGCCGCCTGCTTTCTGCCCGCAGGTTGCAATCTGTACTGCCTGGACACCAACTACGGTGGCGTTCTCATCATATGGGACCGGATCTTCGGCACGTTCGCCGAGCAGCGCCCGAAGGAGCAGATCATCTACGGACTGGTGGTCAGCCCGCAGACGCACCAGCCGCTCTACCTGCAGGTCAGTGCGCCACGCGATCCGCGCTGCCGAGCCGGCCGCGTGCTGCATCGCGCCCCGTCGTCTCGTGTTTCAGGCGTTCTACGCCGCGCAGACGGCCCGGCGCAGCCTCGCCGCGGGAAACCTGAGAGACGGCCTGGCGGTGTGGTGGAAGGGCCCCAGCTGGCAGCCCGGCCTGCCGCGGCTGGGCCTCGACCGGTTCAAAGTGAACGTAAGCCGCCGGCCGCCGGCCGCGGACGCGCCTCACGGCTCTGACGGCGCCGCTGTTGCAGGTCAGCTCGCGCGTCAAGTTCCGGGCGCGCGTGCCCGCCTGGCAGAGCTGCTACATCGCGCTGCACTTCTGCCTGGTGCTCCACGCCCACGTGCAGTTGTACGACGAGCCGACGGTAAGCCCCGCGCCGAGCCGCGCGCCGAGCCGCGCCCCGAGCCGCGCCCCGAGCCGCGCACTGATGGCCCTCGCGCCGCTCGCCGCAGGACGCCCGGGGGCCCGCCTGGCTGGGCGCCCTCGTCAACAACGTGTGCGCGCTGACGACGATCGGCCTGCTGCTGGACCACTCGGCGGCGGCGGGCCTGCTCGAGCTGGCGCGCTGCTGCGGCTACCTGTGCCTCCTCGGGGACCGCCAGGCCTGGCTGCCCGGCTGGGTCTACGCCGCCTCCTGCTGCCTCTGGCTGTGGCGCATCGGCCGCGCGCTCGCGCGGCGCACCCGCTAGGCCGGGCCGAGCGCAGCCGACTGGACGGCCGACCGAGCGCGGCCGGCCAGTCGGCGCGCTCGTCGCTCGTGCGTACATTCTTCGTTCGCACGCACGCACACATAGGTATTCCAGTGCGTAATAGTCCGGACGGCTGTATTCTTATCGAGCGCTCTGTTATTTGGAGCATCGTTATCGTCGATAGCGATGCGCTGCGCCGCGCCGACCATGAACCGCCGAGCATCAGGCCGCTCGAGGGTCAACCAATAGCGTCCCATTTGCTTGTGCCTTCGCCGGCGGTCGACGTAGATCTTGTGTTTACACTCGCGCGGCGGCATTGTATCCAGCCTGCAGCCGCTTCGGATGGCGTGCAGCCTTTCGCATATGCTTGCGTCTGTGCGCGTCTGTATTACATAATTATGCTAATGGTTCTACTGAACTGTAGCAAGAGTCGGGGAAAACAAGGATTGCCAATAAAAAAAGCACGCCGTTCCTTTGAAATGCTTACAAAACATGAAAACATGCCTGTTTATTTGCTTCTTTATTTTTCCCTTCAAGACAGCACTATATCATACAACTTGAGGACATACAAATAGCATTCCGAAATTACACGACGATTTACAAGCGCATTTGACAGTGTCGTGCGAAACATTGAGAAGAAAGGGGAAAGCGATCGGATGCAGGCTGCGGCTGGCGCGATGCGGCTTTTCGGGAGGGGCTCCCTCTCGTTCAGCTTGCCGCACGCATTGCACGTCTGATTATGCGTTAGCGGTTGTCTATTGTTATCGTTCGTTAGCCACGAGAATCGCGCCGTGTCGAGGCTGATCCACCTAAAAATAGCCGAGATATGCACGTGGAACGAACGAGCGCCTTTGCGCGCGGCACTTGCACGCGGACAGTCAGTTGCCCCTGCGTTCTCGAGCTGCAATCATCCTTTTCCCCACGGCAGCCGCATCCTCGAAAGGGCATCAATCGCGCGACCAATCCAGCTGCCGACTGCGCAAGCGCCGAAGCGCAGCTGAATCACAAGCGCGCTCGTCGTCGCGACGACTGCACAGTTCCCTCGCGGAGCCTCGGCAGAGATACGCCCAGTTGGAGCGGCGACGATCAAGCGCAAGACTAACGTTATTCTTAGCGTAATCATAATGTACGTGCACTCGTGCGGAGCACCAACTGCACTCCGAAGATGAACACACAAATAATCGACACCTCTTCCATTCGTTATTGTACACTTGTAAAATTCGCTAAGTATATATACTCACATGTATATATGTATACGTATGCATACGCGCTGACAGCCTTATCGTGAATAATATAAAACACTTAAGATTCGAGTACGGATGTGCGGACCCTCCTCGTCATAAACTATGTAAGCATATAAATATACGGAATGAAGGAACCTGCAGCAGGCCTCTTTGCTTAGATAAAAAGGAAATAAATGGATACTGAGGGAATCGAGAGGATGTCGCGTCTGCTTGTCTCGATGTGCGATGAAATCTCGACTCCTCGGCGTCAAACAATCGTGCGTGCAGTGGCAACGCGACCGTCCGCCGCGCTCGCAAAGCCGACTACAGCTCGTGGTCCATGAGTGATCTGCGCAGAGGGAAGTGGCGTGTCAGTGTCGGCGTCGTGGAGTCGACTGCAAGGCAGAAAGCGACGGGCTACTCACCGACGTCGGCCAGTGCCGGCTAAGCCGAGCCCGCCTAGCCCTCGCTGATGCTGTCCTTGTTCGAGCCGTCCTTGCTGTGATCTTGCCCGGGACACTCCAAGCTGTCGGAGGAAACTCGCCTGCTGCTCCGGAACTGCTGTTGCTGCTCGTGCGACGGATCCTTGAGCGAGTCCGAGCTGATGGAGGGGTGCTCGAGCGCGACCCTCAGTTCCAGCGAGTCCGCGCTCTTGCACATGAGGCTGTAGTTGGGCGCGCCCTCGCCCTCCAGCGAGTCCACACTGGTCTCCATCAGGCTGGCCACCGGCTCCGCTGCAAAGAGGAGAGCACGGTCGGCAGTCGATCGGCCGGCCCGGGCGACCGGTGCCCGGTGGCCGCGCGGCCCGCAAGCTCGCTTACCGCGCGCCACGGCGCGTGCGTCGCCTGCGTCGCCCACCGGTGCAACGTCCGGCCGGTCGATCTTGTCGGCGCTCGCCTGGGCCATCCTGATGATGTCGTCGATCTCCTGGATGCGCTTCTCGTAGTCGTCGGAGCCCGAGGTGCTGGGCTGGAAGGAGCCCGCGGGCGTGGCGTCCTGGGCCTCGAGCTTGGCCCTGGCCAGGCTCTCCAGCTTGTAGCGGTTCTCGGGGCTCTCGTGGTCCAGCAGCTCCTCCTCCTCGCGCGCGCGCAGTTCGATGAGGTGGGCCTCCCGGCAGGCCTTCTCCAGCGCCTCGAAGTCGCGCACCGAGGAGCCCGAGGCGTCGTCGCCGAGGCTACTGCCGGGCTTGTAGCGGCCGCGCGGCAGGCTGCCGTTGCTCGACGAGTCCTGCGAGCTGCCCGAGTGCGCACCGGCCTGCAGCGCCGGCCGCGGCTGCTGCTGGCGGCGCGCGCTCTCCTGCGACTGGGCGAGCGCGCTCTCCAGGTGCTCGAACTCCTGCAGCGAGCTCAGCGACAGGTTGTCGTGGTCGCTGGCCCGGAGCAGCCGGCGCGCCGCCAGCGAGTCCAAGTGGTCGGGCGTGCTGCCGAAGCTGCCGCGCATGCTGCCCAGGCTGCCGATCGACTCCTTCTGGCTGCCGAGGCTGCCGATGCGGCTGCCGCCGGCCTCCAGCTCCGCCATGTCCTCCTCCTTGATATCCTCCAGCGGGCCGCGCTCGTACTCGAGCTCGTACAGCCGGCCGGCCTCGCTCTGCTGGAACTGCATCTCCACCCACTTCTTGCTGGCGGCGCTGCCGCTGCCGGCGTCCGGCTCTTCGTCCGAGTACGACCGCGAGTAGCCCTCCTCGTTGGACGCCTGCGGTGGGCTCTCCTCGCTCTCGAACTCGAACAGCTCGCCGCCTTTCTGCGAGGCGGCCTGCTGCCGCTGGCGTTGTTGCTGCTGCTGCTGCTGCTGCTGCTGCTGCTGCTGCTGCTGCTGCTGCTGCTGCTGCTCCTCCTTCGCCAGCAGGTCCTCCACGTCGCGGTCGTACAGCCTGGAGCTCGCCAGCGGGTTCGAGCTGATGCGGATGCCCTTGCCTGTGGGGCAGCCGACGCGTTACACCGTGTCGCTCGGCCGGCGGCAACGCTGGCCGGACTTACCTTCCGAGTCGCATTCCTGGGCTTCGCGGCCCACCTCCTCGATAACTACGAAATCGTCGATGAGATCGGGCTTCTCGACCAGCTCGAACGAGTCGCTGTCGGGCGAGCGCCTGTCCGCCTGGTCCTTCTCAATCACGGTCTCCAGCGAGACACCCGACATCGACGACGACGTCATACTCTGCTGCTGCTGCAGAGTTAGCTCGTGGGTGTGCGCGTCCTCCGGCTCGGGTGCAGCCGCAATGAGCTTGGACATTTCAAGCGAGTCCGGCTCGAACGAGTAGCTCTCTTTCGCCGACTCGGACGGGCTGCTGGACAGCTCGTCGCCAGCCAGGGCTTTACCGAGGTTCTGCTGTTGCTGCCTCTGCAGGCCGCTCGCCTCGCCCGCCGACTCCGCCGACTCCGTCGACTCGGTAGTGATCTGCAATGGCGGCGACGGCGATGAGAGGTGCAAGTCGCCAGGCTTACTCGCTCGGGCTGACCAACCGACCACTTGGCTGAAGATCATTTCGCTGGAGCGCTTCATCAGGCAGGGTACGGAGTCGGGGTCGAGTCGAACAGGCGCCTCCTTGGCGTCGTCCTCCAGCATGTTCTCGAGGTTTCCGTCGACGACCTCCTCGTCGTCCACGTCATCCACGTCGCCGTCGGAGGCCATCAACGTCTCCGACAGCTCGCTCGCGCTGTCCATGCTGGCGTATTGGCCGGAGCTCAGCGACTTGACCGAGCCCATAGAGCTGAGGCTCGCGGCCGCGGTCACGTAGTCCTTGGAGGTGGCCTTGGACGACGAGTGCTCGAAGGAGGCGACCGCCGTCTCGTACTCGGACGAGCTCAGCGGCTGCAGGTGCTCCATGTCCGAAGAGCTCGGCCGGCTGGCCGCACTCTCGTACTCACCGCTGCTCGACACGTCCGCCTCGCTCTCGGAGGCGGGCCCGCCGTCGGCGCGCCGCGGGCGGCGGCGCGGCGCCGGCTGCGGGGGCTGCAGCGCGAAGCCGCTGCTCTCTTCCCTGGCCGCCGCGGCGATGCCCTCGTCCCGGGGCAGCTCGCCGCTCTGGCGCCGAGGCTTGGCTACCGGCGAGCAGGCGCACGGGGCCGAGGGGCAGTCCGCGTCGCCGTCGCCGAGCTTGTCGGAGGAGGGCACCTCGTAGAGCAACGGCGGCAGCTCGCTGGGGATCGACTCGGGCTGCAGCTTGAACTGGAACTCGGACGGCGAGTCCTTGATCTGCAGGGCCACGTTCTCGCCGGTCTCGCTCAGCTCCTCGATCAGATCCTGCTTGGCAGCCTCCAGGCTTTCCTTCACCTCGGCGATTTCCTTCTTCACCACCTGGTCCAGCACCGTGATGGCGTAGCGCGCGCTCATGTCCACGCACTGCTCCTCCGGCCGGTCGCTGTCCCGGTCCCGCTCTTTCTCCCTGTCCTTGTCCTTGTCCTTGACCTTCTTCTTCTTGAGCGGACTGCCGCTGGCGGCGGCGCTCTCGTAGTGTGGCTTGTCGCGCTTCTCGCTTTTCGTTGCTCTCGACGCCTCGCGATGGCCCTCCGAGCGGGCCGACTTCCCCAGCTGGTCCTCCCCCCGGGTCTTGGCGTCCTCCGGATCGAAGCTCTTGTACGAGACCAGCTGCACGTCCTCGCTCTCTCGCCTTCGCTCCTCGGTTCTGGTCGGCTTGCCTCGCCACTCGGTCTTCATTAACACCTCCGAGGTCTGGGGATGCTTGTCGAATTCAGCCAGGTTGTACGAGCCTCTCGACTCGTCGGCTGCCACCAGCTCTGCTGGCGCGCCAGCGTCGTGCTCTGCGTCGGCGGGCTTCAGTTGGATGCCCTCCTCGAATAGCTCGTCGAATAGCTGCACCATTTCGCCCTTCCTGAGCCTAGGCTGAGTCTCGTCGAGGCTCATGAACGGCTGCTTCTCGATGACGTTCACCGCGGTTTTCGTTTCTAGAAGCGGCTCCTTCTTCGTTGTTGACGCTGCCTTTTCGTGCTGCCATTCCCGCCGGTCTTGGTCGAAACTGTCTTCGCAGCCCTCGTCGTCCACATCGACGGCCATGAAATGGAAGGACCTCGCAGCCATCTCTTCCAGTCGATCGTCAGTCGGGGTTTTCGCCTCGTACTCTCGCTGCAATGTGTCCATCAGCTCCTGGCAGCTGACGTCCAGCTTATCCTCCACCAGTTCCCTGTCAACGTCAAAGTCCGACTCGCTCACCGGTGCGACCGTAAATTTGGACGCCCTCGGGGTCGACGCTTGTGGCTCATGTATGCGCGGAATGGCCAACTCGGGTAGCGCAACTTTTTCTAGCTGCTGCTGCTGCTGCTGCTGCTCCAGCGACGTCTGGTATTCCTCTAGTTCCTTGTCAAAGGCTTCGGAGGGCTCGAGCGTCTCCTTGACTTCGATTTTTTCGTCGCCGATCGACCAGTTCACCGGCCGAATTTCCAACTCTCTGGGCTTGAGACGGGGCGAAACGAGCGGCGGGCTGTCGAGCTCGAACGAGTCCCTCTCCGTTCTGCGCCTGATGGTGATTCTCTGCAGACTCACTTCTTGCCTCTTGTGGCTACCGTCTCGCGGTAGCGAGTAGTCGATGTTAGTGTCCTCCGAGAATGTGACCGGGCTCGCGGAGCCCTCGCGCTCCAGGGCTTCCAGCGAGTCGACGGCGGGACTTTCGTGTAGAGTGTCCACTCTGGGGACACTCGATGAGAACCTCGTCTCGTCGATCTCCAGGGAAGAGACGTCCGTCGAATCTTGTCTTGAGACCGGGTCTGCCTCCGGCTCCAAAATCTCGAGGACTTTCGCGCCCGACAGCTCGGACGTCAGCTTGCCGTCGAAGCTCGTCTCGGCGGCCATTTTCATGTCCGCCAGCTTATCCGGCTTGGCGTCGATTCGCTCGGAACCGCTGCCGGACTCGTCTTTGGTAAGGCGGTCGCTGGCGCTCGCACAAGCATGGCCCGGCTCTTGCAAGACAACCGGGTCCGTCTTGTCGATCATTTGCGCAGCGCCTGAATCGCGCATTGCGCTCTCGGATTTGCGGTTCACGTCGTCGTCGTCGTCGCCGCCGTCGCCGCCGCCGCCGCGCTCGTCGTGGACGACTGCGGACTCGCGCGCCCCTGATCGCTTGACCTCTGCTGCTCCTGGCACTGTCTCCGACTCGTCGTAGCATTCCCGGTGTTCCGTTGCATTCTCCCGAGTCCGCCGAGAAATGGGGGTCGCTTCTTCGCGAATGGTAGACTCGTCGACGACTCTGCCAATGCTGCCGCGCTCTGCATTCTCGCCACTACATTCCGTATCGAGCTTCACCCCAGCGCCGATTGCGCTTGCTTTCCACGCTCTCGTCGTTTTCTCATCGCTCTCGGCTGATCTGTTGTCGACTGTGTGCTCGATGTCTTCGCCCGTTTCCGAAGCGGAAGCTCCTGCTGTTGCAAGCTCGTCGGTCAAACCCAGCAAAGTCTTCTCCGTGGCGCTCAGTACTCTGTCTCTAACGGTGCTCTCCGCTTCTTCGAGCCTCTCGCCTGGCGAGTGACGCTCCTCGGCAAGAGATGCGCACATCTGCTTCCTTTGTGCGTCCTCCCATCGTTCGTGAGCCGTAATCTCGGCGTCGCCAGTGTCGACTCCCGAAGATCGAATCTCCGTCTTTTCCAAGGACGCTGTGGACTTGCAGTCTATTTTCGAGGTAAGTACGTTATCGGCCGTGACAAAATCGGCTGGCTTTAAGGCACTCGTGTCTTCGAAAAGCTTTAAGGCCTCTTTCGAATCACCCGCGAGCGACCCCGAGTATGTCCAGGACTCGCTAGCTCGTATTCTCGGATGCTCCTTGTGTTGTTCAGTCCTCGTCTGCTCGCTTTCCTCGTTCTTGCCGCTCACGACAGCGTCCGCTTCTTTCGTCCCTTCGGCTTCCTTCTTCGCCGCTATGCCAAAGCTTCCTCGTGGCGAGGACGAACTGGTCGAGCTGCACGATAGGCTATCCGAGTCTCGCAATCTTGGACCTTTTGGACCTTTGGATAGCAATTTTGTCGGATCGTCTTTCGAATCTCGGCGCTTAGCAAGCCTACTCTTCGTCGCTTCATCTTGCGATTTCTCTCTCTTTGGAATCGACTTCGAAGGATACTCTACAGTCTTCTTAACGCCAGCTCTAGACGATTCCTCCTTAGAGTCGCGGCGTGTGGCACCAAACTTGCTCGCCGTACTCGTTATGGTCATTGCCGTCGTTTCAGTCTTTTTAACTCTGCATTTCGGTGACACCTCGCCTTTTGCATCCTGATGCTTCAAGCCTGTCTTAGCAAACACTTCTTCTTTCGAGGCTAATTTTGAAGAAATTTCATCTCTAGATTTTTCTCTTCTCGGACCAGTCTTAGCAGCTAAATCATCTTTCGACTTTTCTCTTTTGGGAGCAACTTTAGCAAGAACCTCATCCTTGGACTTCTCTCTCTTCGGAATCGCTCCCTTCGATATTTCGCCTTTTGACTTTTCCCGCATGGGCATCGTTGACTTCGATATTTCAGATTTCGATTGCTCTTTCTTGGGAACAGAAATCGATGGCAAATCGTCTTTCGATTTTTCGCGTTTTGGCGGGGACTTGAGAGAAAATTCTTCTTTCGACTTCTCTCTTCTTGCAACCGTTGTTTTAGAAAATTCTCCGACGGATTTTTTCTTTGCAGGCATTGCAACGGTAGACGACGACGACGATGACGATGATTTGCCATCTTTAGGAGGGGATCTTGAAGCAAAGTCATCCTTTGATTTTTCCCGCCGTGGTATCATTGATTTGGGCAATTCCCCCGAGGAATTTGCTCGTTTTGGAGCTGGCGACGGTACTTTCGAAGGAGACTTTATCGAAAATTCATCTCTCGATTTCTCTCTTCGCGGAATCATAGATTTAGCTATTTCACCTGAAGATTTTTCTCGCTTGGCGGTGGAAGGTGGTAATGTTTTAGGTGTTGCATCTTTCGTCGGCGACTCGATCGAAAAATCATCTTTCGATTTTTCTCTGACTGGTATCATGGATTTCGTTATCTCACCACTGGACTTTTCTCTCTTGGGCGTCGGCAACGGGCTTGATTTCATTGCAAAATCTTCTTTCGATTTCTCTCGTCGCGGTATCATAGATTTTGGAATGTCACTTGCCGATCTCTCTCTTGTCGGCATGGTTAATGATGATATTCGTGGCGGCGATTGAATGGAAAATTCTTCTTTGGAATTTTCTCTCCTCGGTATTATAGACTTGGAAATTTCTTCTGCAGACTTTCCTTTTTTGGCAGAACCGTTTGATGCGTCGTTTGCAGGAGACTTGATGGAAAATTCTTCTTTTGATTTCTCTCGTCGCGGTATCATAGATTTCGAAATTTCGCTCAACGACCTTTCTCTTCTCGGTGTTGCTGATGGTGATATTCCAGGAGGTGATTTGATTACAAACTCTTCTTTAGATTTTTCTCTCACAGGAATCATGGATTTTTGAATTTCGTCGATAGACTTTTCTCGTTTAGGTGTTGCCGAAGGTGATATCCTCGGCGGCGATTTGATTGACTTTGGAATTTCACTCAAAGATCGTTCTCTTTTTGGAGTTGCTGTTGGTGATTCTGTTGGTTTGTCATCCTTAAATGTAGGCTTAAATAGAATTTCTTCTTTGGATTTCTCTCTGACTGGAATCATTGACCTGGAAATTTCACCAACAGATTTTTCCCGTTTCGGTGTAGCAGTTCGTGGTGGCGATATAATAGAAAAATCTTCTTTTGATTTTTCTCTCACCGGTATCCAAGACTCTGGTATTTTACCTAAGGACCTTTCCCTTTTCGGTGCTGCTAGCGATTCTTTAGGTAAATCTTCTGGCATCTTCGTAGATCTTTCTCCTTTATGTGGTTCACTTAGGAGATGATCTGGTTCAATATTGGATTTTTCTTGCTTATCAGGCGATAGCTTTTCGACGGAAGGAGTAATCATAGATTTCTTTGAAGGCACTTTACTCATTGGTACATCTTTTGGTTTATCTTGTTTTATCGTGGAAATCTTTGGAATTTGATCCTTTGTTTCTTTTTTCATCAGCGCAGGCTTTAATTCTATTATCGTCTTTTTTGAAACTTCCAGCGTTTGTTTAGATCTCTCTGGTGTACCCAAAGCTCGTTCGACTTCCACACCGTCATGAAATTTTTCTTGTTTTAGTTTTTTATCAGGGCCAACTGCTGAGATTGTTTCCTTTTTAGTTCCGGTCTTGATTGTTTTTATATTCATTGTTGCCGAGCCCTCCTTATTTGCATCATTATCGATCGTCGTTATTTTCAGTACTTCCATTTCTGTTTTGGAAGACAAGTTTGATGATACGCCTTTATCTGCTTTCAGTGATTCTTGTTCTGACGTTGGTTTCTCTGAAACCATATCAACTTTTGAAGATGATACAATGTCAATTTTATTTTTATCGGTTTTGTGTAGAGATTGCATAGTAAAACGGTCTGTGGATTTTTCTTGCTTTGACAGCACCGGTTCCAACATACCCGATTCAGTTTTATCGGGTACTAATTCTTTCTCTTTATTCGCATTTTGTTTTGTTTCAACAACAACGATTCCTTTCGCTGTTTCCAATTTCCGTGACATATTCGTTAGTGCGTCTTCTGTTAATTTTTCGTACTTTGGAGGAGATTTGGACGCCAAATCTTCTTTCGTTTCATCCATCATATGAATTGGTCCCGATAACGCATCCTCTTTTGCTTTCTCTACCAGTGGCGTCAAATCTTTTTGCTCGTCTCTTTTGAGAGGCGTCTTCAACGAGGCCTCATTTTTCGGAGGGAATTTATGTGAAACGTCTTCATTTAATGTTTCTCTCTTGCAGGCAGATAGTGCCAAAGAATCTTTCTTTGATTTATCTTTCTCCGGAGGCGACTTTAAGCATAATTCATCTTTTAATTTGTCTTTGTTTGAAGGCGACTTTGATAACAATAAGTGTTCTTTCGATTTATCTTTCTTTGGAGGTGACTTTGATAGCACATCATCTTTAGGTTTATTTCTCTTCGGAGACGACTTGGATAGCATATCATCTTTTGATTCATCTTTCTTTGGCAAGAACTTTGAAAATAAATCATCTTTTGATTTGTCTTTCTTTGGTGTTGCCTTCGATATTATGTTATCTTTTAGTTTATCTTTTTTCGGAGGTGACTTTGATAACACTTCATCTCTTGGTTCGTATTTCTTTGCCAAGGATTTTGATAATAAGGCATCGTCAAGCATATCTTTCTGCGGAGGTGATTTTGATAGCAAATCATCTTTTGGTTTATCTTTCTTTGGCGGTGAATTTGTTAACGAGTCGTCTTTTGGTCTGTCCTTCTTTGAGAGCGATTTTGATATCACATCGTCCTTCGGATCATCTGTCTTTGACGGCGACTTTGATAACAAATCATCTTTGGATTTGTCTTTCCTAGGGATCGACTTTGATAATAACGAGTCATCTGTTGGTTTGTCCTTCTTTGAGGGCAATTTTGATATCATCTCGTCTTTCGGTTCGTGTACCTTCGGCGGCGACTTTGATAACAAATCATCTTTGGATTTGTCTTTGCTTGGGATTGACTTTGATAATAACGAGTCGTCTTTTGGTTTATTCTTCTTTGATGGCGATTTTGATGTCACGTCATCTTTCGGTTCGTCTGTCTTTGGCGGTGATTTTGATAACAAATCATCTTTAGATTTGTCTTTCCTTGGGATTGACTTTGATAATAACGAGTCGTCTTTATTTTTGTCCTTCTTTGAGGGCGATTTTGATATCACGTCGTCTTTCGGTTCGTGTACCTTCGGCGGCGACTTTGATAACAAATCATCTTTGGATTTGTCTTTCCTTGGGATTGACTTTGATAATAACGAGTCATCCTTTGGTTTATCTTTTATTGTAGGTGACTTTGACGGCAGGTCATCCTTTGGTTTGTCTTTCTTCGGAGGAGACTTTGACAATAAATCATTTTTCGGCTTATCTTTCTTTGGTGGCGATTTGGATAATGGTTTGTCTTCAGCTTTTTGTCGTGGTGGAATCATTTTCGGGGAAGATTTTTCCATTCTTTTTGTTTCTGCTGTTATTACTGCTGCCGATTTAGTTTCTGCATCTTTTTGTTGCATTGTTACGTTTTCTTGTTCCTTGCCTTCTTTTACGTCTATTTCTAATGTGGATTGCGCCAATATCTCAAACCGATCATCTTTATCATCTGTATTATCTACTATTATTGTGGATTGATCTGTAAGTGTCATACGTTTAAATGCGTCTTTCGCCGCTTCACCTGTTTCATTATCGATTTCCTTCTTATTATCTGATTTTTCGTCTGTGTCTTTCATTTCAGATATTTGTGGTATTGTAGTTGATGTACTAATTTCCTTTTCGCTATCTGTCTTTTCTTCAGTATTTTTTATTTCATTAGTCTCAATTTTCAGAATTGATGGTTTGTCAGTGTCAGTCTTAATACTTTTTTCACTGTCAATTACCTCTTGATCACTTTTCATTTCCCTTGGTTCTATTTTAATTTGCGACGACTCTTTTTCGGTTTTGATAGCCTTTTTCTCACTCTTCTCTTCTTTGGAGTCATGTTTCCATATGAAAAATCCTTTCCTTTCCTCCTTTTTAGTTAATTCCTTTTCTTCTTTACTCTTTCGCTTTTCTTCCTTTTTACTTTTTTCATCATCTGTTTTTTTTCTCATAAATTTAAAATCGAAAAATCCTTTCTTTTCATGCTTATCTTTTTGTTCTTTTTTTTCCTCTAATAGTTTGGTATCTGCCTTGTCATAGGGTTTATCGGGTTTATCATCAAGCTTCTCAGTCTTTTCAACATCGGCAACTCTTGCAACAGGTTGCAACACTTCTATTTTAACATCTTTCCATTCCTTTTCGACCTTCTCCGGCTTGAGTTCAGTCGCTTCTTTATCTACTTTATCCATCTTGTCCATAACATCTTTCTCTTCCTTTTCTATTGTTTCTATTTTCTTCTGCTTGTCTTGATTGTGCGCAGGTTGCACTTTCTGTTTGTCTGATTTTTCCTGCTTGTCTATTTCTTTTTTGACATTATCTGAATTGTCCATTTTATTCATTTTTTTCTCTTTTTTAGTTGTCTCTAATTTTTTCTCTTTACCTTGGCTTCGTATCTTCTCTACTTTCACTCCATTGTCTGCTATTTCAATTGTTTCCGGGATATGCGCATGTCCCTTTTCCTTCTTCTCCGCTGCCTTACCTTTACCGTCCTTACTTTTATCTCCTCCTTTCGACTTGTCCCAATATTTCTCTTGGCCAATCTCCTCACTCGTTTTCGTTTCCAACATTCGCTCGGTTTCTTCAAATACTTTAAGTGACTTGTCGTCTTCACTGGAGGTCGAAATGCCCGACCACCTTGCTGTTCCCCTCGCCAAATCTTGAGACGACTGACTAATAACAGAAGTTCTGATGGTCTTCTGCTCTTTGAGTATTTGCTTTTCAAAGTATTGAGCTTTCTCGGCCACAGTAGCCTCAGACATGTCGGTTGACGGGCCGTCGCCTACCCCGGAAGCTTCGCCGCCGTTATGCTCGCGTACCTCGCTCAGGCACTCGCTATCACTGTCATGATAAGTAAGTTGAGAAGTATGCGACACCTCGGACTCGCTGCGTTGAAAACTTTCACGCTTACTACGCGCCATATCTTCCCAGAATCGTCGCTTCTCGGTGTAAGTCTTTTTTTCCAAGGCAGGTGATGCGGAAAAGCTAGCCTCTACGGTCTCTAAGGGAGTGGCAAATTGATCTTTTTGAGCTAGCAGGCTACCGACTGCATCTAAAACAAGCAAATATAGATTTGTGATTGTCGTACAAAAAGCTGGTGGATTTATTACGATTTCAATGACTTTGACGATAATATTGGTAGTATACGGTGCCTTTCAATTTTTCCATATACTTGTCATCTAATTATCGAAAGTCATTTTAATTCTACTGATAAGCTGAACTATTCGCAAAAAAATTTTAATGAGAATGTGACTTGAGTGAACCAAGTCAGACTTGTTTGCAATTGCTGCAGTAAACGCTACTGCGATCAAGGGCATCAACTACATTCAGCATTGTTAAAATAAAAATCTCATGTACAGTTTGATAAAGTTGCATTTATTTGGAGGATTTACAGGTGGCTAAACAGCCCCTTCGGCTCACTTGCACAATCAGCTCTGCAACAGCGTTGATTCAGGTACTTTGATGCTCGAGTAAATAAAACTTTTATTATATGATAATAGAAGATGAAATGTTCATGCGAACACGCTCTTTACGTTTTAGACATAACGGTTCGATAAAATATATAGATATATTTAACTAACGATTATAGAATAGCAATAGTGGCTTGTGTATAAATAGTTAACACGTGGTAAAGCTAATGTGAAAATCCAACTCGGGTAATATTTAAAAATAAATTAATTGCACTTAGTGTATATTCAGTTGCTTTGGCATTGTTTTTGTTCTGTAAGACGTATTCGTCGGTAGGAATGGTGATTTGAACATTGACCAAATTGAAAGATATATGATTAAGTATGTATCCGAGTTTAGTAACTCTATAATGATCATTAATTATCGAGGTAAGGTTACTTCGGTCACATTCATTGTTAACGACGTGAAGCTTTCCAGAAGTGAATTATTTGAAAATAACGCGACAGTGTCGAGAACGGAAGCTATGTCTGTAAATAGATTAGACATAAGAAATTTCAGAGTGGCTCAATTCAGAGCAGTAGGAGAGCAACGAACAGCTCTTGTTACGTTAGCTAATTGATTGGTCTGGTTGTACGGCGGTGGTAGTTAATTATACATAATTTAGAATGGACAGAATGATTGAATCGCTATGACTCGTTGACTCGTTGACGTCTGTAAAAACGAAAGGCAAAAAGAAAACAGAAAAAAAAAAACAGGTACGTGCACGAAAAAATCATTGGATGCAAAAAATAGGTTCTGCATTGAATCCAAGTCGCGAGAGAGCCATTTCGTATAAAAAGTCTAAGCGGGTTGACAAGAAGAGTGTTATCGACAGAAAAGAGGACGATGGTATGAACCGTCACTGCTCCTCGAAGCATGCCGTACGAAGGACGAAGGACAATCAGGCAGCATCGGTATCGCGCGCGACGAGGCGGCGGCTCGAGCGGACCTACTCGAGATCCTCGATGTCGGTGTGGCCCGCGTCGCTGAGCACGTCGTCGGGCTCCTTAACGGCCAGCAGTTGGTCCGTCTTGCTGCAGTTCTTCATGAGAATCTGCGAGGCGGCGAGCACTTCCAGCTCCTCGACCACGCCCTCGCGCAAGCCGCAGGCGACCGAGCCAAGTTGTCCGACGACGTCCTCGTCGTCGTCGTCGCTAGCCTCCATATCCTCGCTGTCGGTCGCGGGCGCGAACGCGATTTCCGGCGCGGGCTCCCGGGCGGGCCCGCCGCTGGGTCCGTCGTCGAGCGACATCTGGTTACGGACCTCGACGGAGAAAGGGCCGTCGCCCTCCTTGGTGGTGATAGTCTCGCCGCCAAAGTCGACTAGAATGTCGCCACGCGGCTCCACGTAGATCGACGGCTCGTCGGCCTCGTCGCTAGACAGATCCTCGAGCTCGGTCTCGACCTGCGGCGGGGCCGGCGGCTCGGCGCCGCCCTCTGACCCCGGCTCCGGCTCGGGCTCGCTCGCACACAGCTCGTCGACGTCGGTCAGGCAGTCGAGGAAACTGCCGCGACGGTCGCCGCTCGCGCGCGACGAATCGTCGCCGCTGGCGTCCAGCGTGACCGAGATCGTCGGGCGCAGCAGCAGGCTATCGGAGCAGAGGCCGAGCCGCGCCGACGGCGGCCTGGTCGGCGTGACGGCGCGCGGCGCCTGCAGCTCGCCCTCCGAGTCGGTATCGGAGAAATGCAGCGAGGCGTTACTCATCATGGCGTTGAGCCGGCGGCGCGTCGAGCGCGCCTTGCGCTTGGTCTTGCCCCCGTCGCCGCCGCCGTCGGCCTCGCTCTTCAGCAGCTGCAACCGCGGCACCTTGCGGTCGGCGCTGCTGGGTAGCTCGGCCGCCTGGCGCTCGAGTGTCTGACCCTGCATGCCACCGACTATCTGTCCGTTCGCTAACGACTACTCTTTGGACTGCTCTCGAGCTTGCTGGGAGCCGCGCTCGGGACGCACAGCGAAGAACCTGCCTGCGCGGTTCTCGTGCTCGAACAGGGACTACGAGAGGAGCAACTAAAACGACCTGCAAACAGACAACCAAGCGAAAATGCGGCATTCTAGCTCTGCAACTCTGCGACAGAAGCAGCAGCAGAGAGAGAGAGAGAGAGAGAGAGAGAGAGAGAGAGAGGGAGAGAGAGAGAGAGCGGACAGTTGTACGAACTGGCAACCGCAAGCGCATCTTGGGATCTGGCGTAGCATTTTTTTTGCAGCAAATGATGATAGACCACAATAAACTGCTTCGGAGTAGTCAGACCAACAAGATGCACTTGATTGACCGAGTACGAACGCAGTTGAACAGATGAATAAGGCAGCACTCACGTTTGCAGTGTTTTGCCACGGGGATGACGGCGAGCTTCCGAGTCGAGCTGACGCACAAACAACTTGGTCGATGCGTGCGTATCGAAGACGAAATTGGGACTAAAGGAGACAAAGATCGCTTAGAGGTGTGGCGTTGGTAGTACGAGGAGGCAGCTCATTCTGCCAGAAAGTTAGTCGGCAAGTGCAAAGCCAACGGCGGAGCCTTATGACAAAATTCGATGATGCTCTTAGGAGTAATTGAGTTATGCGAAGCCTCGCGCGCTTCCACGCGCCGAGCCGAGCCAAGCCCTAACAAGATTAGCGTTTCTGCCAAACGTTGAGACGAGAAAACAATACGCAGTGGAAATAGACGAGAAAGAATATGGTTACTGATGGTTTGATTTGCCTCGTTGGAATTTGATTGCTCTGACATTTCATACACTCGACATAATGCGCAGGCACTGGTGCTTACACTGTACATATGTATGCGCATGCTGCAGTCGGCGAGCAGTGAGGTTAGCGCACTTGGTATCGGAAGCTCGTTCACTCAGCGGTTCAGCGCATGATACCTTCAACATGTTACAACGACGCTTAAATCGATGGAGGTTGGCGTCGTTGGTACGTAACCACACTCCAGTCGGCACGCCGCCTGCTTTCGTCGGATTTTCGGATTTTCGACGGACGACGGAAGACGAGGGAAGGCAAGCGGCTCCGATACTCTAGATCGAACCCATCAAAGCTTCAAGTAAAGACAAGGTTGCGCTTGTGATCAGCGCATGTCGTTAGTGTCACAGCCACTTTGCGCGCAGACTGGAGTACTTTGGGTACATCAGGAGTCAAAAGCAAGGCATGTCAAATAAAATGTCGTTCGTTGATAGGTTCGACTGTACATCAGATTTGTTTGTTAAGGCCTCTTATTACCGACAGGAGAGAAGAGCAGCCGGGAGGCCGGAGCTCAGAGTTGGCACGTACCTTGAGCAACGAACTCGCCGCTCTCTGATGGCGAGGTGTATTTGGGCCGATCGCTCTTCTCTTCGCTGTAGTCTATCTGGTAAGACTTCCTGAGTAGATCCATTTTTTGCGCAATGATGTTGGAGTCCTCAAGGGTCCTGTTGTTATCGAGGCAAGCGATGTCAGGCAGCACGATGTTGAGTAGGCAGACCGGCTGCTGGGCGGGCTCGCCTTTGGCGACTTTGGGCTCGCGCATGAACATCATCCTAGCCACGGGATCGAGCTGAGCGTCCTTGATCTTTACATGGAACGAGAGTCGGTTTTGCCTGAAAGCTCGGAAGGTGAGCTTGAGCTGCTGGCCGGACTTGGTCACAGGCACCAGGTTGCCGCTAAACTCGATGTATAGGTCTTTGCCGTCGAGCGTCTGCAAGAAGGAGGCGGGTTGCAGTACGGACTCGGGCGCGCAATGAGCGAGGGCATACCTCGACGTCGCGGCTTTTGACTATCTCGGCGAATCGCTCTTGCTTCTCGAGCGTGGGCGTGCCATCCTTGCTGTCGGTCATACAGAGGATTCTCAGGGTGGCCTCCACCTGCTCCAACCGCTTGGAGTAGACGACGAAGCTGCAAGTAGAAGCGCATGAGCGCGGACGCGCGTGGCGAGCGACGAGACGAGTGGCTAGGAGCGCGGGGGGTGGTCACTGACTTGGTGATGAAGGGCACGTAGAGCGACTCGCGGTAGAGGTCGGAGGCCATCTTGGGCACCTCCTGCACGTTACGGCAGTCCATGAGCCAGAAGCGGGCCGAGACGGTGGTGGTGAAGGAGACCTTGTCGCTGGCGAAGTTGAGGGGCGTGGAGCCGGTGACGTCCTCCCACTGGGCCTCGCTGGTGCCGCCGGCGATGCTGCAGAGCAGCCGCAGCGTGGGCGTGTCGGCACCGTACTGGTTGACCATGCCCTTGTTAGCCGCCCGGGGCACCGGCAGCGTCAGCGTGATCGGCTTGTGGAACTTGCGCCGGCGCGGCTCGATCGTGACCACCGGCGATACGGCCACGCAATTGCCGAGCAGCTTGGCCGTCAGCTCGGCCGGGATCACGTGCGCCTGCAGACCCACCTTGATCTTCTTCGTGAGGGCGTTGGCCGGGAACACCGCCTGCACCTGGGCGTCCACGCTGGACGCGAGGACGCCGCCCTCGGAGCCGATCACGTGGACCTCCTGCCTGATACGCGTAACCACGGCGAAGTACTGCGGGAACTCGGAGGCGAGGATGCGCGTGATGCGGCCCGAGTGCGCGGCACTCATCGCCGGATCTAAGGGGGGAAAGCGATCGATCAGGCTGCGTCGCTCCGGGGTGCGCGCGGCCGGGCGCCTGCCTACCGAAGGCCGTGCCGAGCAGCGTCGAGTCGTTGTCGGCAGCGTTGTCGTGCTCCTTCCAGCTCTCGCCGTTCTCGCTGCGCAGCACGATGATCTCCCGGTGCTGGGCCTGCACCGAGGCGAAGTGCGGGACGTCGATGAGCACCGGCCTGCGGGAAAACGGCGCCTCGGTCATCCTCGCATCCTCGCATCCCCGCATCCTCGTATCCCCGCATCCCCGCATCCCCGCATCCCCGCATCCCCGCATCCCCGCATCACCGCTGTCGCGCCAGCGACGGGCTTACCCCAGGAAGCTGGCGCCGACGGGACCCATCTCGATGACGCGCGTCGCCAGCGACTCGCCCTCCATCAGCGGCGGTGGGTTGGCCATCTTGCCGGGCCTGACGAGGCGGCAGGTGACGCGGATCGGCTGGCTGGCTCGCCGGGGCGGCACGACCAGCCGGATGCCGCTGTGCCGGCAGCCCTTCATCGTGCCGCCGCGCGCGTCCACCAGGAAGCTCACGAGGAACCTGCGGGCAGGCGCGGCGCGGGCGTTCAGAGCGGCCGTCTCCGGCGAGCTGGCTGGCCGATGCCGAGCAACTCACCTCGCGCAGTCGCTGCTGTCGAAGGTCTCGGCGGCGCAGTAGTTGCTGCTCTGCACGAACTGCTGCTTCTCCTCGTGAGAGACTGCAACAGGCAAAGCACAGGCGGTGAGCACGCGGCGAGCGAGCGCGCAGGGGCACACCCACGTTGCTTGTGCAGCGGGTCGTCCCTGGTCACGTCGATCGGCAGCGAGTCGTCGCGCAGGCTCTTCATCAGGTCGGCGGTGAGGTAGCGGTACGGCTGCTCGCTGATCAGCGCGTCCGAACCTGTGGACAGACATCAGGCGTCTGCTCTCAGCCGAGTGGCGTTCGAGGCGTCGGCCGCCGGGCGAGCGTCGAGAGCGGCTCCCGTCTGGAGGGCGTCCCAGCGCCGAACGACGCGCCCCATACCGACCTCCCTCGTCGTCCGAGTCGGACATGAGGCTCGCGTCCTGCAGGCTTTCGGGGGCGATCACTCGGTATTTCTCCTCCCAGTTCTTGTTGTCGGGCGTGAGGCCGTCGTAGACGAGCCCCTTGAGCACCTCCATGACCGAGATGTATCCCAGCTTTTGGGCCACGTTGAGCGCGGTCAGGCCGTCCTGCAAAAGAGGCGCGGGTCAGCGCGGCGCGCGGGGTCAGTGCGACGACCGGGCCGGGCGCGCTTACGTTGGTGCGCGCGCGGTGCGAGGCCTTGGCCTCGACGAGCGCCGAGACGACGTGGACGTGACCCTGCTGGGCGGCCTGGTGCAGCGGCGTGTAGCTCTGTTTGGTGCTCACGTCCATGGCGGCGCCGTGCTTCAGCAGGAAGCGTATCATCGACAGGTTGCCAAAGTGGGCGGCCACGTGGATCGGCCGGTAACCCGTCTCCGTCTCGCTCTCCACGTCCGCGCCGTTTTTCACCAGGATCGAGGCCACGTTGATGAAGTCCTCTTGCGCGCAGAGGTGCAGTGCCGTGAGTCCGTTCTGCGCAGTGTCGATCGAACGAAACGCGAGCACGCGAGTCAGAGTGTGCGAGTAGCAGCGTGCCTGCGGCAATGGGAGGCAGCGTACGCCCGTACCTTAGCTTTGTGATTGGGGTCGGCGCCGTGCTCGATCAACAGATTGGTCATGTCGTAGTGGCCCTTCTGGGCGCTCAAGTGCAGCGGCGTGAAGCCCGCCTTGGACTCGACGTTGGCCTTGGCCCCGTGCTCCAGCAGCGTCGTGGTGATGTCCATCTGTGCACACGGGTCAGCGTGAAAGTGCGATTACCGGGGCGCCGCTCGACGCTCGCTGCTCTACCTGGTTCTTGCGGGCCGCGATGTGAAGCGGCGTCTGTCCGTTCTGGGAAGCCAAGTGAGGCGAGGCGCCCCTCTCCAGCAGCAGCTGCGCCACGTTTGGGTGGTCGTAGTGACAAGCCAGCAACAGAGCCGTGATGTCATTCTGAAAGCCAAGTAGTGAAGCTGCAGTCGAGGCGGCGAGGCGTGCTGGCGCTGCAAATACCTTGCCCTGCGCGTCCAGTCTGCTCTCCTTCTGCAGCAGTATCTTAGCCACGTTGATGTTACCGTACTTGGCGGCGATATGCAGCGGCGTGAAGCCGTTCTTCGTGGTGCTCTTCACTGACGCGCCGTTGTCAACGAGGATAGCGGCCACCTGGCAAGCGCGAGACGGCGAATGAGTGCCGGTTCGGATCGAGGAGCGCAGCGCGCTTCGAGCACAGCAAGTGGTTAGTGAAGACGGGCGTGAATGAGAAACGTGGGATCGGAGCAGGGCGGGAGCAAAATAATAGCAGTGCACAAGGCTTACCTCCGCTAGCGCTGAGTGGCCGAAGAGCCAAAATCATAAGAGCGGTGCTACAACGAAAAATGAGCTGGACACGTCGGACGAAAGAAGGGAAAAACGAGAAGAGGAAACACGGGAAGGAGGGATGGAGAGGGGTAGAGAGAAAAAAAAAGAAAGAGAGAGAGAGAGAGCGAGAGAGTGGCGTGGAAGTGGCGCTTTATTGTACACATCGGGGCACGCGAGGGGGCAGGGCGAGACACAAGGCGAATAAAAAATGCGCGGGCCATGTAAAAAACAGGTGGAGAGCGTCAAATGAGATACTCGCGGCAGCGGCTCCAGTGGAGGAACCGCAGGTTGCGCTCGTCGATGCGGCGCACGAGGCCGAGCCGACCGGTTACCTCGTCCTGGCCCTCCTTGGCGGCGATGTGCAGCGCGGTGTACATGTCCTTGGTGGCGGTGTCGACGGCCGCGCCGTGCTGCAGCAGCAGCATGACGATGTCGACGTTGCCGAGGCGCGCGGCGATGTGCAGCGGCGTCTGCTGCTCCTGCGGACATAGTCGGGGAGGGAGGGCGAGTGAGCGAACGGCGGCCGGCGGGCGGCGGGCGGCGGGCGGCGGCCACTCACCCTGGCGCGCGCGTCCACGCGGGCTCCGTTGCGCAGCAGGATGCGGATGATGTCGGTCTGGTTGGCGCGCGCAGCCAGGTGCAGCGGGCTCTCGCCGCGCAACGTCGGCACGTCCGGGCTGGCCTCGTGTTGCAGCAGGAAGATGACGATGTTCATGGCACCCATGAAGCTGGCCACGTGCAGCGGCGTGAGGCCCGACTCGGTGGTCGACTCGATCGAGGCGCCGTGCTTGAGCAGCAGCTCCACCAGCTTAAGCCGGTTCTTCTTGCAGGCAATGTGCAGCGGCGTGAAGCCGTTGAGCGCGCGCGCGTTCGGGTCGGCGCGCCGGTCGAGCAGCAGCTTGGCCACGCGCACGTGGCCGCAGTGCGCCGCCACGTGCAGCGCCGTCAGGTAGTCCACGGTCACCTCGTCCACGGGTGCGCGGTGGAAGAGCAGCACGCGCGCTGCCTCCACGTGGTCGCCCTGCGCGGCCATGTGCAGCGGCGCGAGGCCGTTCTTCGTGCGCGCCGAGATCGGCGCCTGGCGCTCCAGCAGCGCGCCCAGCACCTCCTCGTGGCCGGAGCGCGCCGCGCAGTGCAGCGGCGTCAGGCCGTCGCGCGTCTTCGCGTCGATGGCCGCGCCGCTCTCCAGCAGTACGCGCACCATGCCGCCCTTGCCCCACTTGGCCGCCACGTGCAGCGGACTGATGTTGTGCTGCGGACCGGGCCCCGGTCAGTCACCGTCGCGCCCCGGGCCACCGCCGCCAACCGTCTACTCACCCGCGCCAGGAAGTTCACGTCCGCGCCGCGCTTGATGAGCAGCCGCGCGATGTCCTCGTTGCCGTAGTGCGCGGCGATGTGCAGTGGCGTGAAGCCGCTCTTGGACGTCACGTCCGGATTGTGCTCGTTCTGAAATGGCCGGGCGATCAGCTCGGACCTCACGACTCGCGACTCGCGCCCTACGGTCTCACCTGCAGCAGCAGCTCGGCCGCCTTGCAGTCATCCTTCTTGGCGGCGATGTGCAGCGCCGGCAGGCGCACCTTGCCCTTCGAGTCGTTCTCTAGTAGCACGCTCACTACCTTGTCGTGGCCTTGCTGCATGGCTACCGCCAGCGGCGTGAAGCCGTCCTCGGTCGCCAGGCTCTGATTGGCCCCGTTGCCCAGCAGCAGCTTCACCACCTGGTCATGGTTCTCCTGCGCGGCCATGTACAGCGGCGTGAAGCCGTTCTGCGACTGAATGTTCACCTGCGCGCCACTTTGGATCAGCAGCCGCACCACCTCCTCTTGCCCGGCTGCGCAAACAAACCAGCACGTGACATCGGCCGCCCGGCTAGCGCGCGCCACCTCCCTCACGTTACCCAGCGAGGCTATGTGCAGCGCCGTGTTTCCCTTCTTCGTGGCCGCGTCCACGAGGGCGCCGCGCTTCAGCAGCTCCTGCACGATCTCCAAGTGGCCATCTTTGGACGCCAAGTGCAAGGCGTTCAGTCCGTTCTGGAGACAATACTTTATTCGATGAATCAAAGCTTTTAGTTGCAGCTTGCGGAACGACGAAGCGGAACGGTCGGAAGCGGCGAGCGCCGGCGGCTCGCGGACCCCTGCTACTCACCGAGTTGGCCGTGTTGATGTCCAGGTGGCTGTCCAGAAACTCCTTCACCTTCTCGAGGTTACCCGACCTCGCGGCCCGCAGGAACGCCGTCGTGGCATCACTCTGCAATCAGCGAGGCGCGTTATCGTCGCTAATCTGCAGAGACCGTTGCTCTGGCCGCCTGCACTCGACCACTCGTGCAGCGCCGACAGATGGCTTCTGCGGCCCATGCTCGATTCGAGAGCTGCATGGCCGACGGCGCGGTCGACCGATTGAGTGCCGCCCGGCTGGCGGCTGGCGGCTCGCGGCTCGCGGCTCGCGGCTCGCGGTTCGCATTTGCCGAGGCCCCCTCGGGGCCGCGTCGCCCGCGTCCCGTCGGCAAACGCGCACCAGGCGGGAGCAGAGCGGCGCGCGGGCGGCCGCGGCTCTCCTCGCGGCCAACAATGGTCGACGGGGAGGCGACTCGAGGGAGAGCGGCAATCGATACGCAAGGATGCCGCGCTGGCGGCGGCGATGAGTCACGCGCAGCTACGTTCCGCGCGCGGCGGGGCTGGCCCCCGTGGAGCTTGCACCAACCTGGCTTGCGCCCCCGTCCGTCACCATCCTGCTGCGCTTCTGCTGACTGCTGGCGACCGCGCGCACTCGCGCGTACCTAGAACGAAGCCGGCGAGAAGGCCGACGTGGGCACGGGGCACCGGCTTCGCGCGAACTAGCCGCAGAGACGGGGAGGCGAGAGCGGCAGCGCGGGCGAAGGGCGCCGGGACGCTCGGGGGTTGCCGCGGCCTCCCCCACCCCACCCGGCTGTCATCGTCGGGTCGCGCTGCGGCTGCGCGCCGCTCGCGCCTCTCGCCCGCGCTGCCCGTTTGCGCGTCGTTCTTGGCCTTCGTCGGCGCTCGACCGTACGACCGCTCGACCGCTATCCGAAGTCTGGCACCAGAATCCGACGAGCGCCGAGACACGCCGACGTCGCGCTTCGCCGACGGAGTTCTCGGCGGACCTCTTCGGTCGAAGCACGGGCGAGGGGCGGAGGCGCGCCGGCCTACGCACTACGGCCCTGCCGGATCAATATAAGCCGCGGCCGGCGGCTCAGGCCGAATAGATGCGGCTGAAGCGACAGCGGCGCGGCGCCCTCGCGCTCGCCGCCTCGACCTCCCCACGAACGCGGCAACCACGGTGAGTGCGGGACTCGATCGATGCTCGCGGACCGCGGCAACGGCTCGATCGCCAACGGCCAGCGCTTTATTTATAGCGCGCTACGCAGCGCTATGTTTTATAAATACGAGCGAGCCGAGCCGCGCGACTGCCCGCGCCCTCACAAGCACGACCGTGTGCGCTCGGGCGGGCGCAGGTCGCCGCCGAGTGCCGTCTCGGCGTTGCGCAATGCGCGCGCCAAGTGGTTTCGCTCGGTGAAAGCTCTGCATGCTCGCGATCGACACCGCCACGGTGGGGGCTCGACCAGCGCTTTCGGCAGTCCGCAGCGGTTGGCCAATCGCAAAGAAAATCAGAGATGTACTTAGCGCAGTGGAGAGAGCTCTAGGCGTAGCAGGCAAAGCGAGTGGGGGCCGGCGTCTGGTCAGACAGTACCTGCAGCCTGAGAATGGCCGGATGATCGTCGCTGGGCCAGGGCATGGTGCGGCTGCGGCGGTCAGACTAGCCTAAAGCCAGTGGTCGTCTCTTCTCTAGCCGCCGCCGCCGCCGCCACTGCAGCCGCCGCGGAACGGACGCACTCCGAGACCCTCTCCCTCCGCGTGTGTTTATTTATAAGCGCTTGAACGCACTCGCAACATCACCGCCTGGCTCGTCGCCCCCGTTTCGTCCTCGTGCCATTCTCGAGCGCGCCCCCGCTTCTAATAGCGATATGCCGCAGGTGCCGGCAGAACGACCACGTGCGGACCGCCAGTTCTTCCTGTCTTTTCGATTCCACGTAAAAATAAAGGAAGCGCGCTATCGAGTCCGGCCGCGGAGCGCGGGAGATCGACGACGACAAGCGCATTCCCGTGGCCGCGCCTGCCTCTATGCCAGTCTCTGTATACATACACTTTCGCCTATATGTATTCGAATTCCCGTGAGCACGAGAACAAAAATTCGGGCAATGGAAAACAATAATATCTTAACCTACGGCGTGTCCGAGTGCCGACCACGATTATCAACACACAAGTCGGCAGCACCGTCGTATACTCTGTAGTCGACAAATTCTCAAAACTCGAGTAGCTCTTGGACATTTCAAGGAGGCAGTTCATCGCAGTCGCGCTGGAGAATTGGCGGGACCAATTTCTGCCGCGCTTCCGATTTCAATTTCTTTCTTCTTCGATACAGTGTATGCGCACACGTCGGCGCAGTGTCGTGGCTCGCTCTTCCGAGATAACGCGCCGACCGGTAGTCAGTTCTTTGTTTCGTTTCAAACATCGGCGCGACTCGAGTTTCATCCTGCAGTGTGATTTTGGGTTTCGATTGAATGTTCGCGAATGCGCGATAAGTAAGATTTATTAGTGATGCTGCAGAAATGATCTTTGAAATTAGTTGAGCGAAGAAAAGAATTGCATCTGGTGTTGTTCGTCTGTTGCGAGTTGACGTAAGTTGGCGATTTTTATTAACTTTTTATTCCTTTATCCGTCTGCACTTTCAATACTCGACGACTCGTACATTCCTGTTTATCCATTGCTACCTCTGTTCTGCGTAACTCGAACACGCCGACATTTTCCAAGTCATACGTTTATTGTTTTGAAAGAGCGTACGTTTTGTACATTTCTTTGTATTCTTTGTATTCTTTGTATGATTATATTTCAGACCAGTAATTGTTAGATATTCGTAATTTTTTACGAAACCCGTAGACAAAGCAATTTCTTAAAAATGGGCAGTAACGCAGAAACAAAAGCTGTAAGTACAATTTTTGCGTGGAAAAATACTTGATAATCTCAGTTTTTTTCACTGATCAATATACTTCATTCTTATCATTGTGTATTTTAGAAGTATGAAAGCTTAGTGAAAAGTGCATCTGCGCTATATCTGGAAAAACAATTTCAGAAAGCTCTATTTTTTTACAATGATGCTCTTAAAGTAGTTACAGAATCAAACATGAGCAAAATGGTGGTTTGTATACTGAAATATATGATTTGTTGCTGCCTCTATGAGTCTGATAAACTAGAAGATATGGTAGAAGTTGTTAATATGTTGCAAACGATGGATAGGAGTATTAAGAATCGTTTTCCTGCTTTATACTGTTTATTAGCTCAAACCCACTGTAAGCTTTTTAGGTAAGACTTGTATTATTTTAGTTATCTAAACAAAGTATGAGAGAGCAAACATGGATGTTTATATCAATTCATAATTTTGGTCAATCTTTACAGGTTCGAACTAGCGGAAATGGAATTTAGAAATGCAGATTTAATCTTCACTAAGAATCCAACATTAGAAACATTTTACATTCCTGGAACTAAAAGTCCAATCAGGCCAACAAGTAAGAATGACGTAAGTTTAATTTCATTTTCTAATTTCGTGCTCTAATTAATCGTAACCATAACTGTACTATTTTAAATATAAAAAAATGTTTCAGGAAACATGGTTAAAAATCAAAGAAGAATGTTTAGCTTATCATCAACCAGATGCTATTTGCAGTTATCCAGATTGTAACTATGTTGCAAAACCATATGTTATACCTAGCAAAAATATATTTTTGAAGTAAGAATATTTTTCAAATTATTTTTTATTAATATACGGTCGTTCATACCTTACCAAAACCTCTAGCAAATTATTTTTATGTAATTCAAACATCTTATTATTTTAGAGATCCAGCATTTAATGGCATGGTTATTGTTAACTGTAATAATAAGAACCAGCCATGCGTATTAAAATTCCATCAATATTGTTGGAAAATGAAGAAAGATGAGTTGTATCCAATATCAAAAGTGTCGGACAAGGTAAGTGCTCGTATTATATTGACTTAGCTCAATTAGTTGTTTCTGTTTACATATTTTTTGTCTTCTTTTTCACCATAGGATGTTTTAGGAGACAAATGCTCTACTCCTAATTGTTTAAATGGTGATACTGCTTGTGTTATATCATCTATTCAGGTAATCGATCAGAAAGGAGAAATCAAAGCTCATATTAAGGAAAATCCTTCTACTACATGGCCTGTTAAACCTCAAGATAAAAATGACAAAAACACTTCCAAAGGGGCTATTAAAAAGGTTTCTGATTATTTTAACTTGTAATTCAAAAATAACTATTATTTTAAGCTTACTGGATTAGTTCTGTCTTACACTGTATTATTTATTTATATTGTTTTTCACATACTTTCAGTTTAAACTTAATCCAACTTCTAAAAAGTCTGGAAATCCTATTTCGAGTGATTCTATACAACAACAGTTGTTGGATTCTTTAGCAAGATCGATAGCTACAGTACCAGAAGCAAAAGATCTTTGCAACAAAGATGTATGTATCTGCTGATTAAGTCATTGTTAATCAGATAGTAATTGTTATTAGCAAATTTTCTTTACTATAATTTTAGGATGTTCACTATTACAATGAATCACAAATAATAGTTGTTAAGGATACAGTGGTGGATGTAGATTTCTCAAATGAGATTTCAGAAGTTGCCGGTGAAAAGAGTTTTTTGCTTTCGTAAATATTTCTTCTCAATTTTGTATAATAACTTTTATTTCAATTTATCAAGTTATCTTATTTTTTTTTAAGCTTCTTTATCGATTATATTAAAAAGAATCGTGTAACAATTCATGATGTTTATTCAAAATTTAATGAATATTATCAAGACTTGCATCTAAAAGATTTGGGTAATACAAAATATTTGACATTCATTCTTTGAAATCTATTCATTTTTTCTTGTGATATTTCATAACTCATTTCAATTTTAATAGATATATTAGGTTTTTTACTACAAACAAATAACTTTGAAATACTAAGTAATAAAGATACTTCATATAACTCTGATGTATGTACCGAAGAAATCATAAACCAGTCAAATGATAATTTCAAGGCACAAAACTTTGATGATGACAGCGCATCATGTAAATGTTATTATTCTATTTTTTTTTTAATTATAAAATATTTATGTATATATTTGTTTTTCATAAAATCAGATATTGACGATGTTTATTATGAATTAATGAACGACAAAGATGAAGTGTTTGTAGATTCTGCCGAAAATACAGAGCATATACAAAATTTTAATTTACAGGTAATCTGAAATATGCGCTATTTTCTACAGAAATTAAAATTGTATTTTAATTTTAGGAACCTAATTTCAATATAAACTTGTCTGACAATTATAAAAATCATTATGATTTTAAAGTCGACGATTTTGTTCATGATATAGTTGATGGTAACGATGTAATGGAACATACGAAGAATATTACAAATTCATTCACACCTCAGTCACTTGAGTCGTGTGCGAAGTTTGATTTCATGCAAGCTCCTCCAAATTTCTCTAAAGGACATGAAAATAATCAGCTAAAAGATTACATAACTAAACTCGAAAGTGATATGGAAAAAATAATAGATGAAAATGCTAACCTAAGGAAAGAGATTGCAAATAAAGACTCCAATATAGAAAATTTCAAAAAAGAATACAACAGTTATCAAGAAAAAATAAAGCAATGTGAACAATTGTTTGAAACAATGACTGACTTTCAAAAAGGTTACGATAACATGAAAGAAGAAAATTTCAAAACTAAAGAAGAACTTGTAAAAGTAATGAAAGAAAAGATGGACTTGGAAGCAAAATTAGAAGAGCTTGAGGATCCTGAGGCTAAGCGTACAGAGTTTATGAAGTTATTCCAAGAAGAATATATACTGTTGCAACAAGCTGTTAACGAGGAATGGGAAAGCAAAACGGATATCTTAACGTTGTTATTACAAGACTTTAAATTATAATTCAAATAATTTGATATGCACTGCATGCATGCTCTCTCATTTCAGAAAATCCTTGAAAGCGGAAATTGAAACTAAAATGGCATTGCTGAATAAATTATTGAATACTCAGTACTCAAGCAATAAACATATACTCGCAGGGTAATGAACTTACGCCAGATATATAAAAATATAAAAATTACTATTATTTGATCTAATGCCTGCTTGTATACTTAGATACCTTGATCAGTGCTCCGACTTTGTGGAAATCACTGACAAAGTGAACGCTTGGATGGAAAAGACTATGAACATCAAAAGTTTCTTCGACAATTCCAAGTGGCTGACAAGATTGGAATTACTCCAAGCGGCTGCAAATGAACTTAAGGTATGAACTAATTAATGAAAGCTAACGTGAAAAATGCTAATTTACCGGGAAATGTCGCATGTCTTTTAGTCGGAATACTCGAAAGTACTGAATGAACTACATGATGATAAAGAGGACAAGTTCAAAATGACCGACATCAATCTGAAAACTCCAGCGATTCCAAATGCTCCCTGCGAGAAACTGTGCGACGTTGTTCTTAGCGTTTTGACGACATGCTGCAGACATCATTATCAGATGATGCAGGGTTACGTGCTTAAAGCGCAGGCAGCTACGCAAGCGGCTACGCAGGCGATGCAGTACCAAATGCATTCTGCTGCTCAGTCGCAGACCTACAGTCCCATACAGGCGGGATACGTGCAGCAGTATCCCTATGCACCAGTTTACACCGGTGGCCAGTCCACTGTGCCAACTACACCCCTGGTCGGCATCTCTCCCATACCGATTTATCATCAGACGACACCACGGACTGCCGGCCCTCCACCGAATTTAACTCTTCAGCAGGCTATTCCAGCATCGCAACTGCCGTCATTAACAACTAAGAGTCAAGGTAAGTCGCATCATTATGGCGAACAGAGTCCTTTGACAATACAATTTGAACTTTTTGTAGCTTCTGCTTCAGTAGACGATCACAAGGTTGAACAAGCTGAGCCTATTGGCATTGAGCCAAGCGTGTCAGTCAAAGCTACCGTCGAAACTCCGACCAGTAAGGACAAAGACAAAGAGAATGCTATTCCTGACTTGGAAAAGTTGACCAAGGAAGGTGAAAAGATCGACACTTTCAAGGACAAATTAGCGCAGATGAGAGAAGCCTTTAAAACGATTGCTTTGAACGTCAAGGAAAAATCGAAATCTGAAAAATCTACTGCTGAAGTGGAGCACAAAGAGATGGAGACGGCAGCCTCCGAGTCGTTAGTCAAAGACGAACAGCGAAATCTCGAAAAATCATCCGAGAACGTTATAGTACCAATTACAAAGATGGCAAATCAAGTTAAAGACGACAAAGTTGATTCTGCTATAAAAACTGTAACAAATGGGTATAGCATCAAAGATTCAGTATCTATACGTGACGATAGATCTGATATCACTACACTTACAACAAGGTATGCAATGAATTCTGATATGACGATACGTTATGAACGATGAGCTGTAAAGCCACCACGTTACTCGTTAATTATATTTCAGAAACGATTCCAAGCTGCAAAAGAAAGTTGGTATGGATGGATTGGTAAAAATGCTGTTAAAGAAATTTCCTGGTGCAATGGAGTAAGTCGAACAACGCGCAGATTCAAAACGAGAAATTTATTAAAAACTTTTTCCCAGGTGTGACGTCATTGAAGCAATTGCCAAGATTCGAAAAGAGCGTAATGATGCGCTGACTGGTATACCGGTCAGCCGAATCATGGAAGAGGCCAAGCCACATATCCAGCAAAGTCAGCGTTTACGTATGTTTATACTTGTAGTTTCTTTCTGTTTTATCGCTTTTATGCAACAGCTATATTTTTAATATATGTTATAAAGGTCAATGTCCCAATCTCTGAACACTATAACTCTAGTTATTTTTATGTTTTCTTTTATTTACTCGTTGCCACAAACATTTAATCGTAACAGTTGAACAAACAGGTGTTAGAGTTTGGGAGATATAGCATAGTTATTTTTATTGGTTAAAAAAATCATTTTTAAAAGAGCAAGATTTTGTTTGAATAGAATTTTGAAAAGAAATCAGCATTTACGATATGTTTTATTTATAAATACAGATGTGATACGCTATTTCGTAAGTGACGGGAGCACATAAAATGTGAGTTTTGCCTCACTACCACTAGCAATTAAAAATATTCAATTACTATTCAGTTATTTACCATATATTTCAGATTATAAAATCTACAAAAAAAAAAAAAAAAATTAATAAATAATTGTCCGCTATAACCTTCTTGCAAGTAAATATAAACTTGATTTTTGACCACGTAAGATAGATGTAATATTTTAACGAACACGAAATTTATATTTTTATTCCTGATTCAGATGATTTAAAAAAAAGTAGTTACACAATTAGTTTTCCAAAAGACTTTGAATTATCAATTTCCTGGAAAAAAAGTTGAAAAATCATCAAATAGAAGAATAAGACATTTATTTTTATGTCTTTAGATAATAAGATAAATTCTTGGTAAATTTTGGATTATCATTGATACTCAGGTAGATTTTTATTAGCATTGAAACTCGTTGAAAAGTTAAATAAACTTGAAATGTTAGTTTTGTTTTCAGAACACGAAGCTGGAGTTAAAATGTGATTTATGTTAGCTAAATTTTTACGAACGAAGATAACAAAGCACCATATTTTCGTACAAACAATTCAACATCTTTCTACAGGACAATTAGACTTGAGTAGTGAAATATTTTATAAACTTTTATTTCTGTATTTTCTTTACAATTAATTAATTACAAGTAATTCTACTAGTAAATTTTTTTTCAAGTTCCAATTGTGACGACGAAAAATATGCGATTAAGTTCTAAATATACTTTTTTATGGTGATATTGTAAGCGAATGTGGCGATGTGTTAAATATATCAGAATATAAGATTTACATCAAACACGAATCTCAATTTACTGATTCTTAATCCCACCAAAAACTTACAGAAAAACTAGTACTGAGCCCTACGATATGATGCCACCATTTTGGTGGTATAAACAAAATATCACCGGGTGTTAAATAACACATAAATCCTCTTGCTTTCTGAAAGTCGGGATACTTGACAACATCTGCGTTATAAGGATCAATTTGAGCAGTGTTAGATAACAATCGAGTATTATAAGGATATAAATTAAGACTGTCTTTTGGACTATATAAAATGACTCTTTTACATCCAAAAACCTAGCAATGATAGAACGGAGTCTTATATTCTTTTTAAATTACCACAAAGTAAAAACAACTGATAAAATAAATTACCTGACAGAGCAAATTATTTTTCGGGTCATGATGTAAAGGTGATACAGTTCCCTCTGGACCGAACCAAGCATTTATATTTGGCATGTATTCACCGTCGTCTTTGTCCGAGAAGCTACAGTAATCTGGTATTGTAAAATCATTCTTCAATTCAGGAATCTGTCGAGATTTTCTTTTGATATTAGATTAATTTGAAACTGCGGCTTGGAATCATTCACATGGATCAATGATCAATTACGTCGCAGAAATATTGAAAAAATCTAAAAATACGTACCTGATCGAAAAGTTCATGTTGTGCTAAATAACCGACTTGTTCGTTTTTCTTTGATATATGAGCATTTAGAAACTCAGAAAAAGTTATTAAACTTTGCGTCCAATCATCTTCTGTATATCGCGAGCCAATTTCTATCGGTACTGTACGACTTCCGGCTACTTTTCGAAGGTATTCAATATCTTTCCATAAACTCAGGGCTTGCCAATGTTCTATACAATCTGAATAAAAAAAATGTATAACAAAAAGTTTCTGCATAAGAAGACTACAAGTTGCGGGCTTACTTTGGAGTAAAGCAGGCGTTTTTGGCTTGAAAATATCACGGTAAAATCTTTCCATAGAAGGTTTTCTAAAAGTGGGAATCGGTAAAAAGCCTGGAAAAATATCTGTACAAAAATTTTTTTTATCTATTGTTATGCGACTGCCTTGAATCTCGCGATTTTTCACTAAATCTGGAATTAAAAGATAATAATTAATACACAAAAATATTTAATTAGTCAATCATTGAAAAAAAACTACCCGAATAATGATTGTTTAAATTTGAAGCAATTTCTGTTAAAAGTTTAGGGCAACTCGGCAAAGGTGCTCCCAATAAAAGTCCTTTGTCTATTTGTTGAATAATGTCTTTAAACTTCTCTGACATTTCACTATTTTCACTCTCAATTGATACTTCTATTATTGCGGACTACTTATAAAAAATTTAAAAAATTATTACAATGAAATTGGTAACACGATGGCAAATTATACCTTAATGACACAACATAATGAATAGCAGTATCTATAAATTATTGGCACATCTTTCCAATAACCAGAATTGAGCATCTCCCAAGTTCGATCTAAACAAGCATCTACTATTAGTAGATCATTCTTTATCCATTCTTCATTGATTTTTAGTTTTTTCTTAACAGCTTTTTCACTAGAATGATAATAAAATGTTTACAATGTTAAAAGACTTACGTGATATACATTATTAACGACGATGAGCACAGAAAACCATACCATGTATGCTTGTGAAAACTCTTCAATTTCAATAAAATTTTAACTAAATGAAACTTTAGCTCATTAGGAAAATAACTGTTCAAATCTTGCAGTAAGAGGTCCCAAGAGACAGATTTCATTACAATTTGACTAAACATGTCAGCTACATAAAGTTAACAACGGGGTCAAGGTATCGCGAATAATGTGAAAATTTTATTAAGAAAATTACACAATCACTTTATTTAACAAAGATGCTTCGAGAATACTTAAATCCATTCAAATTTGGCCACTGAACAATGGTGTGATTAGCTATATAATACAGAATTCGACCAGAGAGAGAAAAACTCTTTACTCTGCAAAAACTTTCAACGAATACAATTTTTGTACTTAAGAGAAACAAGCTGTTATAGAAGAATGTTACCAGGCACAATGGGATACACGTTCCAGGTCCATTGCACAACAGCAAATCTGGCTTTTCCCTCCAAACTAGAGGAAACGAGTCCATAAGAGCACGTACAGTAGTCCAAACTGATGTAAAGTACGATTGTCTAACTTCACGACTTCTTGAAATTTGAATTATTCTGTAATCTTTACGATTTACTTCTGCTTTTTTAACTTTGTAAGGGCTAATTGTGTCGGTTTCAGCTTTTACATAAATTCTTGGAGTATAATTCTGTTTATTTAGATGTCGAAGAATACGTAAAATTTCTGTTGTGTGACCTCCAGAACCAAGTACAATCAAAGTTGTAGCTGGAATTTTTCTGGCATACCTTTTTGGAGGTTTACCATGTTTTAAAAGAATTAAGTAGACAGCTCTGATAATAGAGACAATTGCTACCGGAAATACTAGAACACATACTAATGGTAAAACCATTACTTGGTTTTACCATTAAAAAGTTCAGCTTAAAATATATGCATATATTTGTTTTAATTTATCAAGTTTATTTACTTTATTGTTTTGTTTATTACCAAAATATGTATATACCATTCTTTGAATGAAAACTGAATTTTCTAAACGAGACGAATTGCTTTAGTTTATAAATTTATGAAAAAAAAAATAAAAAATTTATTGAATTTTAAAATAGTTCTGGACTAATAAATATATACAAATATTTACCTCGTTACATTCTTATCATTTATATTTACAGATATTTAACCTCTTCGTTAAAATATGTGTAATCTGAATATAGGCATATACATTGATTAGAATGCGCTTGCGCACTGATTTTGAAGACGAGTGGGCCTCGTAAATATTTATATTTATTTTCCTAGTATTAACTACCTTATTCAATCATAAAATGTAACATTACGATTTCTTTATTGTCAGGATGATTTTAAACTGAAAAGAACGTAGGTATGCCGTTAAACGAAGCTACATATATATTGCGGTAAAATAAATCTCATTTTCGCAATAATGTACGTGCATATATACGTATACGACTGGAGTATATGTTAAATGGTTCAAACTTAATATCACCTGTGAAATTTTGTCATGTACATGACGAAATTCAGAAGATATTACAAATATAAATCGTACCCCTCTCCTGAATTCATCTCTGCATGCTTTCTGTTTTCGCGCAGTCTGCATTACCTTAATATGATACGCGATGATATATATATATATATATATATATATAGAGAGAGAACTATAGCTAGTGAAACTTCTCGAAGACTCTTTTGCTAGAACGTTCGAAACGATTGAGTGACGTCACCGCATTGGCGTTCAACGAATTCCCGGCCTGCTCAGGAACATCAGTTCACTTCAGAGCAATCGGCTTGTGCACATTGCGATTTTAGAGCCTTCAGCGTAAACTTCTCTTGTGGCTTCTCGAGCTTTCCAAAAATTATACGACGAGTCAACGCCGTCAATAATCAGAGCATTTTTTCACGAGATTCTTGTTTTTTTTTTGGTTTTTTGTGGCAAATTTTGAAATTGCACACAAGTTATGGATCAGGTAAGAAAATTTAATCGTTATCCGAAAGAAACAGCAGCGTAGGATGGTTTATCAAAGCACGTTGTTATTTCTCACTTTGTGGTTGCTACATAAATAATTTGTGTTGCCCAAAAGAATGGGGTAGTTTGCAATTTAGGAGGTTTATTTGTTACGCACGAAGCAATGAATTCTGCATTGTTCGGCAGTTCAACTTTTAAATATTATCACAATCACTGCAAATTATAACGATAGAATTTACTCGTGAAGCCGGAAACTTAATCAGTCACAAGATACTTTTCGTGACTCAAGTAACAATATATTTTTATTCTATCAATCGTACTATGATTTTTTTTGGATACATTTTTGTCATTACCATTGTTCAATTAATTTCAAATGTTTATGTTGTGTGTTTGTCAGGTAAATGCTTTGAAGGGTAAGGGAAACAAAGCCTTGCAAGAAGAAAAATTTGACGATGCAATTAAGTTTTACACACAAGCCATAGAATTGGATGGCAGTAATCATGTACTATACAGCAATCGCTCGGCAGCTTACGCTAAAGCTGGTAAATATTCTCAAGCTCTGGAAGACGCTGAGAAAACAGTGAGCTTGAAACCTGATTGGGCTAAAGGATACTCTAGAAAAGGAAGCGCTCTGGCTTATCTGGGCAGGACAGAAGATGCTATCGAAGCTTACCAGAATGGTCTCGTGTTGGACCCTACCAATGAACAACTGAAGAAAGGTTTGGAAGAAGTTAAAGCTCAGCGAGGCTCCCGTGCTTTTCCAAATCCTTTTAGTGGTCCCGATATTTTTATCAAATTAAGAAACGATTCAAGAACCAAAGATTGGCTGAATGATCCCGAATACTTGAAGCTTCTGCAGGAATTACAGCTCAATCCCAAGGCTTTAGGTAAAAGAGATACTTTTTCCTTACATTCTAATTTGTTGCTATGATCTTTGAGCCAATCAAATTAAATTGTCTTTTGAATTTGCAGGTTCAAAACTTCAGGACCCAAGAGTTCTCACAACACTTAGTGTATTGTTGGGTCTGAGCGATGGTTTGGATGAGGGGATGGACGTCGACCCACCCAAGTACGAGGAAAAATCTCCGAAAAAGGCAGAAGAACCAAAACCAAAGCCAAAGGAAGAAGAAAATTTGACACCAGAAAAGAGGCAAGCCATAGAAGAAAAAAATCTAGGAAACACTGCTTACAAGAAAAAGAACTTTGAAGAAGCTCTAAAGCACTACCGTAAAGCCATCGAACTAGATCCAACTGATATAACGTATCTCTTGAATGGAGCTGCTGTGTATTTTGAGCAGAAAGAATATAAAAAATGCATAGAGCAGTGTGAAAAAGCCATTGAAATCGGACGCGAAAACAGGGCCGACTTCAAATTGATTGCCAAAGCTTTTACGCGAATCGGCAATTCCCACAAAAAAATGAACAATTGGAAACAAGCCAAGATTTTCTATGAAAAATCCTTATCCGAGCACAGAACACCAGAGATCAAAACATTGCTTTCCGAAGTCGAGAAAAAAATCAAAGAAGAAGAGAAGAAAGCATACATTGATCCTGTCAAAGCCGAGGAGGAAAAGGAATTGGGCAACCAAAAGTTCAAGGATGGCGACTATGCAGCAGCAGTTAAACACTACAGTGAGGCCATTTTGAGAAATCCAGATGATCCAAAATACTACAGCAACAGAGCGGCTTGCTACACAAAGTTAGCGGCATTCGATTTGGGTTTAAAGGACTGCGAAAAGTGCGTCGAATTAGACCCAAAGTTCATCAAAGGTTGGATTAGGAAAGGAAAGATTCTTCAGGGTATGCAGCAGCAGGGCAAAGCGCTGTCTGCATACCAGAAAGCCCTGGATTTGGATCCAACGAACGCCGAGGCCCTCGAAGGTTACAGATCGTGCTCGGTTGCCGTTAGTTCTAACCCCGAGGAAGTACGGAAACGAGCTATGGCTGATCCGGAGGTGCAAAGCATTTTGAGAGATCCCGCGATGCGACTGATCTTGGAACAGATGCAAAATGACCCTAAAGCGTTACAAGAGTAAGTTAATTGCCAATCTTATTTTTTACACACTTATTCCGACGTTTATTTGAACAATTTTATACGTTTATACTGGTGCTTTTTCAACGTTCTTTTTATAGCCACCTGAAGAATCCTGACATAGCAGCAAAGCTTCAGAAACTTTTGGAATCAGGACTAGTGGCCATTCATTGATCAAATGTACAATAACGAAGATCTTTTTATATACATGCATAGTTAGACCGAGAAAGCTTATACCGTTAAGTTCCTTTCGCGCAAAAATCAACTTGAAGCATCATCAATTTCACTGTTGCTGTCGTCGTTGGGTATCAACTTTTTACAGAATGAGGTATTTTTACACGTTTTGTCATTGGTCACCACAGGTGTACCTGGCTATTTGAAGTTATAATGCTAAGGACAAATATAAAAATAACTATACAAATGAAAACATTTAATTTAATTCAAATAAATTTATTTCTATAATTTATTATGAAAAAAAAAAAAAAAAAAGAAAAAAAAAATCAGATTGTAAAATCGGTCAGTAAATAATTTAAAAGTAACATTCATTCTCAACGAACTTAATTATTTGAATTTTCGCAAGAGTTATAACAATGGTAATTCATTATCGTTGAGATATTGCAAGCAAATACTTCGTTATTTATTCGTTAAAGCACGGCCTTTTCCTGTCCATTGCTCTCTCAAATTAACTTGTAAACCCAAATCTCTTAGAGCTGCTTTGATATCGTTTTCCAAATTTGTTCCGTGAGTCTTGAGTGCATTATTGAGTAGTTCCTCGATGCCGAATGCGACAAACTCTTTTGACTCTTGTTGATTTCGTACGGACATGTTACGAATCGCCCAAGCGGCTTGTTGGATCACGTTTGAACTGTTGGGATAAGTTTTAATAGCATCAATAATGACGGACACTGCTCCGCAGTCGTAGAAGACTCCAGCATTTGAAGAACTCCTTAGTGTTAGCGCCGATATACACGATAATCCCGCAGTTACAACAGCTTCTGAAGTCTGTAAATAAAGCAACAGCTCTTTAAAAGCAAATTAGATAGTGTAATCTTTTGTCAAGTTACTGATCTAAGGAATCTCACTAGACTGTTAATGTATCGATATTAAATAATTGATTTGTCAAAGTGAACAGGTTTTGGTTAAACGCGTAAATATCCAATGTTATAAAAGGGTTACGTTAAATATGTACCTTCAACCTGCTTATAACATAAATAATTAATGGTGCTATTCCAGATGTGACAATGTGGGCTTTAACATCATCGTTCCCAGCTAGATTTTTAATCAATTTTAATGCTTGCCAGTTGATCTTCTCTTCTTCTGGGTAATTCGTAAAAACGTCTAAAATGAACTGCAGTCCCCCAGCATCTTCAAACTCTTGGCAAAATTCATTTCTAACAATTAAGGATGCTGCTGTTAGCATTATTTCTCCAACTATAACTTTATCAGTCTTGTAAGCTAAAATTAAAAATTAGCGACTGAACATGGCAATTAAATAATGTTCAACGATAAAGTTGTAACAATAGCTTACTAGAAAGTAGCTCTGTTATCGTATGGAGTGTTTCCCTGGCAATAGTGGCAGCATGTTCATGAGCTTTCCCATACTCGTGTCTCACATCGTCATCTAATGTTAAAGCTCGTAAAACCACACAGACTTCCTTTACTACAGAAACTTTTGCATCTTTTTCACTGAGGATTGATTTTAAATTGTTCAAAATACCAGCACTAAAGATTTTTTGCCTATTCACTTCATGCTTGATGCAGCACTCCCTTATCCACTTTAATACTAACTGCAAAGTCTGGGGATCATTGTGATTAGTGTCCAGTAGGCTAAAAAGTAAATTATGATTATTGATCGTTGGACACAGACAGAAGATAACGAAGTCACAAATAATAAAAAAACCTCTTTTGAAGATTAACGCCATCCTCATCCAGCAAATCAGGATTTCCAGTCATCAAGGATGTAATAGTTTTCAAAGCTGGACGGAGTATGTAGGATGTGTCCTTGCAACTATTAATTACCTCGAGTAGGGTCTCATAAGCTCTATTTTTTCCAGCAAAAACTCGTCTGGCCATGTCTTTGTCTAGCTCTACTTTTAATTTATTCAGTAATGGTAAGGCATGCTGGTGTTCAGCAGTTTTTGCACACTCCGAAAGTTTTTTTATAAAACTGATAATATCATCCGTTGTGTTGTTTAGTGACAGATCTTTGATGATATTTGACAAATCGACACCCTGAAACAAAGCAGCGCTGTTGGAGAAACGAAAAAAGGATAATGATGTTGGAGTTGAGATAGCTGTGTGAAAATGGTTGTACGCTGACCTGAGCATTGAATTGCTTGATGGCATCTTTGATGGCTTCCTCGGGCGCCATGGAGAACTCCTCAATATTTTCGCGAACGACTTCGTCGTAAGTTTCCTGTGTGATCACTCGGACCATGTTCGCAATTAGTGTATGCAATAAACGTAAATAGAGAAAGTTTTTTCTCTTTCTATGTCTCTCGAAAATAGTTAAATGCTGCACATAGAAACAAACACAAGGATTACACTTTTTAAACAACAGTAGTTAATTTATATCTGATCATAACACTATACGTAAGACGTTGGCTGCGGTGGAATTTACTTTCGATTCTCAGCGTCATTTGCGCCTGATCAAGACGTATATACATACGCGTGTAACACACCACATACGAGTGTAAATGAAGTTCTGTATAAGGTTACGACAGACTAGAATGCGTAACTAGCGTAATTTGTAAACTAGACATTTTTCAAGATCCGATGGCGTCACGATACGATTTGCTTTTTACGAGCGGTTCAATGAAAATTGACTAAACTTCGACGTGTACGTTGATTTGGAGGACGACGCCTTTATTTAGCACTATTATTTTAAAGAAAATCCCATGAGACTTTATTCGTATAGAATCATAGGCGATAAAAAAGTCTCTGTGAATGTTCCTCGAGTGTCGAGCGAGTGCGAAACAAAAGAGAAAAGAACAGAAAAGGATTCGTTTGTTTCAAGTCGGTCGGTCAAATCAGAAAAAAAATATCAGCTCTGCAAATTTGATATTGTTAAAGAATTATTTTATTGCTTAGTAAAGTAAAAAGTAGTAGTATTCCCAATTGAGTTTTCGTCTCTCTATTCTGTTCTACTCTTTTTCTGTGTCTTTGCTTTACTTTTTTCTGTATCATTTATTATTTGATTGATTGATTGAGGGGGGGGGCTCTCGTGTTGTGATCTGTCATCTCTATCTGTATGACAGATATGTTAAGGAACTGCTATGATTGCAATAGAATTACTAATCAAAATTTCTTATGATCTAGTTCATCTAAAAGTAACAGTGATCCAAAGGATAATTAGAAACCAAAGGGTATTTTAACAAGACGAATTATCGAGGGCAAGACTGAGGTAATTAATAGAGATCAGCTCAATTCTAAGGAACAAGTTGCCATTTCTAAGATTATAGACAATATCAGGGGGACGGAAAATGTCTAATAATTTAGATAAAACACAAAAGGATGGTGAGGTTATGTCCATGTCGACGAAGATAATACACAATTAAGCAATATCACAGATGTGTTCCCTAAAAATGACATTAGATTCAAACATTTTGACAGATCACACATGCCACCTTCTATCATAAATGTTTCTCATCAAGAAACAAGAAAAATATTTAATTCCTTTTACCATAGGTAGATTAACGAGACCAACTTTTCATAACAGAATCTCTAAACTTTACGCTGTGAATAATTTCAAGTTTGCCATAGTAACGGAAACCAAAGAAATTGTTAATAAATTACTAGATTCCTTTATTTTTACCGACAAAGGCTTGAAATCTTATTTCTCTTTTCATTTATATTCTAAAAAGATTATTATTACAAGAATTCTAACTGATATTAATATGAAGAAGATTGTGAATTTAGGTTGGATTAACAATCAAGCTCTGTTTTGTCAGCTATGGGAGAAATGTCAAAATTTTATCAGCTAGGTGTTTGAATAGGAAGATTACTATTGATAAGAAAACTATATATGTTAAATCTACTACCATATTACTCACCGTCGATATAAGACACACTTTTAAGAAACTTGCTATGAATCGTATTAAATAGAAAACTGAAGACTTTAAAGAGAAACCTAAACAGTATTTGAAGAGTTTTAGATTTAGACACTTGAAATCAACTTGTAAATCAGAAATAATTTGTGAACATTGTGGTGCAGTTGGCCATTATTTAGTTATTCATTGTCCTAACATCGATAAACCCACAATCTCGAAGAATTGCAAACAAGATCACAGACCAACTGATCCTAACTATTCAATTTCGGAACATTCACGGCGAGGCAAAATATGAAAAATTGAAATCAAGGTTTATTTCTTCATAAATGACTTTAGCGCAATGTTAAAGTCATGCATTACCAATTACATCCCTTACAACAGCACAACCCTTAATGCCGTACGCATATACCATTCAATATATATAATTGTAAAAGTTTCATTCAAAAAATTTATCGTACGTTGGGTCGCCTTCAATCTACCCCTATGAGTCACTGTTGAGCCAATTGAGAACCAACACAATAATTGTTAATTGGGGCTTATTATTAATTTTCAGCTGGTTTATACTTTATATAGAATATATATATACTTTATATCAGGATACTATAGGTAGCGATTATTTTCCAATTATCATTAAAATTTACACAAATTGTAATATTTAAAACTTTATTAATCTTTTTCATAAATTAAACCTTAAGGGTATAGATTGGTTAAAATTTAAATGTATTGCAGGATTTGAAATTGATGAATTAAATATCGATAGTTTTAAACACAAATCTATTCTAAACCCGTAAAAAAAAATGAAAATGATTCAAAAGGTAAAATTTACAAGAGTTTATCCGTTTGGTGGGACGAATTCACGAAAATTGTATAAACTATAAAAAAATTTAAGCCTTTGTTAAAAGAGAACTCGGAAAAATAAAGATTTGTTAATTTGAAAAATTCATTCAGTCTCTATCTAAGCATACCTCTATTTCTTACATCTGGAAAATAATAAAAAAATTAAAAAATTGTATTGTTAATCATAAATACAATATGCAAATACAATACACAAAAAACTGGATATGTATTAATTTGTTTAAAGAATTTGTTGATAATTAATTTTGTAAACCAGTTCCATTTATTAATTATCCACCTTCACTAGAAGAGACATTTCATAATCCTATTTATTCTAATATTGATAAAACTTTTTTAGACGTCCCTTTTAAAGAACACGAATGAATTATTATCCGCTATCGTTTCTCTTTAAAAAAATAGTTCTCCGAAGTTAGATAAAATTAGTAATGGGATAATTCAAGATTTAACTCAATCTTTCATCATTAAACTTTTGGATTTAATTAATGAAATTTATTCAAAAAAATGTTTTTCACTGCTATGGCTTCACATTTATTAAAGTCAATGGAAAACTTAGTTAATTTCAAACTACATTATTATATTGAAATTAATTTTATTCTTACTCCATCTTAATATAACTTTAGAAATACAAATCTTGTTCTAACTGTTTATCAATCCTAGCTTCAAAAATGTATTTGAATTTCACTGGAAAGAAATATGTCGTTATGATACAGGTGCATTTGATTGCATTAGCTCTAACATTCTTCTCCAAAATTATACAACATTTTATCAGGAAGAATGTTATTTCTTATAATTTATCTAGTCCTTATTATAAGTCTTAGTTTGTTATTTATAATTTGCCTCAAGGATGTACCGATAGTCCCTTAAACTTTAATGTTTATGTTAAAGATGCTCATAAATATGTCGACCCTCGTTGCGAATCGTTTCAATTTGCCAGTGAAAAAGTAATCATATGCTAGGGTGATAATTTTGAAGATATATTACAATACATTTAAAATAGTTTAGATTGATTATCAGTTTATCTTAAAATTAGAAATTTAATTATTTCCCCAGAAAATACTTTGCTCGTTTTTCGTACAAAAAATAAAATTGAGAATATTTAAAATTACAAAATTAAGATTTATGATACGGAAATTTATACTTCTAAAAAAAATTAGTTACCTTGGCCCTTATTTGCGATGAAAAACTTTCTTCGAATTACCATGCAGGATATTTTATTTCTAGATGTAACAAAGTTGTTAACAATATTAAATATCTTAGAATTTAAAGCTATGATTAGATATAAGATATCACCTATGTTTCTTTCATTTATAATTTTTCTAAAGATAAAATAAAGTTACATTTTAAACAAGTTCAATATAAGGCCTTAAGGTTTGCTCTAGGTCATCAAGTCTTTACTCTTATTAGGGTGATTCACATAGAATGTTGTGTTGTTTCTTCAAACATCAGGGCTTTTAATTTAGGTAGTAGATATATTTGGAAATATTTTTCTTATTCAGATAAATCAGATTCCGTTTACGTCTTTAACACTTATAATTTGAGAAATAAATTTATTCTATTAAAAGCCTTCTTAAACTTTTGTAATAAAAGAAATATAATTTTTAATTCGGTTACACCTGAAAAATATAGGTATGAATGGACCTAAATATTATTTTACCCTACTGTTGATCTAGAACCTTGCCAAATAATTAAAAAATCATAGTCCTAATAAAATTGAGAATTAATTAAAATTTTAAAGAATTTTTTGAAAAAAATTTAATTTATAATTCCAATTTTTATACAGATGTGTCCCAAGGTGATTGACACGGTTGTGTAGGATATGCTTTAGTTTCAGAGATAATAGGGAAAAAAAACTTATTATTGCAAAAAAAATTAGCAGTCACAGCTCTATCTTTACAGCGGAAACTATTAAAGTTTTTTTAGACACTAACAGTTCTCCAATTAATATCTATACAGATTCAAAAAGTGAACTTAGGGCTCTTAATTTTAATCCACTCGCAAAAGATACTTCATCACCTTATTCTTAATATTAAAAAATTACTTTCTAATGCTCAACATAAAAAATTATCTATTAAAATTATATGGACTCCTTCTCGTACAAGGATTGAAAGCAACAAATATGTAGATCATTTAATCAATGATGCCAGGGAAGATATTAATATTTCTGAGCTACCTATCCCTTCTACTGATTTATTTATTAACGTCACAAAATATTTACAAAAATTCATACTTGACACAGGTTTGTCTCTTTTCAACAATTATTATTCATACGACTCTGATTCCTGGTATAACAATTCTAGATTGTCCAGATTTAATATTAGGACAATTAATAGACTAAGATCTGGTCATTGTAATTTAGGTTATGGTCTAGTTAGAAAAAATTCAAGTAATACTGAATATTGTCCTGGATATCTTGACACTGTGGAAGATATATCTTAGATTCGCTACTCAGAACTACTTTGTTGAATAATGCCTCAAAGAAATCTAATTTTTCACCTCCTTATAAAACAGTTTCTGTACTACAACACCCTAATAGTAAACTATATAATTTTATAACTAATTTTCTCAAAGTTTGCTCTTTATTTATTTAATTTATATCATTCAATTATTAATTTAATTATATATTTAATTCATATATTATAAACATTATTGATCAATTCTTATATTTTTATGTGCCAGTTATGGCTATATTTCTCCAATTTACCATTTTCCTAATTCATTATTTCTTTCAATTCACATCCTTCCCTTCTTTTTTTTCTCTTTTTCTTTTTCCTTTCTACCCAAACTGGAAGCTCCATTGACTTGGCGCTAAAAGTAAAAATTAATAAAAAAAAGATATATCAGCGTATAGGTCTTCCAATATTCTTTTACGCTATCATTGAAAAAAATTTTTATCTCCTTGTCGTTAACGAGAAATTAAATAAAATTGAAATTATAGATCAGCTTTATTGTAAAAATTATCACTAAACTCATTTTGCTCTAGAGGTAGATGATTAACAAACATATCCTTGTAGAAGTCAACAATCAAATACAAATTTGTAGCCAATGAGTCCATTGATTCCTCCATTTGATTTCACTCAGATATTTCCATATTTCACATGCCAAAAGTAACGAAGATTCAGTCTATTTTTATTGGATAGCTGTGCGAATCAGTGTTTCAAATTACGAAAAATACCTTTTTATATTGTTTGTAGCTGCTGTATAATTTATTACGATACTCATAAACAAGATTTTGCACTGATTTTTATTATAAAATACACTGAAAAATATGAATTAGAAAATTACTGAACTTCTGTTTACATCGCCAATATCGCCATTTGCAATTTGCAGTTGGCGCTAGCGTACAACACGCTTATGCATCTGTGGCTATGTACATTATTATGAGAAATATTGACAAATTCATTTTGACAATGTTTCTACAGACAATTGAAAAGGGATGATTCCAATCGAAAGAGAAAATTAATAGCATTTAATTGGCATAGGCAAATTTTTTTTTCATTATTGATTTAGCCGAGACAGGAAATAATCTCATAGCTCAACCAGCGCTTGCAATTTAATTTAATTTTACAGACAGAAAATTATTTACGATAATATATATTTTTTATTAACTTTCACTTTTAACGTCAAGTCTACGGAGCTTAAACTAGAGGAGTAAGGATACGAAAATAAAAAAATAAAAAATATAAACGGAAGACCTGTGGTGGTCTCTTGGTCCACCCCTATCTTTTCTAAATAGTGTCGGCGTGTCCACAAGCGGCAGGAAATTCGATCGTTGAATATATACAAACCCGCATAACGTGGTATGCGTTAGCTGCAATATCAAGCGCGTATGATGCAGGCGTTACCGACCGTCGAGCCTCGCTACTATGTATATATACCTCACCTCAAGAGTGTGCGTGACGAACCTGACATAGTGACATATACCGTGATGATCTTGATTCGTGTATGTATGTACATTCGGCAGTTCATCGTCTACGCTGTGTATATACTGTGTGGTTTAAGTAGTTAAAAAGGCCGGACGTGTTTTTACGCCTTTTGCTGTCTGCACTTCTTTAACCACTGATTATGTATAGCGAGATCAATGGTGAACTATACTAGTAGTGTTCCGAGAGGTAAAAAATCACACGGAATAAGAACATCACGCGAATATTTGTTCAGTGTGGAAAAGCCTTTAAGTAATAAGACGGAGCTATAGATTTCAAGAATAAGAACAAGAAAACAGAGGAGGCGGTCCGTGACACTGTTGCGAAGAATCAAAAAAAGAACGTCCCGTGATGTTGCCGCTATGTTCTGCTGCTTATTTCTTATCTCCCGATCTGCTTCCTCGCTTTCATTTGTCGTGCTCGCTCCTCTCTGTCTTTCTTTCTGCTGCGTGCCGTGCTACGACAGAGTAAGTTCGATAGCCACGCAGTTGACTCAACCATGGCGGTGTAGGGGTGAAGATGAGTGCTGCGATCGGAGGAGATGATGGAATCTGTGCTCACGACGACGACTAACAATCTGGAGGTCGTACACGAAGGCTGGCTCATCAAATCGCCACCTACCAAGCTATGGAAAGCAGTGAGTCGTCGTTGATCGTCATCAACCTGATGTGTGGGCGTTTGTTTGTGTTGTTGCGAGCCACACTCTAGGGACACGCGAGACCGATGTTCTTCTTAACTAACGTAAATTAGAGCTTTTGAATTGTACATTTGCTGTCTCGCACTAGCTATTTATCATTTTTATCAATGTCGACTCTTGTGCGTCACTTTTCATTTGTTATCGTTTCAGTCAGGCTCGTGCACAAAATATATTACGAGTAACTATCCTCAGATTCGTTGCCTTGGTTTAATAATTACTTATGAAGTACTGTTATTAGTCACAATTATTTTTTATATGCATCACAAATTCTTTTGCAGAGATGGAGGCAAAGATGGTTTACTCTTCGACACAGCGGGGAGTTGCCTGGCCAGTACTTTTTAGAATACTACGAAGACAAAAGGTGCAGAAAACTTAAGGGCAGGATCGACCTCGATCAATGCGAACAAGTACATATATTAATCGAGTCTACGACCTAATCAATTGCTTTGTCGTTCGACGCAAAAGAGTATTTTATCCGCTTCTCTTGTTCGTAGGTCGATGCAGGCTTGAGTTTAGTCAATCGAAAAGAAAGATATCAGTATATGTTCAATGTGAAAACTCCAAAAAGGGTTTACTATCTCGTAGCAAAGAGTGAAACTGACGTGAATAAGTGGGTGGATGCTATTTGCCAAGTTTGTGGTTTGAAAGCCTATACTCAGTATGAGGAACAAAATTGCCAAAGTAAATTTTTCCTCTTTAAATCGTCAACCGTTATACCAGGGAGGGTACTAGTTGTTTATTTCAAGTTGTTTGGTATTCCAGTGTTCTATGATTCTCAAGAATCTCCTCCTGTTTCACCTAATAGTATATCGGGTCCATACATTTCAATCAGTGAATGTATATCTGGCCCATGTCTTCACGATGCAAATTTAAGTTCCACGACAGAACAGACCATCAACGTTTATAATATTGTTAGAAAACTAGTGCCAACTCCACCAAGATCTCCAAATACCTATGCCGAGAGCATTATTACTGACGAAGAAAGTCTCTCTTCATTGCCAAACGTCAATTGGGACACTTTTCCTTTTACAGGTAACATAAATTTAACTTTTACGTACTTTTCTATCGCAATCCATTATTCACGTGCAAATTATTGATTCCTTGTTATACAGACGATTTAAAACTTGAATTTAGACCTTGCAATGCAGGATTAGAATCTTGGAGCGTGAAAAAAAGATTTGGAAAGTTGAGAATTGTTGATTCCCACAAACCACCTGCTGCCGATGACGTTCTAATTGCACCAAGGCCTCCAAAACCGCCTTTAATCGCTCCAGAAAATTCGGCTCATAATTATTTAAATTTGGACGGAGCAATCGAAAGCTCAAAACCAACAACCCCATCAACACCCCATCAACAAAGTATAGAACAGCAGAATACAGGTTGACGACTTTATGACTTTTTTCTAAAATCGAGTTTACATACCCAATATTCAATGCCAAAATGTTTTTCATCGGAAGGTGTGCCAAAAAATCAAGTAAAAACTACACAAGCTCCAGTTACCAAATCGTCTAGACTTCAAACGTCCCCACCACAAGATGCTAACACGGACGATCACGTTTTTCGATACGATTTTGATACCAAAAATAATCATCTGGATTATGCAGTATCAACAACATACTCCCATTCGTTAAGTCTTTCCAACGAGGAAAATGCTAATGCAGAACCTAAAATTAATGGACCAGCTCCACCTTTGGTATTCAGGGAATTGAAGCCAGGAAGAAAAACGAATAACTCGAACATAAGTATCGAACTGTCACCTTTCACATCTCATAAAGAAACGAATGCCGTTGAATCGACACCATTCGAGCCACCGAGTATAAATCGGAAACTTAAACCGCCGGTGACAAAGTCGAATGTCGATGGTAACGAAAACGAACAACCAGTTTTAACATTAATATTGGATTGTACGAACATTTATAATCTCATTTGCTTCAGATCTGCTGCTACTTTCTTTGCCTCTAGGAGAAGAAACAATAAAATCGATTTCTAGTCCTACTTTCGTGTCAAAAGTAAAGAAAGGTCGTCATGCATCTGTGTCAGATGATGATAATAATCCATTTAAACACAAAGAAGATAAGGTACGTATACTAGAGTATTCTTATAAAAGTATTTTTTATAAATGTTTATTCGTTTTGTAGATAAACTTTTATCAAGATAACGAGGCTTTTATACCAGCATCAGCTCATGGATTATTGCATTTGCAATACTTGGATCTAGATTTGGAAAAATCGGAAAATGGAGATAACGCGACCTCAGCACAGTCTTCTCAAGCATCATTATCGGCAACAGTGTATAAAACCGTTGACTTTACCAAAACCGAGGCTTTTAATAAAACAAGACAGAAGGTAGAAAGGGAAAGAAAGCAATGTGCGAACGAGATGACGTAAAGATTTGAATTGAAAACATTTCATTTCTAATTCTTGTAGAGAGAGAGAGAGAGAGAGAGAGCGCTTCCACCGTTGTCATTCGCAATATTGAAATAGCGAAATTAAAATCTTTTTTTTATCTTATAAAAACAATACATAAATAAAATTTGTATAGCGATTATTAAAATTAGCGTAAGTTGACAAAAAATATTTTTCATTAAGTTATGACGATAAGAAAAAACCAAAAATAATTTATATATAGAAAGATTAAAGATATTTTGTAAAATTATATATTGAATTTTAGATACGAACTTTATTAAGAATTATATATAAAATCTTTCGCGTATTGTAACTATTATACAGTAATACTGTATCAATAATTTGTGATTTGTGAAATGATGTATGTTTCACAACTAGTTATAGCTGGTTATAGTTATAGCTACCATTGAGATAGACTGTTTCTACTTTTCATCATAAAGCTGTTTGAACAGAGAATCGGTATTTACCGTGACCAAAATTACATTTTTTTTACTGCAAACGTCAAGTATTTAACATGCACATACACATCAATATTAACAATTATAAGAAAATATATTGATTAAATGTCTAAAATTAAATCGACACGTGAGATAATATTGTTAATTAGAAAAATGTAAGCGTTTAGATATATAATAAAGATGTTTTTATAAGTTTATTGAAGAACGATCTTTATTTTAGCGGTAAGAAGATTAATTATACATAGCAAATTAGCCGCTCATAACTTGTACATACAAAGATATCTCTTTATTTTATTTCGGAACAGTAATTAGTGGAAAATAAATACACGTAAAGTTCGATAAGTTAAAGGTTCGGAAAAATAAAATACTGAAAATTATTTTACAATCATACAAAAATCGTATAAATACTCGCTCTCCGCTTGCTTTATCTCACATTTTATTAATCATCCGCAAGGAGTACAGCTGAGCGGGAGGTTTCCTTCGATAGCAGACGATCTCTCTGTTCTTATGGCGGTCGAAGCTGGGTCTCACTCACTACCCGACATAAGCCCAAACGCAACGACTTTTGAGAAATCGCGAAGCTCATCAGTACTTCATGTGGCATCACGGAACTCCTGTTCTCCACTTGCAAATTCCCAAGATTTTAGATAGAGTATAGCTAAGCGGGTTCGTCCCTTATTCAATAGCACACGACCTCCTCTCTGTTCCGACGGCGGTCACGACTTCTGAAAGATCTCGAAGCTCAACCGCACCTCTGACTCCAAGGACCACCCGTTTTCCGGTTGCATTTTCCGAAGCTTCCAAAAATTAAGGACGGATTATAGATAAACATCCTTACAAATCATATATTTATACATTCTCCGCGGGCTTGGCGTAATATCCAGTCGTCATTAACGGTGCTTGCACACACAGCAGAAGCACGTAGATCGAACAACAACAACCTGAATTTCCTGCGCGGAGACACCATTGCGTTTGGTTTCCGCATGCGCCGTTGCCCTGGTAAATTAGCTGTATACCCGTTCGTTTTTATTGTGTAATCATTGGAACCAACATACTGCTGTTTCCACGTGTATCTGCTGGCTACGCGCGAAGGCAAGTGCACAACTTTCTACTGAATGAATGTCTGCAGTAGCGCATCAGGGCAATCACCACCCGACGAATTAAACTATTGTCATTACATCAAACCAACGATGTTTCTGAAAGAGATGGAAATTGTTAATGTGAATGTCGTGAATAATTTGGTGTTGATCGTTGGTACAGGGGTGCTGATGCATTTACTAACTGCCAGTGCATTGTGGTGTAAACTTAATCCGCGGTAGTGTGTCAGTTGTTCGATAAGGAATGAATGTTTATTGTTTTGTTATATAAATTTGTAGGTGAACGATCGTTGACTCTTTTTTTATACATAATTGTTGTTTGTTGTGACGGGTGAGATGAATTTCTTACACTTTCAGTGAAAATGTCAATGAGTTTTTTCTTTATCGAAATTAACTACTCTTACGCATCTACCTTGTGTAATGAATATTAGTAAGTTCGAAATTGCATGATTTTTCAACATTTTTCATCTTTTTGTTGAAATTTCAAGATTGTTAACTTTTTTCTCATTTTTCATCATTTTCATTATTTCGTCGAAATTTCAAGATTTTTCACATTTTTCATCATTTCGTCGAAATTTCAAGATTTTTCATCATTTTTCATGATTTTTTTTTTTTTTTTTTTTTTTTTTTTTTTTATTTAACGTCGCTCTATTTATGCTTCATCAGTGCTAATCAGCGACGGAGGCTTGCAATGTGTTTGAGAACAAAGCACATGGAACTTTTTTCAGTGGTGCTTGTATCAATCAGCAGGAACTGGGAATCGAACCCGGGCCTACCGGGTGCGAGTCCGTCGCCCTACCGACCGAGCCATTGCAGGCCTCAAAATGATTTTGTCGAAATTTCAAGATTTTTAACAATTTTCACTTTTTTCATCATTTTTCATCTTTTTATCGAAATTTCAAGATTTTTCACATTTTTTCATCATTTCGTCGAAATTTCAAGATTTTTCACTTTTTTCATCAATTTTCATCGTTTTATCGCAATTTCAAGATTTTTCACATTTTTCATCATTTTGTCGAAATTACAATATTTTTCACATTTTTCATCGTTTTGTCGAAATTACAATATTTTTCACTTTTTTCACATTTTTCATCATTTTTCACTTTTTTCATCATTTTTCATCTTTTTATCGAAATTTCAAGATTTTTCACATTTTTTCATCATTTCGTCGAAATTTCAAGATTTTTCACTTTTTTAGTTTTTTCATCGTTTTGTCGAAATTTCAAGATTTTTAACATTTTTCACTTTCTTCATCATTTTCATTATTTCGTCGAAATTTCAAGATTTTTCACATTTTTCATCATTTCGTCGAAATTTCAAGATTTTTCACATTTTTCATCATTTCGTCGAAATTTCAAGATTTCTCACATTTTTCACTTTTTTTCATCATTGTTCATCGTTTTGTCGAAATTTCAAGATTTTTCACATTTTTCACTTTTTTCATCATTTTTCATGATTTTGTCGAAATTCCAAGATTTTTAACATTTTTCACTTTTCCCATCATTTTTCACTTTTTTCATCATTTTTCATCGTTTTGTCGAAATTTCAAGATTTTTCACATTTTTCACTTTTTTCATCATTTTCATTATTTCGTCGAAATTTCAAGATTTCTCACATCTTTCACATCTTTCACTTTTTTTCATCATTTCGTCGAAATTTCAAGATTTTTCACATTTTTCACTTTTTTCATCATTTTTCATCTTTTTGTCGAAATATCCAGATTTTTCACATTTTTCACTTTTTTCATCATTTTTCATGATTTTGTCGAAATTTCAAGATTTTTAACATTTTTCACTTTTCCCATCATTTTTCACTTTATTCATCATTTTTCATGATTTTCTCGAAATTTCAAGATTTTTCACATTTTTCACTTTTTTCATCATTTTTCATCATTTTGTCGAAATTTCAAGATTTCTCACATCTTTCACATCTTTCACTTTTTTTCATCATTTCGTCGAAATTTCAAGATTTTTCACATTTTTCACTTTTTTCATCATTTTTCAACATTTTGTCGAAATTTCTAGTTTTTTCAAATTTTTTACTTTTTTCATCATTTCGTCGAAATTTCAAGATTTTTCACATTTTTCACTTTTTTTCATCATTTTTCATGATTTTCTCGAAAATTCAAGATTTTTAACATATTTCACTTTTCCCATCATTTTTCACTTTTTTCATCATTTTTCATGATTTTCTCGAAATTTCAAGATTTTTCACATTTTTCATCGTTTTTCATCGTTTTGTCGAAATTTCAAGATTTGTCACATATTTCATCTTTTTATCGAAATTTCAAGATTTTTCACATTTTTCACTTTTTTCATCATTTTTCATCTTTTGTCGAAATTTCAAGATTTCTCACATCTTTCACATCTTTCACTTTTTTTCATCATTTCGTCGAAATTTCAAGATTTTTCACATTTTTCACTTTTTTCATCATTTTTCAACATTTTGTCGAAATTTCTAGTTTTTTCAAATTTTTTACTTTTTTCATCATTTCGTCGAAATTTCAAGATTTCTCACATTTCTCACTTTTTTTCATCATTTTTCATGATTTTCTCGAAAATTCAAGATTTTTAACATATTTCACTTTTCCCATCATTTTTCACTTTTTTCATCATTTTTCATGATTTTCTCGAAATTTCAAGATTTTTCACATTTTTCATCGTTTTTCATCGTTTTGTCGAAATTTCAAGATTTGTCACATATTTCATCGTTTTGTCGAAATTTCAAGATTTTTCACATTTTTCACTTTTTTTCATCATTTTTCATGATTTTCTCGAAAATTCAAGATTTTTAACATATTTCACTTTTCCCATCATTTTTCACTTTTTTCATCATTTTTCATGATTTTCTCGAAATTTCAAGATTTTTCACATTTTTCATCATTTCGTCGAAATTTCAAGATTTCTCACATTTTTCACTTTTTTTCATCATTGTTCATCGTTTTGTCGAAATTTCAAGATTTTTCACATTTTTCACTTTTTTCATCATTTTTCATGATTTTGTCGAAATTCCAAGATTTTTAACATTTTTCACTTTTCCCATCATTTTTCACTTTTTTCATCATTTTTCATCGTTTTGTCGAAATTTCAAGATTTTTCACATTTTTCACTTTTTTCATCATTTTCATTATTTCGTCGAAATTTCAAGATTTCTCACATCTTTCACATCTTTCACTTTTTTTCATCATTTCGTCGAAATTTCAAGATTTTTCACATTTTTCACTTTTTTCATCATTTTTCATCTTTTTGTCGAAATATCCAGATTTTTCACATTTTTCACTTTTTTCATCATTTTTCATGATTTTGTCGAAATTTCAAGATTTTTAACATTTTTCACTTTTCCCATCATTTTTCACTTTATTCATCATTTTTCATGATTTTCTCGAAATTTCAAGATTTTTCACATTTTTCACTTTTTTCATCATTTTTCATCATTTTGTCGAAATTTCAAGATTTCTCACATCTTTCACATCTTTCACTTTTTTTCATCATTTCGTCGAAATTTCAAGATTTTTCACATTTTTCACTTTTTTCATCATTTTTCAACATTTTGTCGAAATTTCTAGTTTTTTCAAATTTTTTACTTTTTTCATCATTTCGTCGAAATTTCAAGATTTTTCACATTTTTCACTTTTTTTCATCATTTTTCATGATTTTCTCGAAAATTCAAGATTTTTAACATATTTCACTTTTCCCATCATTTTTCACTTTTTTCATCATTTTTCATGATTTTCTCGAAATTTCAAGATTTTTCACATTTTTCATCGTTTTTCATCGTTTTGTCGAAATTTCAAGATTTGTCACATATTTCATCTTTTTATCGAAATTTCAAGATTTTTCACATTTTTCACTTTTTTCATCATTTTTCATCTTTTGTCGAAATTTCAAGATTTCTCACATCTTTCACATCTTTCACTTTTTTTCATCATTTCGTCGAAATTTCAAGATTTTTCACATTTTTCACTTTTTTCATCATTTTTCAACATTTTGTCGAAATTTCTAGTTTTTTCAAATTTTTTACTTTTTTCATCATTTCGTCGAAATTTCAAGATTTCTCACATTTCT